TGGGAAAGCAGGACAAAAGAAAAAAAAAAGGTGACCAAGAGAGACCCAAGGCAAATACAGAAGGAGGGCTGTGAGCCTCTATACCTCATGGGCTTCTGGGTGTAGAAAAGTTGCACCCTCCTAGTCAGGCTGCTGGTCACCTGGCCATGTCCACAGAAGGAGCGGCCTTGCCCTTGTTCCCTGCACATTGTCTGTGGATGCCTATTAGGGCAGTTAGCATGCAGCATGCCCACTGCCAGCTGTCTCCATGCCCCCCCATGGGCTGGGATCTCTGGTGTCAGGCACACAGCATGTGCCAGCCCTTCAGCTGCTCCCTCCTTACACCCGGGGTCTCATTTCCACATGGAACAGTTCAGTGACCACAATAAGCCACCAGAGCAACTGAGTCTATGAAGGTGCAGAAACCTGCCCCTCTCTACAGCATGCAGAGCAGGCTATTAACCATTCTTTGCTGGCTGCTGTCTCCAGAATTTAGAGTCTTGCTTTTTATCTGGAAGTGGAGGGACCACTAGAATGAACCAGTATGCTGCAGGGATGAACCCCGAAAGCCTGCCGTTCTGAGAAGCCCCCTCTCTCTCCCTCTGTCCCTGTTGCTCCATCATTCCCACGCCCAGTCTGGATTAGGTGTCTCCTCTGGGATCCCAAAATACCCCATGACACGGCCACATTGCATGTTAAACATCTGTCCAACTTTCCGGGCCCATCTCTGTGATCCTAGTGAGCCCATGGAATCTGGGGTTGTACCCAGGCCCTCAGGGGTTTATAAAGTGGGGTCACGAGTGGTCCCTTGCTTCACTGTGCATTTCTGAGAGCTTGGTGAGAGCCTTGCATTGGCTCTTCTGCTTGGCTAGCTGGCCTTGGACTAATGCACGAGAGCAGAGGCTTCAGAAGGCCCAGAGAAGACCCTCCATGCTAACTTCTGGACTTGGGTTTCGTATGTGCATCAGATATTATAGTAAGGTCTTGAGGGAATGGGCAGAGTGGGAGTGGGGACATGAATGGCAGGAATAGCCAAGGACTGTAACACAGGTGTGGACACCGGATTGGTACTGGGAGATAACATACCAGCTATGTCTTGAGAGCCTGGTCAGCAAGAAGCTCCCTGTGGCCCCATGAGGATGAAGCTACTCCCAAGCCCAGGCCTCAGGCTTGGTATGGAATTGGTACCTTCACAGTGGCACACCCTGCCAGCTCCTTGGCAACCAAGGGTATTTCTGCTAGACGGTTGGAGGTAGGAAGGAGCAGGCCAGCTGTGCCAGAGTGAGCTGGCTAAACCTGGTGCCCTAGAGGCCAGCACAAGGCGTGACAGGTGGGCTGTGACAGACAGTTGACGAAGTGCTTTATATCAGTGGCAACAGGTCACACTTTGTTCAGCTCTATGAGTGCTGGTGTGTCCTGCACTGGCCTGGCCAGGGACAGGTGTTTGGTAGATGTTTAATGAATGACTGATGCTTCACGCAGGAATGTAGGACTGGGTATATAGCCTTTCAAATTTACCTGTCAGAGACCCTATGGTTCTCTAAGTCTGCTGAAGCTTTTGGTACTTCTGTGTGACTTTTTATTATTGTGACACATGGAGGGTTCATACAGCCTTGGGAGAAGAGTGCATGTACGGCATATGTGCACACACCCACATATACGTGTGTGGATACTAGCATACTTGTCTACAGTCTATTGTAGGTAGAACTAATCGATTAATTAGTTAGCCTTTGTGTGTGTGTGTGTGTGTGTGTGTGTGTGTGCATGCATAGGCACATGTGTGTGTGTAGAGGCCAATCTTTATCAGGCATCTTTCTCTGTCTTTTTTTTTTTTTTTTTTTGGATACTGTCTCTTACTGACCATAAAGGTAGACATTCTGTCTAGACTTACCTGCTGGCCTGCAAATCCCCAGGATTCACCCATTTCTGCCTCCCAGGGCTGGGACAGGCATGTATCACCAACTCACAGATTATATGAGGGTTCTGGGATCTGAACTCAGGTCTTCATGACAAGCACTTTACCCTTGGGCCATCTCTCCACACCCCATAGGCAGAATTTTTAAAATGTCTCTCTCTGCCAAGATGTTGCGCTTTGATGTCCAGACTGTGCATATAAGCTGTCACTCTAGTGATTACCCTGCAGAAGAAACATCACCTGACATCATGATGGGGAGGCTGTCAGTGGACTGGATCTAATTACAAAGGCTGTCAAAACAGCATTTGTCTAGGCTTAGCACAGAGGAGGAAGTCAGAGAGACTGGGAGCACCAAACACTCAGGGGTTTCCTGACTGAAGACAGAGGGGTCTCCTCAAGAATCAGCATGTTATCTGTTATCTGTAGGGGCCAAGGTGACCTCTAGTCAAGTCACCAGGGAGCTGGGGATCTCAGTCTTCACAGTCATGTCGAACTGAGCTCTGCCAACAACCTGACTGATCTTAGAAGAGAATTCTTTCCAGAGAGCCCAGTGCAGCCAATGTCTGTTTTGGCCTTTGGATGGCCTGAACTTGGAGCCCTGCCAATCCCAGTTGACCTTCTCACTAACAGAACTGGGGAGTCACAAGTAGGCATTGGTTCAAGTCGTCAGGTCTGTGGCGATGTTACATAGGAACAGACAATAACATTTCTACTTCTAGATGCCAGCTCAGTGATTCCATGCCCCCACCCTGCCCCTCTCCAGGATGGTAGCATTGAGGAGGTGGTCCAGCAATTTTAAACTACCCCTGGACTTGTAAGTGTGAGCTCTCAGCCTGTGAATATTTTTGTATGACAGTCTTTCTCATGTAGCCGAGGCTGTCCTTGAACTTGCTGAATATAACACTATGTCCTTTAATTCTGATCCTTCTAGCTCTACCCCATGATTGATTCAATTATAGGTGTGTGTGTGTGTGTGTGTGTGTGTGTGTGTGTGTGTGTGTGTGATCATTCCTGATTTATGTGGTACTAGGGATCAAACTCAGGGCTTTGATGAATTCTAGGCAAGCACTCTATCAACTGAATCATATCACCACCCATGTGTGACAGTCTGGCTGGAGCCACATTGAATATGGGCAAGAAGGATAATTCTCTGGGTATAGACTGGTGGGTACTAGTTTCCTTAATGGAACAGATGTACTCATTGAGAATACATTCAGAAGCCTAGTAGGTTCTTGGCTTAGGCATCCTTCCAGATTATTTTTTTCAACCTTTCTTACCTGTTGCTCACCTGAGAAGTTACTCATTGCTTCTCCTTGGTTGGGCCAGACCTCAGGCTAGACTGAGGCATAAGGGGATAATGGTGTAGAGCTGAAACAGTGATTGACAGGCATGGATATGACACAGAAACTGGAGTCTCATGGGATGATTTGAGCAGAGTCAAGATGTCCAAAAGATGCCCACAGGAGAACCCTCTGTGCTCAGGGTGTATCTATCTAACACCCAGGATTGGCTGACTGGCCCACACTGGCATCCATCCTCCTTGGTACAGGATGTTGGCTCAGTTCCAGGTGAAGGAAAGCAGGCCAGGGAAACCTGAGGTGAGGTTTCCTGGGGCTCCTGAAGCAGCCTGGTTTGTCAGCCATGGGAGCTCTGGGGCAGTGCCTCCTGAAGGGGCCAGTTCCATCTCTTAGGCTGTAAACAGCCTTGTCTCAAGCGGTGGTAACACAGGTCCGTAGAGAAGGCAAGTGAGAGCCAGAGAGGACCATGGCAAGCAGGTGGGGTGAACTGGGTTCTGGAAGGTTGGACAGGAGGAGAGCTGGGTGGTGCCAGCAGGAAGCTGGCTGTTTCTGGGTGAGCATGGGCCCACTTGAGATGGGCTGCTTGCCCACACCCAGTGCCATCTTAGCTACTCTTCTATGGCCAATGAGCAAGACAGTTTATAGAAGAAAGCGTTTAATTGGGGGTTGCTTATGGTTTCAGAGGATGAGTCCAGCTGCTGCTGCTGGCATTATCCCGGTGCTGAGTCATTTCCTTCCTGAGGATCCCAGAACTTGGAGTGATGCCAACTGAAACATTCTTTGTTTTGTTAACCAAAGAAGTCATCACAAATCAGACTTACAAGTAACCATGAACTTGCAGCATTTTAAACTAGCCCAAGGATTCCTCTTTCAGTGCCAGAACCAGAGAGGTCCAGGGTCCAGGCCTCACACTGGTGCTGGTCAATTCCTCTCCTATAGCAGAGATGCAGCAGATCTGTGTCAGCTCCAGCTTATGCCAGGATGGCAAACACCAGGCTGGAGGAAGGAGAAGCTGGCTAATGGCTGGAGAAAGCAGTGCCTTGCTGTGTGATTTTGTTAAGGGCTCTTCTGTCTCTGGGCCCTAACCAAGGAGGCTGACAAACTGACTACTCCCATCCCTTCTGGTTCCTGTGCCTAGATTTGTAATTAAAATACAATGTTGTACCTTTGTAACACTGTCCACCATCTTCCTGGAGACTTCATTTTTCAGGGCTTAAGTTTGGCTTATTTGAAGAGAGCTGGCTGTCTACACCTTGGGGAATGCCTCTCGGACCCAGTGTTACTCTCACGTTCATGCGTTGTGGTGTTGGAGGCCCTGCAGTGCAGTCTGAGTCTGTCTGTTCCCTGTCACATTGACACACAGCAGTGAGGCATGACCATAGGTGCAGTGTTGGAAGGCTGGGTAGAGGAAGTCATAAGCAACCAGAGACTTGCATGTGTGCAGGTGTGAGTGTGGAGACCAGAGGTTGATGTTCTCTATTGAGCGCCACCTTATTTTTTGAGATAGTCTATTCACTGAGCCCTTAGTCTCTTCAGCTAAATTGACTGACTAGAGAGCTCTCTGTGGTTCACTTGTGCAGGGTCACTGATGCCCACAGTGATGTCCAGCCTTATGTGGGTTCTGGAGCTCAAACCTAGGTCCTCATTCTTGTGCAGCAAGTACTTTATCATTGAGCATCTCCCTAGCCCACCAGGAACTTCTTAGTGGTACCCAGCACCAGCTATTTATGAAAGTGGAATTTCCCACCTCCTGAGACTCTCCCTGTTAGCAGCTGATGTATCCCCTGTCCCTTGTCCTTGGCTCTTAGAAAGAAGAGTTTCAAGATGATCCGGTCGCAGTCTCTGTCCCTGCAGATGCCAACACAAGACTGGAAGGGACCTCCAACTGTCAGTCCGGCCATGTCTCCTGCAACCCCTTTGGTCCCTGGAGCTACTTCCAAGCCTGAGCCAGCACCCTATGCCATGCCTGAGTACCAGCGGGTCACTATCAGTGGAGATTACTGTGCAGGGGTAAGGTCATATCCACCCTTGAAGCCTGGCCCAGTGTGTGTGTGTGTGTGTGTGTGTGTGTGTGTGTGTGTGTGTGTGTGTGTGTGTGTGTGGTGGTGGTGGTGGAGGGGAACCCAGGAACCTGAAGAGAAGGGAGGCCCTAATGGAGACTCTGGGGTGTGGACATGTCTCTAGAGCTGCCCTATCCTGGTGTGCAAGACAAGGGCTTCAGGCTGCCATGCTGTGGCGATGCCCAACTAGTTCCCCAGCTCAGAAATCTGCCCTCTGGGAAGACTGCCAACTAGACCTGTCAACATTCCCAGTGTCCAGTGGCAACTATGTGATGGTCTTGACTTGTGTAAAATTAGCTCTTATGTGCTTAGGTCAATATGTTTACACATAGGCTAGAAACCCCTCAGTCAGCAAGACAAGCTCTTGATGAGAAAACGAATACGCTTTTTCTAGAGATGATACCATATTAATTTATGAAAGAGCTTCCTTGCTCTTCTTTATGGGTACATAGCATTCCATTGTGTGGTTGTACCGCATAGTGACTTCTTGGGGATGGGAATTTAGATGGTAACTAATGCATTTCCTTTTTGTCCAGGCTGCTGCTCTGCCAACTGGTGGCTTTCAGCCTTAGCCACCTGACCAGGGCGTGGTGTCCACATCACACATGTAGGCAGAGTAATGGACTAGAGGATAGAAGCGGGCTGAATGCATTATGAATGGAGCATGGGAGCGTGCACTGTTACCTCCCTTCTTCTTCCGTATCTAGAGAGCTAGGGGCTATGAGAGGCCTTGATGAACCTGGTGCCCAGAGGGTCTGGGGCTAGCCACTGGGCCTGTGGGGCCCACAAGCTTGGCTAATGGCTACTTCGTCCTGGGGACCCTGCACCTTCTCTGATCTCCTTGGTTACTTCCTTGTCAGGTGGAATCCTTTAGCTTTTCTGTGGGTGGGGACATGGCTTTCTCTCGGCATGTAGCTGCTATGAGGCCAGCCGCCTGGAAGGTGCAGAGAGGAATGAACGCACACTGGTGTGGGTATTTGAGACAGAACGGGCGGTGCTTCCACTTTGGGAAGCAAGAAGTCAGATTTGGTGAAATGAATGAGCAAGACCTGTGCTGACCGCTTCCCTCTGATGACAGAGTATGGCGAGGGGGACCGGAGGGCACTGTACCCTTGCCACTTTATTTATCCACTCCTGAAGGGCATCTGAAGCAATTAGGACAAATGTGAATATCAGGGCCTTGGGAGACAGGTGCACAGATGTCTGTAGATTTTCAGTCAAACCAATGAGGCTATGAAGCAGAGGAGGAACATTCCAGGTCCAGCTTCCCTCACTCTGCTCCTTCAGCCTCCTGCACCTCGATGTTGGTGTCCCTCCCTCCTGTCATGCCTGTCCAACTGCATCTCACAACGCAAATTCAGACTTCAGTGACGTTCGTCCTCACTGAGTGACTAGGGTGATGGAGGCTGGGAAGGCAATCAGAGATCTTACAAATCTCTTAGAGTGAGGAGAGCATCCTGGGGCTTTGTGAATCAGTCAGATCAGGGTCTGAAGGTTGACTTTGTAATTTCCTGGCAGTGATGGATCCTTTCTGGTCCTAGTTTCCCCAGTTCAGAAACAGAATGAACCCTATGGAAACACCTAGTGCTTAACATGTGACTAAGAGCCTGCTGACATGATGAGGCGGGTGGTGGCCAGATTGACTGACAGTTTGGGGTGGTCAGAGAAGCAGCCTGAGAACATAGATATTTTGCCTTTAGCATTTGAGGACCCATGGATTTTCTCAGCTGAAAATGATGGTGGTTGTCCTCAGCAGGGACAAGCCCCAGGTTCTGTATACTGCATGCAGCCACAGGCTTCTGGTTCAGCCAGCATCTTTGGGGCCAGTCTGGGGTGTGCAGACTGAGTATCCTTTTCCCTTCTAGCAACCCTATCTCTCTTCCTGTGTCTCCTGTGTCAGGGTCTCCAAGATCACTTGCAGGCTTTGGGACTTGCTAGAAGGTCTCTCAGGATGCAGAACCTGGTTGCACCTACAGTCTCAATTTATTACAAAAAGAACATAGAGAGAGTCACACAGGGTGAGGCCTGGGGGAATACCAGAACAGGCTCTGACAGTCTCTCCCAGTGAGGCACCAACACCTAGTGTCCACCAGGGAAGCTCATTAAAGACTTGGCTTTGTTTGCTCGTCTGCATAGCACATTCCCAATTTCAGACTCTTGGAAGGAACTCAGGTATCCAGCAATAATCCTGGTGTTTGTATAAACAGATCACACACAATGAGCCCCTCTTATCAGTCTGATGGGAACTGTTCTGAAATCCAGGCTCATGGGGGCCAGGCTTGCACAGATCTCTCCAAGCACAGTTGTCTCTGGCTTGTGGGCAGACTCTTTCTTGCATGCCTTCTTGCTGCAGATCACTGTCGAAGACTATGAACAGGCTGCCAAGAGCCTGGCCAAGGCCCTGATGATCCGGGAGAAGTATGCACGGCTTGCCTACCACCGCTTCCCACGGACCACAGCCCAGTACTTGGCTCACCAGGGGGAAAGTGTACCTTTGGAAGAAAGTCTCCCAGGTATGATGTCTTGGGAGCAAGTGAGATCCTATGTGTGGGCCTGACCCAAGAGTTGGCTGGGACTTTTTGTTAGCTGTGTATTTTTCCACCAGTAGTGTTTTTTGGGTGGGGCTCCTGATTGAATGGGCAGCACAGGATGTGCTGCACGGGATTAGAGACAGCGCCCATGTGCTCTGGCCAGAGGAAGCAGACCGTGAAGTGAAACACACTTGTGTTTGTATCTGGATCGTGCCAGTTTCTTGGATTCTGGGAAAACTGCTTCTCTAAATTTCAGTTTTGTGGTCTAAAAAATGGAATGCCAGTAAAAGCTGTCTCCCTGAGCAAGATTATGTGAATGCATGTGGAGTGTTTAGTGCATCTCTGGCATCTATCTATATGCCAAATTTAGGGACAGGAAATGAGAACGGGCAGGGTATCTTCCTGACATAGTGAGGGACCTAGGAGCAGGAGAGATCAGAAATGAAGTCACTAAAACAATGGCATGGTGACCTTTACCCTTGAAATCCAGGGATGGGGATGAGATGAAGGCCTGGGGATTACATCCAGCCCAGTAACCTGGCTGCCTTGGGGTAACAGGTGCTAGGTTGTCCCTGTTTCTGGCCCAGTTCTGTGCTGAGCATCCATTAACCCCAGGGAGGGGCCTGGGTAAATCTCAGCCTTCCCAAGGATATTGCCCTGTCTGTCTGAGGTGTGGGACCCCAGTAATGGAGGGGACACATGGGAATGACTGTCAGACATGTGCTTTATGTGGCAGAAGGCCTTGTGTTTGGGCCACGAGTGTGGTGAGATTGACACAATCTCTGGGTGGGTGGACTGTGACTTCACACGGGTCTTTCCAACTATCTGCCCCCTCGCAATCCTAGCACTATGGAGAGGTTCTTTGCTGGCCTCTTGCTGTGCCTGATGGGCCATCGACTTCCTGCTCTGCCATGTTCTGCTTTCTCTGTGACCATCACAGCTCAGGGTCAGCCTGTGCCAGAGTCTGAGGCAGGATGTTCTGGGCCCTGGGTATGTCTTCCAATCAGGAAAGGTTCCTCTTGCCTGGCAGGCAGCCGACCTGCAAGGTGCTGGCTGACTTTCTGTGTTTATTCCCCGGCCAGAGACAGCTGCTTAAGAGCCACAGAACTAATTAGAATGTAGATGCTCTCGACTGCTGATGATTTTGTTTCCAGTAAACCAATAGGAAGCTGAAAGTGCCCTAAGTTGAAAATGCATTTAATACATCCAACCTATGTTAACCATGCTCAGAACATTTCTGTGAGCCTACAGTTGGGCAAAATCATCAATCTACTTAGTAGCAAAGTGATGAATATCCCGAGTAACTCACTGAGTATTTTTACTGCCCGACAGAGACACTACACAATCCTAAAGTCAAAAGAGAAATCATTAAGTTGAGCCATCATAAGCAACGCCCTGAGATCCTTGTGCAGGGCACACCTGCTTATAAAGCATCCCCTCCCCACTTTTTACAGCGCTCACAGCAGCCTGTTGGGTAGGGAAGGGGTGTCCCAGGCTGGGAGTCAGGACCTGAGAGACAAAGGGGAAACAGCAAAGGTGCCTTACTGCTTGGGATGGGCAGGCTCTTCCCGGCTCCCTGCTAGGCAAACAACTACATCCTGGGCAGTTCCTGGGGGTGGTGGGTGGGGTGAATGGGAAGTTGGGGGCATGAGGGATGGGGGCAGGGAAGGGGGTGAATGGGGCAAGGGCCTGGTTGCTGCTCCTTATGCTTTTTGGGGGGGCAGGGTGGCTTCAGTCTAATTCCTTGTCTGTCTTGGGTTCAGAGAAAAATGTGGGAAAAGGGCATTTATTCCCCGCAGACATTTCCAGTGCTGTCTATTCTCTTACTGGGAGAATACTCAGCCATTCTGTTCTAAAACTAAAATAAAAACAAACATTCTTGAGGACCAAGGAGGGCTGAAGAGGGTGAAGTCCATTTTAATTAAGTGAAACATATACTTATGCACGCGCGCGCACGCGCACACACACACACACACACACACACACACACACACACACGCACACACACATTGATGTGCCAGCCTTGGGGACAGGGTTTCTCTAGAGACTAGACTATAGTAGCTAACAACACAAATCAGTGTGACTTCTGGTACCCGAGGTGTGAAGAACAATTGTTTCACGCAGTGTTGAGACTTTTACAAAGCAGTGAGGCTGGCAGACTGCACAAGGTCAGTAGGGTCACTTAGCCGTCACTCATCCTGTTTTGCAGACTTCCACCCTCCCCCACTGCCCCAAGAAGACCCTTATTGCTTGGATGATGCACCCCCCAACCTGGGCTACCTGGTCCGCATGCAGGGAGGCATTCTTTTTGTGTATGACAACCAGACAATGATGGAACGCCAGGAGCCCCACAGCCTGCCCTACCCCGACCTGGAAACCTACACCGTGGACATGAGCCACATTCTGGCACTCATCACTGATGGCCCCACGTAAGCCAGTTACCTGACTCCCCCTTTCACTGTGTGGGTGCTGTGGGAAGGAGCAGCAAGCTTTGATGCATGCGAACCATCCTGGGTTTTTCTTGTTGGGGTGGCACAAGCTTAGAGTTGTCGCTGTTGGTCCATGTTGCACACATGTGTGGCAGTTTCTGTGTGCAGTGGCTATTTGTGTACCTTACATCAGCTGTCATCCTCTCCTCAGGCCAGGAAACACCACGGAGAGCTGCCAGCCCAGGGCCTGGGCGAGCAAGCGTGGAGGAAGTCGTGAAGACTCTTGCTTTAGCCCTTGGGCTTTCTGTGTTTTTGAAAGTAGCATGCAGGGAGCCTGGGGCCCTTTGTGTCCCCACGCATGCTCAAGGGCTTGACTGGAGCTGACAGGGCAGGTGGCTCTCTTCCTGGCAGGGAAATGAGCTAACCCATGGTGAAGGGTCAGCTACCTGCACCTTGGGAATTGGAGTCTGGGGAAGGTGAAGGGCTGCCAGAGTGCCATGCGCCCTCTCTCCCATGCCTCCTGCCTTTTGGGTTTTGCTGTGAAGGGTGCAGGCCTAGTCTCTGAGAGAAAATAGCAAGACTGGTGAGGGTGGGCAGTAACTCTTGGTCCTCACTGATCAGAGGCCAGAACTAAGACCCCCTGGAGAGGAAGGAGCAATTTCTGGAAAGCCTTGCTTGACCAGGGGTGTGAGCAGTGACTGTTGTCTGAAAAGTTGTCAAGGAGAGACCTTCTTGGGACAGACACTGGACAGAGTAATGTTAACCTTCCTTTCCTACCCTGGGACCCCTGTGCTCACCCAGGGCTTCTCTCTGCATATAGAAGACGACACCGCTGTGCAGTGGCATTAAAAATGTTATCCTTGGCGGGCGGTGGTGGTGCACGCCTTTAATCCCAGCACTCGGGAGGCAGAGGCAGGCGGATCTCTGTGAGTTCGAGGCTGGGCTGGACCGACAGCCTCCAAAACAATACAGAGAAACCCTGTCTCGTAAAAACCAAAAAAAAAATGTTATCCTTGCCATTTACATATATGTATGTGTGTATATCTGCATATGAGGAGGTCAGAAGTCCCAAGGTCCCCTGGAGCTTGAGTACAGGCAGTGGTGATTTGGGCCCTTGGAACCAAGCTCAGGTCTTCTTGCGAGAACAGTATGTGCTCTTAACCACTGAGCCATCTTTCTAATTCCAAGAAGCTGCTCTTTGTGGAGGCCTAGGGGACTAGGTAAGAAGGCAGCTGCTGCCTGGGGATACTGTGGAAGCAGGATGACATGAACTGTGGTTAATTCTGTGTGGCTGGGCAGCTGAGCTGGGTGTGGGAGACATCTGGCCATAGCAGTGAAGCTCGCCAAATGCTGGCTGAGGAAAACTCTGTGAGTGCTTTCTCTGGGTGGGGAGCCTGAGGTGTCAGGCCAACAAAGCTTCTGTCCCAGTGCTCCTCACCTGCCTCTCACTGAAAATGTCCTCTTCTTGTCCCAAGAGTCTCGGAGCCCTCAGGTCTTGGGATCTAGGGCGGTTGATCATGGGCAAATGGCTGATATGCCTGCATCCCAAGCTAGTAAGGTTGTACAATATAGTCTGACTGTACTATTGATATTCTGGGCAATGAATTTTATCTTTAAAGGGTTAGGGGGGCTGAGGAGAGGTAAGGAGAACAATGGGAAGGGCTGCCCAGTCAGACACTGGCCTCATAACTTCAGTCTGGGGTGTTACCATCTCCATAGTTAATACATAGGATGCTTATCCCTGTGCTCAGACACATAGGACAACAAAACCCCACACCGGCCCAGAGTTACTGCTTCTCTCCCCTGTGTCTTAACTGTCTCCTCACGGGCATGACGGCACAGGCCTGCTGGCCAGGTCTGAGGGAAGCTGGAGACATCTTGGCATTTCCTCCTCATCCTATCAGAGCCCGACCCTTCCACTCAGGGGTCACTACCCTCTCTGGAGGTTGATAAACAGATGTTTGATGTGACTTCTTACTGTGGTCTCTATCGCTCACTGATTTGCAGGAAAACCTATTGTCACCGGCGACTGAACTTTCTGGAATCCAAGTTCAGCCTTCATGAGATGTTAAACGAGATGTCCGAGTTCAAGGAATTGAAGAGTAACCCCCACAGAGACTTCTATAATGTGAGGAAGGTACGTGGTGGTGAGTGTTCAAACCACTCACCTGGCTCCATACTGGGCCTGGGGAATGATGCCCTGAGTCTGTTTAGGACCAGAGCTGGGTGAGTGTCAGGTGTCCTGGCTGGTCAGTCTTCTTGGCCCTAGGATCTGGTGTGATTAGGTCACATGTGCAGAAGGAAGACTGTGGACTGCATCCTTAGACGGTACCACCCTAGATCCCGTGGCTGCCTCTGTTGGTACATGTCTCTTCCTCTGGAGTCAGAGCACAGCCTGCTCATTGGTCCCAACAGTTAAGCACTGGTGGTAGTGGATGTGTTAGAGTCATCTCAGAGGGAAAGCTGTTAGCTCTTCTTTGGACTTAGGAGGTGCGGGTTTACATCCTTTGGACTCAGGTCTCTTAAAGCAAATCACTAAGATGCTCCTGTCTCTGCCTATTGCTCTTCTAACTATGGAATGGCTGAATGTCTCTGGTACCTTCTGCCTGCAGGGGTGGCAGCAAGGACAGGTGTGTGTGTGTGTGTGTGTGTGTGTGTGTGTGTGTGTGTGTGTGTGTGTGTGTGTGTGTGTGTGTGTGTGTTAAGGGATCCTGGCCGGGAGCTTTTCCACTTTCTCCAGGTAAGTAAGACACACTGAGGTTTGGAACCATGCTGAGCGTGGCTGAGAGAGCAAGAGTCACTTCCTGCCCTGAAGAATTCCCAGAGATAGGGCTGTTATGAGGGTGGGAGTGACTTTCACAGAAAGGCCAGAACTGAGCAGGGGAGGCAAAGAGTGACAGAGGGGATTCCCACGGAGGCGCGGCACATGCAGGTGTCAGGAGAAGGGGAGAGGAAGGAGAGACGGGGAAGCAGGCAGGGCTGGAACTTAGGTATCAGCGAGGTGGGCAGAGGAGGCTGCAGGGCCCTGGGAAGGTTCTGAACCATGGAAGCCTATGGGCTTCTTAAGAATGCCAGAAGTCTCTGACTGACCACGAGGCTTCAGAAGTGAGAGTAGGGTTCGTGGGTTATGACAGGCTTCTCTAAGTATGCCTGGGCAGGGGTGAAAGGTCATGTCTAGACTACTTACCTAGACACAATAGCTACTATTCCTTCCCTGGGAACCTTAGGTGTTTAGTCAGGTGGTTCCTCAGTTACTGTAAGAGCTCAGCGCAGACCTGGCAGACCAGTGAAACACCTTACTGAGTCCAGCACAGCCCTGCCCGCCAGAGGCGTGAGCGCTCTGGGCCTCCTCCTGATGCTTGGGGCCAGGCTGGCCTAACTGACTGTGCTTCTGATGGCCATCCCTGGACTGCCATGGACTATCCCTGGGCTGTTCTCAGCCACTCCTTGGGACTGTGGGGAGAGCACAGAGATGATTCTTGGGGTCCCCTGGCAGTTTGGGGTTGATGCCGGCTCTGTGACACCAACAGTATGGTCTTGGGCACCTTGGTTAGTCCATAAACATAAGTCCAGAGCTTCTGAATTAGGCCTGTTCGCTCCTCCAGGGTGGGAAAGCTGGCCTACTGGGTGCTGGAGGCTTTATCCCCCCCTAAGACCTGTGTGCTAGGGACAAGACTGGGATTTAAAAATCCACAGTGGCTGGGAAGGGGCATCTTATTTCTGTGGTGGCTGTCATGTCATGTTCAGAGCCAGGCTCTGAAGACAAGAGCCTGGGCATGGCATGTGTCTGATGGGTGGTGGGGATGAGTTATGACACTGTGAGCCCCAACCAGACAGACCTTTAACTGAGACAGTGTTTTCTGCCCAGTGCTTAGACAGAAGGGTTGTGTTTGCCAGTTGCTAGTTGGGTATTAGATGCAAATGGGCATTGTCCACTTTGGTTATTAAAGTGTCACATCAGGGACACCATACATGTCATCTGGGCCACATCTGACCAGTAGGGATTGGCTCCTTGAAGCTATTCAAGCTTAGAGAAATAATAGTATTACTGATTACTCATGGGTGTGGGAATGGCCAGTGTTAGCTCCCAAATATCAGCCAGTCCTGCACTGGAATGTTACCGTTTGTGTGAACCTGAATCTCATGAGATGGTCTTCTGGTGAACTGAAGACACTAACCTTTAATGAAGACCTTTTTGAGTCACTTTGAGATTCTGAAGCTGGGACTGTGTGACTCCTGGATGGTCCAGCTGTTTTCATTCTATATCCTGTGACTCATGGGAGCCATGACAGGCAGTGTGTATGACCAGGAAGCTGGAGGACACAGCTAGAAGAATGTGTGGAGTCATGCTGAGATAGTAGAGGGAGGCCAGTGCTCGAGCCAGGCTGATCTGGTCTGGTCTCAGCGCTGAAGTGCTGGAGCCTCAGCCCTGCTCTGTGTGATGCTTCGGGCTTCGCAGCCTTGAGTTGTTTCTGTCTTTTTTGGAGGAGTGTCAGAAACTGATGGCAGGAAGGACCCTGTTGAGTGACTGATGTGCCTAACACCATGGGCTGGCTGGGATAATGTACACAGGAGTCCAATAGATCAAATGTCTGGCGTGGCATGGCTTACAGATGACCAACCAGCTGTAGACAGCATTCCCTGGCTGGAGGTCAGTACCTCCTCACCCTAGCCTTGGCAGAGGGCCCGTAAGCTGCAGCTCCAGGGTGCAGGCTGGTGTCAGGGAGCACCTCTCTTGACCTTCTGGGGCTCATGAAAGGTGACCCAGCAGGGACACTGAGACTTAGTCACCTCTTCCCTTAGCCTGGTAGGTGGAACATAGTAAAAAGAGCAGGAATAGAGGTGATAGGGGGATAGGACAAGGCAATATTCGGAGTGCCCTTGTCTTGGGTTTCTATTACGCTATAACCACAGCAGCTCTTACAAAGGAAAACATTTAATTGGGGTGGCTTACAGTTCCGAGGTTCGGTCCTTTATCATCGTTGTGGGACATGGCAGCGTGCAGGCAGACGCGGTGCTGCAGAAGGAGCTGGGAGCTCTACATCATGATCTGCAGGCAGCAGGTGTGAACTGAGATGCTGGGCATGGCCTGAACGTACATGAGACCTCAAAGCCCACCCCCACAGTGACACACTTCCTCAAACAAGGCCATACCTACTCCAAAACCCATCTCCTAATAGTGCCACTCCCTATAAGCTTATGGGGGCCAATTACATTCAAACTACCATGGCCCTCACCCTAAGATTAATGATGGTGTTTTCTGTTTTGTTTTTAAATCAACTCTAGCTTGTATGTGTGTGAGGTTGGCATAGTTGATTGAGGACAAGAGAAGTTGCAAGAACCAGGAAAGGGGTCCTTTTGAACTCGGGGTGAGAGTTCCTGGGGTGGCAGTGAGGTTGGAGCACATTTGTTTGGAGGGTACAACTGATGGGGTTGCCTGGTACTGGGAGAAGGGGACAGGAAAACTGCACATGCCCCATTTTCCATGGTGAGCATTTGAGTGTCATTTCTCAGATCCTGAGGCCTGGGAGATGGTCAGTCTGGGCTGTGGTCTGAGACGGAGAATACATTTTGGGGGGTACATAAATTTGGAACCATCTTTGAGTTTCTCAAATAGAGATGTCAGATAGGCAATTAGGTAGTTCTGGAGCTTTCAGCTTTCATATGTGGGAGTTGTTGGTGTAAAGAGAAAAGTTAGAGGCACAGATGGAGCCCAGAGAGATGGCTCAGTGGTCATAGCTCTTATTCTTGTAGAGAACTGAAGTTGAGTTCCCAGCATTCATGGCAGGAAGCCCACAAACTACATGTAATTCCATCTCCTGAGGATCCAGTACCCTCTTCAGAATTCCCCCACAGGCCTCCCCCTCTCTGTCTTGGGATCCCCTCTCCCAAGCCCCACCCCATTCTCCCAGGACACCTTTCCCCAGGACTTCTCTCTCCTCTTTCTCCTCTCTCCTCCACATTCAGTCACAATCACATACACAAATAAAAACCTCTGAGGGCACAAGTGGCTTAGGTCTGGGGTGAGGATGAGCTGTCACAGGAGACCAAGAAGAGGTCAGAGGTGAAGAGAAAACTTGATGTTCTAGGAGTTTAGCATACTATGGAAGACCTGAGACATTCTACAAGGATGCCAAGAGCCCGCTGGGCTCCTTGCTGGTGCCTCCTCTGAGGAATCTGTGTTTCCAACGAGTGTAGGGCAACCCAAGCCCCAGGTTCCTGTCTGAGTTAAAATTGGCTCTGAGGTCCGAGTCCACAAGTTGGCTTAAAGTCAGAACATCTGTTGCTGTGCAGGGCTCGGAATTCCTGGGTTGGGGTGAGGTAGAATTGACTGAGAAAGGTGGGGTGACCACCCTCTTACCTCTATTAGGGGGATAGCTTTGGGAATTCTCAGAGAAGTTAGTGGGAAGAGTGGAGTTTCAATAGTTATTTGAAACCATTGACACTGACGGCACCGTGGGTTTACCCATTCACTCATCTACCCATGACTCTCCAGATACTTTGGACCAATTCTTGAGTAGATACTGTAGACCTGGATGCAATGGACCCATCCTTGAGAAGATCCTAGGTGGATAGAAACATATGAGAGGAGTCAGGAGGATGTGCCCATCAGTGTGGATGACTGTACCAAGTGCCCAGGCTGGGCAAGGGAGAGAATACTCTAGCTGTGCCCAGGGGATCGGGATTGGCTTTCATGTGGAGGAGGTAGAGGAAGCAGATGCACTTGGTGGGAAGGAAGATGACCTGCCGGGCTGAGGAAAGGCATGGGCAATGTGATGCAGCATAGCTTGATGCCTGAGAAGCCATAAGAGGCTCCCCGAGTGTGGTGCAGGCAGCAGGAAGGGGAGAATTGAGTTTGCATGCAGCCCTGATTCCAGGCTAAAATTTTGGGCTTCCCCCGAGGATGTGAGGGCCACTGAGGACTTTGAAGAGGGGAAAAATATAAACCAAAACAAGAATATCTTAATGCTGTTTGGAGGTGGCAGGGCCACAGGGAAGGCGACTGAGGCCTGGAGGAAAAACAGGAAGAGGGATGAGGGCACTGGCCTCCTGCGTAGTGCTCAGGGTCTGTGCTTCACATCAAGGGCTGGGACTCTTGGGTCACCAGGGGACAGGAAAGGCTCATTGGCCAGTGGGGGATGTGTTCCAGGTGGACACGCACATTCACGCAGCGGCCTGCATGAACCAGAAACACCTGCTGCGTTTTATCAAGCACACGTACCAGACAGAACCTGACAGGACTGTGGCCGAGAAGCTAGGTCGGAAGATCACGCTAAGGCAGGTGTTTGACAGCCTGCACATGGACCCCTACGACCTCACCGTGGACTCGCTGGATGTCCACGCGGTAAGTGAGCTTCTGCCCTGGTATCTCTGCCCACAGAAGCCTCCATACTGTGCTGGGACAGTTGGTGGCTGGGGAGTCTTCTTTCTCTGCTTGAAGCAGAGGCTGTGGAAGAAGTCTGGCGTCATTGAATCATGGGGCTGGGAACAAACATGGGCCAAAGAAAGAACATGTGGCGTGAAGTCAGATGGTTCCAAGGTCTAATCCCACTTAGGAGTCATGTGCTCTTAGGTGACTCATTTAAGCATTTCCCTTGTCTATAAGATGACTGTGGGGCTGGGGAGCCAGCAATTAAGAGCGCTTATTTCTCTGGCAGAAGACAGGTTCAATTCCCAGAACCCACAGTCAGTAGCTCACTAGTGCCTGTAACTACAGTTCCAGGAACCCTGGCGCCCTCTTATGGCTGTTACAGGCACTGCATGCACTTGGAACACAACCAGCCAAATAGGCACACAAACAGAAAAAGATCAACACATAAAAAGATTTATAAAGTGATGGCTATTTTGTATCTTGTTAATTTTCAAAGTTGTGAATGATTGTGCTGCTGTGGAAACAGCATAGTGGTTCTTTAAAATTCAGAATTTCACATACACTTGAAGGCACTGAAAACTGGGACATCAATAGACACTTGCAAACTGGTATTCATAGCAGCATTACCTTCAATAGTCAAAATGTAAAAAGTAACACAGTATTCAAAGACAAGTAAGTAACCCAAACGTAACAAATACACACAGTAAAACTGTTCAGGACTAAAAAGTCACAGTAAAAACTATTCTTTTTTTTTCTGATTCCATTTTTTGTGGTGTATGCTTTTGCACATGTGTGGCACAGGTGTGTACACATATGTGGAGGCCTGAGGTGGGTGCTGGGGTTCTTCCTGGATTGCTCTCCCATCTTCATTAAAGCACGGTCTCTCAGTCAAACTTAGAGCTCACCATTATGGCTAGTCTTAGGCGGCGTCTTTGTGGATCCTCTTTCTGCCTTCCGAGGATAGAATCACAGGCAGGGCCACTACCCCTGTCTGGCATTGATGTGGGTTTCTGGGGATCTGAACTCTGGTCCATACTGTGAAGTAAGCACATTATCTGCTCAGTCATCTTCCCTGAGGTTGAATTTGTGAGCTTTGATTGTTCAGTGGTCTTGAACCCTCTGCTCTGTATGCCACTTGAATTCCTCGAACCTCCACCACTGCCCTGTCCAAAGAGCGCTATGACTGACTGAGGGGACCTGGTCCTGGCATTCAGAACTTCCAAGGTTCTAATGCAGGAAATTATGTAGAGCTGGGCATGGTGATTCATGCCTGTAATCCTAGCACTTGGGCAGATGAGGCAGGAGGACTGCAAGTTTGAAGCTGCCTTGCACTACATAGTGATATTCTATCTAAAAGAAAGGGAGGGAGGAGGGAGATAGGGAGGGAGTGAGCGAGGGATGGAGGGAGACAGAAAGATGGAGATGGGGGGTGACGACATTTTCCAGTGTGGCGGCTATCTTGTAACGGCCTGGAGAAACACATTTGGTAGCTACAGAGAGATGTGGTGGAGCTGGCTGGTGTCTCCTCCTCACAGGGTCGGCAGACATTTCACCGCTTTGACAAGTTCAACTCCAAGTACAACCCCGTGGGGGCCAGTGAGCTCCGGGACCTGTATCTAAAGACTGAAAACTTCCTGGGAGGAGAGTACTTTGCTCGGATGGTCAAGGTGGGTGAGCCTCAGTCTCGTCAGATTCCTGACATAAACTGTCCTCAAAAAGTAGGGACGTGTATGACCTCTGTCTCTTCCTCTCCCTGAAGGCCTCCCACCACCCAGCACAGACCAGTGCTGGTCTCCTGCTCTCAAGCATGGGCACGTGTGTTGTGTGGGCCAATGGCAGGGAAGGGGACAGAAGGGAAGAACTCTAGCCTCCTGGTGCAACCCCTGTCTGTTTGCAGCCTGAACTTGGCTGGTCACAGGCTGGCTCCAGGTGGAGACACGGCTGCTGCCCAGCCTGGTTCTACAGCCAGGCCTGTTTCTACTGCATGCCGGTGTCAAACCCTGGCCTCCCTCCCAGGAGAAGCCTCGGCTGGGGAGTGGGTGCTTACGTGGCAACACCAGGGATTTAGATCAGCCTTCCAACCTATGAGCAGGTAGCTAAAGGATCCCAGGGCTCACCTGGGGATTGGGGTCTCCCATGTGGCTGGGGGTCTCTTGGGCTGACTCCGTTCTTTTTGGTACCAGGAGGTGGCCCGGGAACTGGAGGACAGCAAGTACCAGTACTCAGAACCACGGCTCTCCATCTACGGCCGAAGTCCCCAGGAGTGGTCCAGCCTGGCCCGCTGGTTCATTCAGCACAAGGTCTACTCACCCAACATGCGCTGGATCATCCAGGTGCCCCGGATCTAGTAAGTATCGGGCCTTTGTCTGCCCTGGGTTTTCTGGGGACCACACCCTGTCCTGCACGGCTCCTGTGCTATTGAGGGGCAGGCAGAGCTGCCGGTGCTTGGCTCCCAGTACACGTCACTCTTGCTTTTGAAGAATATACGGCAAGGCCTTGGTGGGGGACTACCATCCCACCTTCTTCTCATTGAGGATTTGGGCCAGCCTGGGGCACGACATGACCGGCAGTGTCCTGCATTGCTGACCTCTCCCTGACTGTCACTCAGAGTGCCTCTCTCGTCCCCAGCTGGGCTGGGCATGGGGTTTAGAGCAGCCGAGTGGCAGAGTCTGCTCACTGGAAATCTGAGGAGTCTCTCATCAGATCTCAGCTAGCCTGAATCCCTCCACTTCACTCTCGGAGTGGCCTCTGGCTCGATGGGCACTGGAAGATGTGGAGTTGGCACAACACTCACCGTCCTGGGTGCTTGCTCTGCTGAGAAAGTGACGGGGCCACCTGAGAGATCAAGTCCTAACGAGCAAGCCTTTAATTTCCCCAGTGACATATTTAGGTCAAAGAAACTACTGCCAAACTTTGGGAAGATGCTGGAGAACATCTTCCTGCCCCTTTTCAAGGCTACCATCAACCCCCAGGACCACCGGGAGCTTCACCTCTTCCTCAAATATGTAAGTGTTGGGGCCTCTGGTGAGCTCAGTGTGGTAGAGGAGGGCTCAGCTGTTCCACAGGGGCCCGGCCTGGATTCTTCCTGCGCCCATTGCTTCTTTCCCCAGCTCCTGGACTCCAGGCCTCGGCTGCCAGCTCAAGAAGCTGTTTAAAGAAGAAATGGAGGGGAGGCTGCTTCTCTGTCCCCAGCAGAGAAGGGCAGCCAAGGGCAAGAGTCACCAGCTCTGAGCCTGGAGGCTGGTGTACCTGGTAAAAAGGATTTCCCAGGGGGCTCAAGATGCCTCTGGGGCCACTGCTGGGCCTGGCCAGGGCCGTTAGGTCTGTTGTTAGGCATCCTGGCGTCTCATGGTGATACCTGACAAACCCAAAGGAATCATCTACCCATAACACCAAACCCAGCCCTGACATAGAGAATTCCTAGTTGGAAGGCTCAGCCTGGCTCAGCTCTTTCCTGGCTGGCTCTTTGAACCTAACCTGTTTCTCTTTACCCGCTTTTTGCCTCTTGGCTACTACAGTTCTTCCTTCTGTATTTCTCACTTGCATGGCTGCTGCCTGCCTGGCTTCTGGCCCTGCTGTGTCCCTCTTTCTCGCCTCTCTCATTCTTCTCCTCTTGAGCCTGCATTTCTCCTATCTATTCTTTCTGCATGGCAGCCCTGCCTCTCCTTTCTCTGCCTAGCTGGTGGGCCATTCAGCTCTCCATTGGACCAATCGGGTGCCTTAGCCAGGCGAGGTGAAACAGATGCAACACGTCTTTACACAATTAAACACACATCCTTACGTTGTTAAACAAATGCAGCATAAACAAAAGTAACACACTTTTCTACAGTTAAAGTAATATTCTGCAGCATAAACGAGTGTAACACCTCTTTGCCCAGTTAAAATAATATCCTACAACAAGTCTTGGAGCCTGTGTGGGCCGAGCCTGGTCATTCTGTTTGCACAGCTTCCTAAATGGTACTAAAATGAGGCTTCAGTCACCCTTGCCCACACGGAGACACTTGAGGACCAACTAGCTGGTGAGCGGAAGGCCAGGAGGACTTGATGGATGGTGCATGGCACATCAAGTGTCCCCTCCCACCTCAGCCTGCCACTGCTGCTGCTGACTGTGGCTGCCATTCCTGCAGCACTGGCCTCTTTGGCATGGCAAAGGGAAAATGTGGCAGCTCGGACTCGCCTTCATCTGGCCCAGCCTCGGTTTCCTCATTTTCTCCACTGCCACACAGGGGCTGGGCTTTCTCGATGCTTGTCTGCTGGGCCCGTTGGGAAGCCTGAGGGGACAGACTGAGGTGCTGCACCCCAGCTCTATGCCCTTGAGGGATAAGGCTGCAGAGGCCCAGGGTCCCCAACAGAAGTGTGAGTGCCTGGAGCTGAGTTCAGTCCTGGATGATCCTACCCTGGTTCAGTGCCAGCATCCTTACTTCCCACACAGGTGACAGGGTTTGACAGCGTGGATGATGAGTCCAAGCACAGCGACCACATGTTCTCAGACAAGAGTCCCAGTCCAGACCTCTGGACCAGCGAGCAGAACCCACCCTACAGTTACTACCTGTACTACATGTATGCCAACATCATGGTGCTGAACAACCTTCGCAGGTGGGTGAGGTGGCCCTGGAAGAAATCCGTCCATGTTCCACACCCATGTGATCCTTGGGTCTGTGTTCACTTCTGCCAACCCGCGCACCCAAATTGATACTTAAATTTATCATTACTGCTCACACATGGGCGTATGCATGAGATGAGTCATGATGATAAGGATATGTGTCATATGTGCACATATATGTTCATATGTACATACTCACCAGTACATACCTTCATGTGGACTTGTAGATCCCTGAGACAGGAGAGACGCAGGGCATGCCAACACATATGCGTGCTTATTTACTGCTATGCAGCAATCTGCACACATGAGTTTGTGCTTTGGAAAAATGTAATTACCATGTGATGGGCACAGTCCAGGCACTGGGGAGATGGGGAGTAAAGCAGACTCAGTCTACATAAACCTTAGGGTGGTCTCCCGTGCAAAGGCTCCACAGACTGGAGGAAGCACATGCTGGCAAGGGCCCGGTGGCACAGCAGCATTCTCTTTTCTATAAATCTACTATTCCGCACACGGTCTTTCAGGGGAGGGGGCGTGGCTACTCACTGGCTAGTTCTGAGCCAATCCAAGTTTGTGGTGTGGCGGTTCAGAATGGGGTTGAGAGAAGGGCCTGGGACCAGGGTGGAGGTGGTACTGAGCTGAGCTCTGGGAGATGGGCTTTCCAGGTCTGGCTTTGTCACTGAGCTGCTCAGTATCTTTCAACACCTGTCACCCTCTGGGCCTTTACTCATTTCTTTGGCAGAGTTTGGACTTGGTTTCTCATGGTGGATGGAGGTCATAGTCCTGGAAAGCAGGGGAGGGAAGAAGGGTGAAGGAAGGCCAGGGTCTCTCTCTATAGGTAGTCTCCTCTGCCCTGAAAGCCATGTCTCTCAGCTTCTATGTTATAGGAGGGGCTGTTTCTAGGGTGCACTGGGTTAGCTCTGCTGACTATGTCTTGGGTAGGTCTCCCCTGGACAGGGTCCTGGGCTGGGAGTGTGGGAAGGATAAACCAGGGTCACATCCTGACCTAGAGCCTCCATTCCGCAGGGAACGTGGCCTGAGCACATTCCTGTTCCGGCCTCACTGTGGGGAAGCTGGTTCCATCACCCACCTAGTGTCCGCCTTCCTGACTGCAGACAACATTTCCCATGGGCTGCTCCTTAAGAAGGTACGTGGGCCACTCCAAGGCCATGCTGGGTGTGCTGGGATCCCATTCCCCACTCAGAGTGTTGGCCAGTGGTGCTGGGGCCATGACTCCTGGAGGGCTGAGCTACTTATAGTCTTTTTGGGTTCACTGACAATTTTATTTAATTTTTTCATATACTTTGATCATATTCTTTCCCTTCCAACTCTTCCCTACCTCCCTTCACAACTTCGTGCCCCCCCCTCTCAACAAAAGCAAATAAATAGCAGGAACAACAACAAACAAAAACAGTTGGGTTCAGCCTGGTCTTGGTGGCGCACACCTTTAGTCCCAGCACTCAAGAGGCAGAGGCAAGCAGATCTCTGTGAGTTTGAGGCTAGCCTGGTCTATATAGTGAGTTTCTAGACAGCCAGGTGTGTTACACGGAGAAACCCTCTCTTGAAAACAAAAACCAAAACCAAAAAACAAAACAATTGGGTTCACTTTTAGTCATAAAATAACCAAACACATGATTTAGATTAAAAAAGCAAATGGAAAGCTCCTAGTTACTTTAAGGAAATGGCACTACCAGTTTAGTATTTCTAACCCCCTTTTTCTTTCTTTTAAAAAGACTACTTTTAAAAATTATGATTATGCATGTATGTCTGTGTGTGGGTCTGTGTGTGAGTGCAGAAGCCCGTGAGGCTGTTGTAGCCCTTGTAGCTGGAATTACAGGCTGTTGTGAACTGTCCCCATCTGCACTCAGGTCCCCTACAAGGACATTACATGCTCTTAACTGCTGAGCCTTTGTCCCCAGCCACATTCATCCACAGCATAACTTTAACATAATGTTAAACACAGAATAGTGATTCCTCCATGGACCAACAACCTTTGTTCTGTGCTGCGACATTCCTAGCCCCCTCGTTCTAAAGGCCTTTGGACAAAGGATCCACCATTGGTCAGTAATTGACTTAGATCATCCCCAGGGTGGGCCCAGTGGCCAGCTAGCTTTTACTTTGTGTAGAGGATGTCACTGTGAATCTCTTCCAAAATATCCCCTTGCTCTGGTCTTGACATTCTCTTTCTGGCCACACTTAAAGGGACAAGTGCTATATCAGACGATAGCACAAAGCCTGCCTCTTCTCTTCCCTTCAGGTTAGGTCCCCGAGGGCTGGAGTGTGTACAGCTCTCTGTTAGTCAGTCACTTCCTCACTGCTGTGACCAAATGCCTAACTGTTGTAATTTTAAAAAGCAGCAAGTGAAAGAAAGACACCATGCAACAGAGCTTGGGTGGAGGGTTTTTTTTTTAATTATTATTGGGGGAAAGTGAATGGGGAAAGCGGGGAGGGAAGAGGGGGGACAGGCCTCTGGGGACAAGAGCAGCAGAAGAGAAGAGAGAAGGGGGGGCAGAGAGAGAGAGGGATGGAGGGATGGGAAGGGAGAAAGGGAAGAAGGGGGAAAGGGAGGGAGGGAGGGACTAGGCGGGGCCCTTTTAAAAGGGACTATAGTGAATGTGCACAGGTGGTACTTTTAGTGGCTGCAGCTGAGGGCGTATCTGGTCAGAACCCCAAGGACAGGCCAGTACAGATGCCTGAACACTAACACTAACAAGGAGCATCTTAAAGGGGTAGACCTTATTTTGGCTCACACTTTGAAGGATACAGCTCATCATGGCAGGGATGCAGTAATACCCAAGCTACATTGCATATGTAGTCAGGCTGTAGAAAAACGGGTAAGAAGTGGGTCCTAGCTATTATAAAACTTCAAGGCCCACAACCAGTGACCCATTTCCTCCACTGAGGCTCTATTTTTCTAAAGGTTTCACAATCTTCCAAAACAGTGCCACCAGCTGGAAACCCAGTACTCAAGCACACAAGCCTACGGGGTTTTATATCCAAACCACTGAGAGTGTGAACTTGATGTGTCTACACATATGGGGGCTCTTCTGGCCTGCCCACCTCAGAGGGCCTGTGGGGAGTGTAAGATGTGGCCTCCCTCCCAGAGCTAATCCCTACAATGTGGAGCCAAGAGTGGGGGCTTCAAACAGTGGGCAAGGCTCCCTGCATGTCATAAGAGGAATGCAGGCAGCATAGGAAGGTGGGTCTGGGCATCCCAGCTTTCCTGGACATGGAGGGGTCTCCAGCACTGCCCAGCCTCTGGTTTCCATTGGTATTGGGAACACTTCTCACACAGTACCCCCACTGGCACATGTCACATGAGTGTTTGTTGGATCTTTTGCAGAGTCCTGTATTGCAGTATCTCTACTACCTGGCTCAGATCCCTATTGCCATGTCTCCTCTCAGCAACAACAGTCTGTTTCTGGAATATTCCAAGAATCCGCTTCGGGAATTCTTGCACAAGGGACTGCATGTCTCTCTCTCTACTGATGACCCCATGCAGTTCCACTACACCAAGGTGAGGATGTTGGGGATAGGGGTGGGTGCAATGGTGTCCCAGAAGGTATCAGTCTTGGCCTGCTCCCCAAGCCCTGCCACTGTGAAGATGTGAGTCCACAGCCCAATTTTGTTTTGGGGGCAGTGTGGCTTGATGAAGACAAGGGGTGAGCCTGTTGTGATGTGAGTCTTTGCCTTTCTCTCCATTCCACATTTTTTAAATGTATCTCTGTGATCTTGGTAGAGTTATTATAACTCTTATGTATTGTATTCCTTTTTATTTGTGAAGTGGGCATAAAATCATTTCTTCCTTAAGTTAATGGAATCTAACTGGTAGTCTAATAGTCTAATACACCATGCATTAAAAATTGTAACAAAATTTTAAAAATTAGTAGTATTTGTCCCTTTTCAGGGGAGGGCTGTGTAACCACGGCTGACTAGAACTTAGAACACAGTATGTAGACCAGGCTGGCCTTGAAATCACAGAGATCCCTGCCTCTATCTAGGTATACATCTAGGGCACTGTGATTAAAGGCATGTGCCACCATACCTGGCTTTGTTAATAGTATTTTATGATTATGGTTTCTGGGAGGAGAGAAGAGAAAGATGATGTTATGAACGGGGAGCAGCCACAAGTATTCCCAGCATATTCTACTGGTGTTGACAAGATCAGCCACTGATTAGCTAAAATTGGAAGCTGCAGTGTCCTGGGCGGGGCTTCTGCAGGCGTGTAGCACCCGGACCCTAGACACCCAGAATGGAAGCCCTCAAAGAGCTGCCTCCCCTCTTTGTTGTGTCTGTTGCTCTTTGTGGTGTGAGAAACTAGGGATGCTTTAAAAAATATTTACAAACTCATTTAAAATTTCTCTTCTGAGTGTAAAAATCTTTCACCTTTAAAAAACAGTAATGTATCAGTTTGATGCCTATAATCCCAGCACTAGTGGGCTGAGGCAGTGGGACTTAGAGTTGGGGGCTGGCCTGGGCTACAGATGAAACCCTGCACTGAAACAAAACAAAAACAACCAAGAAACTAAAAACAATGATGACAACAACACCACACATAGACACACACACACACACACACACACACCCTTTACCCATCCCAAAATAGTAATGGAATCATTAAGCATTGTATAAATAGCAAAAAATGTTATGAAACTATTTCCCAAAACAACAATCCCAAGAGGAGTGGCGTTGTTCTGCGTTTGCTTTAATGTCTCACTTAATAGAAGACAGCTGGGTTCCCATCTCCGCCTCTGCATTCAATTTCTTGAAAAGTATGCTAAAGCAATCCTGTCTCACAACAGCTACATAGTTGGCAAATGGAACTGGCAAAAGGTCTGAGTCCCAGAGGTCTTTGTAACAGCAGTGCAAGCCCCTCAGCTGGAGGAGGTGGGGCAGGAAAGAAAGGACTGGTGATGGATGGCAGAGAGTTCTCAGCCAGAAGATAAACCAGGGCTGTGACTAAGCCAAGCCCCTTAAGGATTGCATCATGTCCTCACGTGGAGGGAGTCTTTTACATTTTATTCATTTTAACTTTTATTTTTGAACATTTTAATGAAAATCGTGTTAAATAAAAAGCAAAGCTAGCCAGGTGTAGTGGTGCACGCCTTTAATCCTAGCACTCAGGAGGCAGAGGCAGGTGGATCTCAGTGAGTTTAAAGCCAGCCTGGTCTACAAAGAAAGTTCCAGGACAGCCAGAATTGTTACACATAGAAACCCTGTCTGGAAAAACAAAACAAAAAAACGAAACAACAACAACAACAAAAAAAGCTAAGAGCAGGCACTGAAAGTATGCCTGATGGGGCCTGGAGAGGTGGTTCAGCAATTAGCCAGCACTGGCTGTTCTAGAGGACCAGGGTTCAATTCCCAGTACCCACATTGCAACTCAAGTCTAACTCTTGTTCTAGGGGATCCAACACCCTCACACAGACATAGACATAGGAAAAACACCAATGCACATGAAATAAAAATAATTATTAAAAACGTGCCTGACTGCAGGGTGCTGAACTTTTGAGGCAGGCGGTTGGCGCCAGGATAAGGGCCAACAGGTCAAATCAATCTAGACCTTGATTACAGCAATTCAGCTCCAGTTCGTTATATGAGGCCCTGGAACAAAACTAATTACACTGCATCAGTTAATTACACGGCAACAGTTAACTAGTTGAGCTTCTTGACCAATCTGTTGCCAGTTAGGGTTCCCTCTGCTCATGTCTGTTTTTCTGTCAAAGCCTCCATCACTTTGTTGGTCAATCTCAGAGGCTGCTGCTTTGGGGAGCTGTCCCACTCACAGATCCTTGTTTACACAAACTCCTACATTTTACTAAGGAACCTCCCTTAATAAAGACTGTCCCAGAAGAGCGGGACCCCAGCTTTCTGACACGCTTGGCCCTAGGTACTGGTGAACAAACAAATCTAGACGTTTCTTTGATTTCTATTTGGTAACCCACAGTTGCACATAAAAGGATCTCAGGAGCTTGGAGTTTAAGGTGTGAGTTTGTTTGGTGATGCAGGAGCAAGCAACTTGAGGACACTCATGGGAGAGTGCTGTTTGTGTAGCAAGGCTGGTGTTGTCTCCTCTAACCTGTGTGCTCTGGGGCGGGGTCTAGGAAGCACTCATGGAGGAATATGCCATTGCAGCCCAAGTGTGGAAGCTGAGCACGTGTGACCTGTGTGAGATCGCCAGGAACAGTGTGCTGCAGAGCGGCCTCTCGCATCAGGTGAATGTGGGCTTGTCTGTCCTGCCTCCCTTCATAAATGAGCACACACAATTCTGTGCACTTCTAGGCACCGAGATAGGTGACAAGCTGAGGAAATCAAGTCTCAGGAGCACTGACATTCAGGCTCCAGCAGAAACCTTGGGGGCCACCATGGCTGCCCCTCATCTTAGACCTGCCCTCAGCCAGGCCTTCCCTGGTTGTCTTCTCCTTCCCCCTTAACCTATTTTTCTCCATAGCCTGTACCACTGCAGACACTGTGCCATGCATTTCCTTCTGTGTTTTCCAGTTTCCCCTTGGAATGGATCCCCAGGCCCTAAAGTCCTGGCAAGAGCAGACACTGAGTGCACACACGAGTCTCAGCAGCCTTTGTATGGGTTCTTTAAGAGTGGGGTGTGGAACCAACACTGAGAACCTGGGCATCTGCTCAGGGGATGTCATTTGAAGGGGAAGAGGTGGTCTTACAGGGTCTTGGAAGAGATGACAGTTAAAGGCCTAAGTGACAGCACTTAGTTGCTCTGGGATCCAGCCTCTCCGGGAACACATGACTGCACGCCCATGTCACCCCTCAGGATGGGTTCCTTGTCCTGGTTCTTTACCATCCAGGGTAGGCCCATCAGTCCTGTGATTCTCTCTCCTCTCACAATGGAGGGAATGGCCAAGTAGTCAGGGTCATAACATGGAGGGTCCAATCCAGGGATTGGGAGTCCCATGGGAGGAAGATGTCCCCATTGAGGATCAGCTTCAGGGGCACTAGTCTATGTGCTGGGGCTCATGTCAAAGCTGCCTGTGTGGATGTAGAAATGAGTCTGGTCTCACTTTTCTTTCTCTTGGCCTACAGGAGAAGCAGAAGTTTTTGGGACAGAATTATTACAAAGAAGGGCCAGAGGGCAATGACATCCGAAAGACCAACGTAGCACAGATCCGGATGGCATTCCGCTATGAGACTCTGTGCAATGAACTCAGCTTCCTGTCTGATGCCATGAAGTCAGAGGAGATCACAGCCCTGGCCAAATAGGTCCAGCGTTCCACTCCCATGTTTTGGTTTAGTTTCAAGCGTGCTGTGGCTAATGGTGGTTAGGGCTTTCGTCTGTGACGAGGCCGCCTCTGGAGAAATCTCAAACTCCTAATTTTGGTTGCACCTGATGACCATGCCCATTTTGTTAGTGTTTCTGAGCCGGATGCTGACCACCTCCCATGGGGAAGCTGGGAGCTGGCACTTGTATGTACTTGTTCCTCATTTTCCACATTTCTCTTGTGATTGCCACTGCTTACATGGCTGAGGCTGGGACTTAGCAAGGTTGAATGCCAAGTGACACAGGCCTGTGTGGTGTCTACCACACTTCTCTCAGCGTGCCCTGTAGTGTAGTTCTCATTTCAGCATCTGGCTGGCTGGCTGGCTGGCTGGCTGAACCTCCCTTCAAAGCTCCCTTTCGTAAAGGGGCTGCCTTAAGAGAAAATATGAGGCTCCCCTGCTGATTTGTTAAGCTCATTTTTAAAAATGAGTTTCTTCACCGGTATAGCCTCTCCTTCTTTCTCGTTAGGAAGCAGTGCACTCACTGATGCCATCCCTCATCTGTGTGTTATCTTTCTCATCCAGGGCTCCACGAGTCATCTCGAATTGTGTTCTGTGACTCCATCTCATGGACCACTCCAGGGCTGGGGAAGGTGCAGGGTGAGGTTCTGGCGCTTTAACATTGTATTTTCCTTTTAATGAAGGCCTTTGAAGAGCACAGGACCAGAGGGTCCGCCCCTTGTGGCTCTAATGTCCTATGACTGCAGCTGTTACCACCTCCCCAGGAGTCAGACCAGGGCAGTGACTCTCTCTTAGGAGCACACAGGATTAGAACCAGGTCCCTGAACCAGTCTTTTCCTCACTCTTCCTTTAGGCTTCACAAGTGTCAGTTTTTTTTTAATCATTTTAACATGGTGCATTTTATTTTAAAAAACAGATTTCTTCAGAAGCTATCTTGGTCCCAGGACCAGGTAGAAAGGTTTTAAGATCCATATGGAGTTAAATTTGATCAGACTACTTATCTTTGTTACTAGTGCCTAGAACATAGTAGGTGCTCAATAAATGCATATGAAACAACTGAATGACTTTCTCTTTTGGCACCTGTATGTACAGAATACTCAAACATGTTCAAATACCTTCCTAACAAGTTACAAGGCAGAGGCCCTTCTGAATCACGGTTGGATGAACCCAATTTTATCTGGAAGATGCTTATTTGATTGTAGATTATCTTATCCTGTGATTGTCATTCTCCCAGGGGTCAATGTGGCTTATGGAACCATGCCATCCTTTTACTAGACAAATATGCTGTCTTACATGGCTGATCCTGAAACCGAATGAAAACCTGTCATCTGAGGGATTGTTTTTAAAAAGCCTCCATTTGTATATATTTGCCCAAACATAGCAAGTATTGTACAGTTTTTTTTCATTGTATAAAATACTTTTAAAAAACCTACAAATAAAGTCTCATAGGACTGTGACTTGGTAGAGCACGTGCAACATTAAGTTGGGGCTGAGTGAAAAGGTCTGAAGTGGAGGGCACTCATGAGGAAAACCCAGAATTTGCAAGTGGAAGCTCAGACCTTGCGGTGGTGTCTGGCACCTGTGTGGCTCCTGCCTGCCCACAGGGCATCAGCAGAGCTGCACCTGAGTTCTTTCCCTGGACGTTGTCTTTGTCTGCTTGCTAGCATGTGATGGGTCTTACATGTCCTGAAAGCTTCCCAGGCTCCTGTTTCTCTAACACTGCATTTTATCACATCCTGTACTTCACTGACCCTCTTGAGGGGTGGGAGGTGGGGGTGAATCCCTGCTTTTGCTTGTTTTACAGTTTGGAAGCAAAGGGAAGTGTATATGGACCCAGGTTTCTAAAGCAAAAGGTTCCAGACAGTGCTTTCTGGCTGATTCCTAAAAGCAGATGGTTGCCTTATATCCGACTTAAGTTGTGCTGTTGAATCTGTTACCTTTGAATGAAAGCAAGTCTGTGAGCATGCCTGGCTTCCTCAGTAGTTACTGCTTGCTGGGGGGGGGTGGGCTCATGAAACAATACTCATCTTCCCCTGGTCTTAAACACTGATGAAGGTGGTTGGTTGTGATACACATACTGTTCTGTGTCTGCACTGTGACTGTTAAAATAACCATAATGCCAATAAAAGGAACACACAGCGCAGACGAGCAGCCTCTGGCTTCTGTGCTTACCTCTAAGGGCGACTGTGTACAGCAGAAGGCAATGAAGAGCTAAGCCTATGGAGTGGCATATTTATCAAAGTACATCTGAGGAGGCTTTGTGATTCAGATAGATACCAGAGTGTCCTTCCCCACAGTGTGGTTGATGGGCACCAGCGAACTTGTCCCTAAGCCACCGCCTCCTTCTGCTTTCCCTCGTGGGCAGTGAGACTCAAGGCACTTCTCTACTGACATCCCTTTACCCAGGAAGTGCGGTCAGGGTGCAGTGCTAACCCTCTATTCTGTCTAAGGGGCAGCAGGGCAGAAAAGGCCAGCAAAGCCACACCACTGTTGATACCGCCATTGTGCTGCCACTCACAGATGTGTGTGGTAAACTGACAAAGTAGCCTTCAGTCCAGAAACACCCCCCAGAGCAAGGAAACTCTCAATATTACACATGCAAATTATTTGGACTATTTTTTAATGAACCCAACTTCCCAGTGTTAAAAATCAGGGAACCAAAAGGTTTCCAAGCAGCCTTATTACCCAGATATATATTAATATAAGGAAATCATCAAAACATAGCACGAAAACACCATGATCCTCAGAGCACAATATAAAACATTCTTCTAATAAATATAAATATTTAGTACATAAGAATGTGAAATTACATAAGCAAAAGTCTTTTTCATTAGCTAATGTTCACTTGCAAAGTTTACTTATTGCACACTGTATCAGTTTTTCCTAAGAATAAAACAGGTTCTGCTGTCTTTACACCAGTACACAGCCAAGTTCATTTTCTGAATCCAGTGTCTACAGCATCCCAGTCAACCCACAGTTACTGAATGAGCATAGAACAAAAACTCCCTAGAGCAGGAGGCAGCTCACACATCTCAGAAGGCACACGATTCTCTACCATGGTAAATGCATTTAAGTACTTCTTATTTTGAAAAGACAAAACTGTACAGAGTAGAAAAGTGTCTATTTACTCAGGAGACAAAGCTACAGCCTCTCTGAACAGCAGGTGGGCCCTATACCATTCACATCTGAAGAAAGATGGAATGAACAAAAAGCTCTGCTCCTTTACCTGATGAGGCAAGCAGAGACTCCGGCATTTCACAGTGGATCAGTTCGAATCTTGGAGCTCACACTATAAGGAAAGGGCTAAGGGCAATATCAAGTTACCAGACTCATTATTAATTCCTTCAAAAGTGAGGGATTCTGGGGAATAAAAGTTTTGGCTACTGCTGAAAGGAACCCAAACCAATAAAACTATGTTATTTACTTTCAGAAACATTTTTCAATTAGGCAATTTGAATTAAACCCAACAACTCTAATCCAAAAAAAACAATTTAAAATTTTAGGGTTGGAAAATATCTCAGAGGGTCACTTATCCCAAGGTTTTAAAACAATGTTCCATAGAGCACTTGAGAATCAACACGAGAGGTTGAATCATCTACAAATATAAATTTTAAAATGTTTTAAAGATTTATTTGTTTGTGTGTGTGTGTGAGAGAGAGGGGGGGGGAGGGAGGGAGAGAGAGAGAGAGAGAGATTTGTGGGGGTACCCTAGGAGGTCAGAAGAAGAAGAGGGTGTTGGATCTCCTGGCCCTGGAGTTAAAGGCTGTGGTGATCCACCAATGTAGGTGCTGGGAACTGAACTCTAGTCCTCTGCAAGAATAGCAATTGCTCTCAGCTACTGGACCATTTCTCCAACCTTACCACACACAATTTTTTGAAACAGGGTCTCAGTGTAGTCCAGGCTGGCCTTGAACTCAATATGAGTTGAGGATATCCTTGAACTTCTGCTTCCTCCTTTCAAGGGCCGGGACTACAGACATACACCACTGTTTGTTTTTATGCAGTGCTGAGATGGAATGCAGGGCTTCATGTATGCTAGGCAAGAACTCTACCAACTGAGCTACACCCCAGTCCTGAAATATTATTTTTACACAACAGAAGCTTTTTATCATACAAATATGTTATTCACTAGATTCTAATGAAACGGCACCACCAATCACTGTGACATTTTCCTACACTGATTTACTTTATAGTGACTATACTAAGTTTATAAAAGGACACCTGTATTAATAAAATGTAGCTTCTACAGAATGGGGTAGCATGTATACATACACTCAGTACATATGAACTCTCAAAATTTACTTGAAAGAAGTTTCACTGTTAAGGGTTGAAAGCCACAAATACAGTCTCAGTTTCTCAACAGAAACCAACAGTAGAGTAAGGCTGTCTCAGGCTGGGAAACCGTCACTGCACAGCTAAGCTAGGAGAGAGGACAGCACTGCACTTGCCCACACACCCGGCAGGTCGACTTGGCCATTTTATACTTCACTGTTCTATTGTGACAGTCAGTAGACAGTTTAAGTCTTTGGTATGGGGGAGGGGGTGCAGAATCAAGCCAGATCTTTTTCTTTGAAAGGGATTTTATTTGCATGCCCATTAATATCTTAATTAAAAATCAATAAGCAGCAACTTCAATTTCATACCTTTGTACTTAGGAAAATCTGCAATTAATCAGTGAGAAAATGGAATGCTAAAATTTCTTAACGGTGACTTGAGTTCATGCACTAGTTTTCTTATAGGCTGAACTGTTAACATCAACATTCTTATTCCAAGAGTCTCTTTAGACTCTTGAAGGAGTGCAGAGAAAAGAGAAGAAAGTCAATCACTCTCTGGATTTCAGGGTTTACAAATACATGGTGAAGTTTCTTCTGATCTTCCTTTTCTTTTAGTCTAAGAGACCTAAGGAAACCGAAGCCTCTGAGAGTTGCCTTTACCTAAGATAAGCACACTCTAGTTCAGTACTGGATGACTCAGTGTAACCTGGAAATACAAAATATGTATATAAGATAAAGAAAGATTTCCTTCTGAAAAGCCAAGCTACATGGGCATTATGAAAAATCCAGTGAACACCTCCCCAGGTCTGGAGAACAGCCATGACGATTCTTCCAGTAGAGTCCATTTGTAAGACGAAGTCCCAACCTCTGTGTGCTTCTGTGAGTGCAGCAGCATGGCAATGACACAGAATCGTCCTGGAAACCACTGCCGAAGTTACAGGTAACATCAGGAAGCAATTGGGCCACAGTAGTGGAGGATCCAGAATAAACCACAAGGGGGCAGAGTGCACTCGCTCAGGTCCCAGCAATAGCAACTCCCACTGAGACATTAGTTTCAGTCGTTTATCTCAGATGGTTACAACTTTCAACACCCTAAAATTTAAACCTAGCTAAAAACACCCCTCCCTGAAAAGTAGTTATGTCAAGTATTGCTGCTATCTGTAGCACAGGGCTCAAGAGCAACAAAGGACAGGTGGACAGTGGGGACTATGGCCAAACAGTAGCAAACTGTAGCCCACCCTACATGGAAGACATGGAGTTTATTTAAGAACGGGACATATTATCAGAGTAGCAAAAATAAGAGGGTGTGAACACTGATCTTCCTGTGTGTGCCACACATCCCTCTACTCCTCCTCTATGACCACAGCATATCTGTAGCTCATAAAAACAATCTTCCCCATCACGGCCTGTGGGGCTGGCCTGCCTCATCGGCCATATTAAGAATATAGTTAGCCATGTCATCTTCAGTGGGAGCATCTGACACCACCCACGATTCATTTGCTCCAGTCATTTGTAGGCGACAAATGGGGCAGTTCCTGTGCCGATCACTCCTGTCAGGGAAGTCCAAGCAAAACAAGTTTCTTTCTTTTTCTAAAAAAAAAGTTTGTTTGAAAAGTACACAGCTTTAAAAAATGAAACAACATAAAAGTACACAGTGAAGAATTAATATTTCTCCTCATCCCAACCTTTAATTCTCTTCCCAGGGTCAACCAGTTGTCTACATATTTTACCAGGGATGAATTAAAAACCTCAAGTTTGTAGGAAACGAGGAAGTAAGTATGTGTCTCACTGACCTTGTACTGCTATCCAAACATCTTAAAAACCATTTCGCATCAGCATATATTATGTTAGTCTTTTTGTTTTTTCTTTTGAGACACAGTCTTGCTATATCACACCTAGGCCAGCCCGGAACTTGCCATTCTCCTGCTGTCAGCTTGCTCAGTGCTGGAACTGTAGTGCATATTGACACACCTAGACTTCAGTTTACTCGTTGTTAAAAACATGTACTGTGTGGAGATGCCATAAAGTATCCAACTAACCTCCAGGGGAAAGAGCCTAGTCCCCATCTTGTCACACCAGCCAGGGTCTTTAATTCTTATTCCTGCACCCCCAGAAGTTTTCCTTCAGAATAAAAATTCCTATGAGTAATAAGAGGAAGCTACCTCGTACCAGTGGGAGAGTTGATCAAAGTGTAATGTTTAAATATTTATCTTTATTTAAGTAGAATCCACTGTGCCTTGGGACTCATGTTTGGCCAGTGGTGGGCACATGGTGGCATTACTAGTATTTACTAATTAGTATTACTAATTATTATTCTGAGTAATAAAGACCTTTTTTTTTTTTTAAGATAGGGTCTCTTTGCAGCCCTGGCTGGCACAGAACTTGCTATGTAGATTAGGCTGGCCTTGAACTCATAGATCTGTCTGCTTCTTCCTCCTCAAATGCTGAGATTAAAGGCATGTACCACCACATGCAGGAAAATACCTTTGACAAGTTAATTACAACTAAAGGTCTGATAAAATATTCTTTTGTTTAAGACCAAGAAAATGTTAGAAAATTGTACAAAGATGGATCATTTGAGGGTTAAAGCAAGAGATGACACTTATATACAGGATAATTTTCTGATACAGAATACATATATGATTATTTAAGACTATATTTTTTCAAATGGATTCTTCATCAAATACTACTTTGGAAATGTAAATACCATATTTGAGTTTCAAATACATTATGAAAGGAAACCTTCTCCCAGTGAAATCTAGGGCCAAAAATAACCAGTTCATCAACTGTTCTTTTGCTTTTGTGTAAAAACTGAGAAACTTATCCCAAAAACTAGATGTGCAATTTGGAGTTGGCATATATTATCCAGTTGATTTTAGGATCCCCAGAGATGGTTTATAAGATCATTATGTGTGCTTTCCTGTAAATAAAACATCACAATTTAAAAACAGCCAATTTTTGCTTCTGGACAGCAGAAACATGATTTATTTTCTGTGTTGGTTTAAAAGAAAATGGACCCCAAAGGGAGTGGCACTATTAGGAGGTATAGCTTTGTTGGAGTGGGTGTGGCCTTGTTAGAGAAAGGTGTCACTTGGGGGCAGGGTTTGAGGTCTCATATATGCTCAAGCCACACCCAGCGTCTAAGTACATTTCCTGTTGCCTTCTGCTCAAGATGTAGTTAGCACCATGTCTGCCTGCATGTCTCTGCGATGATAATGGATTAAACCTCTGAAAATATAAGCTACCCCAATTAAATGTTTTTCCTTTATAAGAGTTGCTGTCATCATGGTGTCTCTTGACAGCAATAAAAACACTAAGACATCTTCCCACTTAAAACAACTAACACACAGGACACAATGTCCAAAAGAATGGTGTTAGATGAAGTTCCATATAAAGCCCTGGACATAGACAAGAAGTAAGAAGCAAAGTGAGTCTGTGGTAGCAAGTCAGCTGCCCCGTGAGTTTCCAGGACTCAGAAAAAGAAGTAGGGGACCTGAGGCCTGCCAGACTATTGCAGCAACAGCTGAGGCGAGGCAGTTAGAGTTCAGGGCAGAGCACTGCCCAGCAGAGAGCCACACAGAGGGCAGTGTCAAGAGACAGCAGGCCCTTCACTCAACGACAGAGCGCACCAGTGTGAGCAAATGCCAGCAGCTGAAAGTTGAGAGGTGCACGCACAGGCCTCAGAGGGCACAGGGTTGTGTCCCCACAGCTAGACTGGACCCTTCTAACTCTTGGAGCATGGGGAGAGCACTCTGAAGGACTCTGCCACATCCGTGGGAATAAGTAAGAGGAAACTAAACTTTGTTCTGTTCCTGCTAACAAACTGTAACAGTAGGATCCCAAAGAGTCAAAGTACTTCTAAGGAAGCAAAGCTTGAATGTCAACAATAATAAAAAAATTGCTAACTAGAAAGGTAAAATTCATAATATTTGGTACTTAATAAAAACTACAAGGCAGATAAGCAGCAGAAAAATATTGTAAGACACAATAAAGAGGAAAAACAATAAAAATAATGCACAACTGACATGACATTAGAACTAGCTGATGAATGAGAAGCTGTAACTTTAGTCCACACAGTCAAAGTACCATACTCAGTGGACACAGAAGTGAGCACTAGAACATACAAGGCAAATAAACATCTAAATACTAGGGAGTGTGACAACACAGTGACTGCCCAAATGAAGTACAATTCAGAGAGCATAACACACAGTAATGGAGGCCACAGGGACAGAGTGGAAAAGGGTCATATAAGAGATATGAGAAAACAATGACTGAAAAGTTTCCAATATCAACAAAACCATGAACCTACTATAGCAACAAACTCCACGCACAAGAAACCTGGGGTGACAACGAGACATCTCCTACTCTTGCTTAAAAGAAGTTAAAAGATGAAGACCTTACAACAGGCAGAAAAGAAAAGAAGGCGCACTGCCCAGAGGTGAACAACAAGGAGACAGCTGCTCCTAGGAACACAAAGCAAGACGAGGTGGAGCCCAACACTAAAGTCTGGAAGAAAAAACACTTGACCTAGAATTTTGTATCAGAAAAGGTATCTTTGAAAAGCAATGGTTAGATGTTTAATAGAATTACCAAAATGTTCTATAGAATCTGCAGAAGAAAGTTTCCAAAATAATATGTGGTTCAATAAGACTTCAGGATACAAGATGGATGTGAAAGGACTATTGTCTTCTTATATACTAGCAACAAACAAAAACTAGTTAGGACAGTGCAAAACTGTAGAATACTCAAGGACAAATCTGTCTGATATCTGCAACACTGTGCACTATAAAACTGCTTGCAGAAATCAGAGGGCTAACTAAACATGATGAAGCCACTGTCCCAAACTGATGTACAGTATCAATGAAGGTCTCTGCAGGCTCTTTTGTGGAGCTTATACACCAATTCTAAACTTCTTATTAAAACGCCAAAGCCCTGGGCCAGTCCAAATGACGTTGGAAAGGAGGGGTTTGTAAAGCTGCAGGAAGCAGGACAGCATGTGACTGGAGTGAAACAGATTTACATCAGTGGACAGAAAAGTCCAGAACTGACTTATACTTGAACAACTAATTCCAAAAAAGGTTCAAAGCCAAATTTAGTGAGACAGTCTTTTGTCAAACTAACTAAAAATGTAGCATGTACTTAAATGTGAAATCCTAAACTTGTAGAAGATTAATAACTTCAGTGCCCTTGTGGCAGGAAAAGAATTGATAGATAGGGTCTCTCTCTGTCACAAATTGAAATTTAGCTTCATTAGAACAAAAACCTTCTTCTCCCTTTGTCTCAAGACAAAGAAGACAAGCCACAGAGAGGGAGAAATATGTGCAAATAATATGGTAAAGCAAAACTCTCAATAACAAAACAGGCAAAGACTTGAACAGACCATCATCTAAGATGCACAGGGCAGGAGCCACAGAGAACTACCCATGCTTGAAAACAATGCCGGCTAGCATGGCTAACGACAGTGGAAACTCCTATGTAGTGCTGGAGAGGGCACAAAAAGGGTAAGAAGCAGCCAGGCGTGGTGGCACACATCTATAATTCCAGAGTTGGGAGGTGAGGCAGGAGGATTGCTGCAAGTTCCGATTGAGGCATGCCTGGTCTATTACAAAGCAAGATCTTGTCTCAAAATTTTAAAAAAGGCTTTTCCTTTTAAAAAGTATGACTGCTTTGGAACTGAGTTGGCAATTTCTTGAGAAACGTCTGTTATATATGATCTGGCCATTTGAGGTAGCTACCAAATTAAATTACATGTCCATAAAAAATATTTGTTCACAAACATACAGAAGCTTTTTCTTGGTACTTACCTACACCTACAACATGATTAAATCTGAAGATAACTACACTGAAGGAAAGAACCTAGACAACAGAGAGGGCACCATATGCTGCCACTTTAAAAAGTCTAGCAAATTCAATTTTCAGCAAATGAAAGCATTTAACAGCTGCTTAAGGATCAGGTACAGGTGATTCTGGGGCGTGATGAATTGCTCCTCATTTTGTCGTGACAGATTTCATTAGTATGCACATAAATTACAGCATACCAGATTATATTTCAGATACATGTATAGCTTATTGCATGTCAATTATAAATTCTCCTAAGTGTGCCATTATCTTGTAAGCATACGACTTTAATTAGTTGACCAAACATCCCTCCAAATGAAGATCGTACAGCTGAGGATTTGTTCCTCTACATACATACAGTGAATTATGTATGGGCGGGAGGGGAGCCAAAGAAGGGGAAGTGTTTGATTCTAGATTCAAACCAGGCATCAGGATTCTTACAGTGTCAGGCAGGGCAGTGGTGGTGCACACCTTTAATCCCAGCCCTCAGAAGGCAGGGGCAGGCAGATCTCTGAGTTCGAGGCCAGCCTGGTCTACAGAGCACGTTCCAGGACAGCCAGGGCTACAAAGAGAAACCCTGTCTTGAAAAACCAAAAAAGCTTCTTGCAGTGTAAAAACCAAGTTGTGTCTCCACACTTCACAAACATTTGGTATAAAAAGTAGAACTAGTGGGCAGCACACCATAAAACTCAAAGGTACTAAAGAGCAAAGCTCCAGTGGCTAGCATTGAAGCATTTGCATTTCCTGTGGTTTATTCACAGTCCAGCTGACCTCTGCTATCTCCAAGGGCAGTGGATAACTTACCATTTATCAATACACTTCTGACAGAAGCTGTGAGCACAGGGCAGGATGAGGTCAGCTCGGCCGTCCATGCAGATACAACACTCCTCTTCATCAGTCAGCTGCTTCACCCTGAGTGTGAAAACAGCTGGAACAATGGCAGTCTCTGTCCACAGGCTTCCTACTCTGTTTCACTGCCTTAAGAAGCAGCGGTAAACACCCACAGCATAAAGCTCAGCATGACTTATGTGTAGAGCGAACAGGACACCATAATTAACATCTTTTGGGGCTAGCAAATACGTTAGGGAAGAAATTCTGTGCAGACTAAAGAAAATGAAATCTGACCAAAAACTGCATATTCAGGTCTTTCTGAAATAACTAAGTCCATTTTAGGCATATTGGATTTACATATAGGAAATGAGCCAGGCTATCATTTATTTGCCATAAAGGACACAATGCTGCCTCGTCAGCTGGGCCTTACAATGGCACTGACAGTATCAGAGAAGAGAAGGGACAGCACAGTGGTTAAGCATCAGATGCCACAGGAAACACAAAAGGGCTGGAGCCCACCTATCTCAGGGCTCCCAGGAAAAACCTTCTCCCCCTCAACCAAGAACCACAGGGACCGTGCTCCTTTGCAGGTGGAATTTAGTCAACCAACTCCAGCAGCTCAGCTTAAAACACCCATCTCCTTCTGCTCTCAAAATCAGATTCTGCCTCAATTAAATGATTTAAAAATTGCATACAGCTGTTTCATGGTGAGCCACCCCATAGGTTAGTTTTTTTTTAAATATAATGTTCCTTAAAGTGATTTAAAATGTTGTACTCTTTGTGCTTTTCTGTTGTTTTAAAGTATAGCATTCTTCTAAAGGTAGGAGCTGTGTCTGATGTATTTCCACCTCCTACTGTATTTATAGCATAGCATGTAAGGCATGGCAATAACAGAATCTGTTGATATGAACATAATATAGACAAATATCAAATGTGCAGCACATATAGTATGTGCTAAGTAAAGTAAATACTTTTGGAAACATGAGAGAGAAATCACAGAATATTGACAGAGAACATTCTAGGAGCATGAAGTAAGCCACGGAAGCATGAAACAAAACATGAAGTGTGTGTGTGTGTGTGTGTGTGTGTGTGTGTGTGTGTGTGTGTATGCACGCGCGCGCGCACGCGCAAGCATGTACCTGTGTAAAAGGTTGCATAATGTTCAGGCATTAAACTGAGAGAAAGGACTGCTTGGTGGTGCACGCCAGAAACCCTGTCTCAAAAAAACAAAAACAAAAACAAAAACAAAAACAAAAAAAAGAAAAAAGAAAAGACAATCTGATTCTTGAATATTAAAATAATAAATATGAATTTGTTTTACGAGGCAAACTAGAAGCAGTGTCTAATCAGGGGAACACAAATCCCCACTACTACAGGACTTCAGAGCGTGGAGAGAGCAAGGGGCAGTCTAGAGAGAGGGAACAAGGTAGAATCTTATCTCACAGCACACTTGAGAGACAGCCGGGGCCTGGTTTAAGAAGAATTAAACAGACATCATCAGGGTGGGGTAACAGATTAATGTTTGATTCAATCATGGAGAAAAGAGTGAAGTGGTGAAATGGGTGGGAACCTACATGCATGTGATCTGATATGTGTATTCATACATACATACATTTGTGTATGCACACATATATGCACATACATTAGTCACATACAAATATGCATACCAACATTTATACACATATACTGACACTTAAGCACCTTTTCAAATCCACACCAGATCCATATGGTTTAGCACTTGTGCTTATGATCGTTCAATCGTGACCTGAGGGTGTCAGCAGCTGAGAGCGCAGCCGAATCTACAGAGTGACAGGGTGTCCTGGCAGGGAAGTTTCAGAGTCAGGAGCAGAAGGCCATTACAAAGAATAGCATGGTAGCCAGAGAAAACGGAGACAGACTGCCAGTGTAAGCTGCTCCATGCCCACGCTCTGCTACCTTCCTAGCACAGTGAGCAGGAGGAAGGAACCTTGCTCTCTCTGACCACTTGGAGCTGGATGGGTGCCGCTTCCTACCGCAGCCCTGAGAGGCACACTGGCAGACGAAGATCACACAGGACACCAGTGCAGGAAGAACCCAGGAAACAAAGGCTGGAGACACTTAGGCTCAGTAGGAATTTGACTAGTTTTCAACCTTTGAAGGACGGAAGCAGTCAGACTTGTTTGGTGGAATTCCAGAGGCCATGCTTGGCTGCTGTACTGAGCAGGGCACGCTATACTTTAATAATGATGGTGACAGTTGATGCACCCACTATACCGATATGTGCCCGGCACTATTCTGTGTCTCATCTATTAACTCACTTAACTCTCTCACCAGTCCTCTGGGGCAGATGCCATTGCTCTCAAACTGAGGAGAGAAGGAAGTTAAGGTTTGAACACAGGCTGGTTAGTTCTAGGGTCTTTGCTGTGCTGCTTCCAGAGAGCCAGACTGAGATTACTCTGAGGATAAAGGCAAAAAGAAAACCTTCACAGTGGTTAAAGCTATCTGGATGTGAAGAGGATTGCTTCTCTGAGGCTGTGAGTCTCACAAAGCTGTGGGAGCTAGTGGTACTGCAACTTGTAAGTTTCCATTGGGTGAACTATGACACAGTCTTGATCCTGTAGAGCAGACAGAGCAGTTGCCTAGGATCAGCAGCATTGGAGCATCTCAGAGCTGGGAAATCTTTAGCTCCTCCTCCAAACCACTGAGCTACAATGGGCTAAATGTGAGTCTTTAGCTATGTCAATCACTATCTAGTCACACTTCTTCCTCTAAACCCGCTTCCTCACCTGACCAATTGTATTCCTGTGGAGTAACTGTTAGGATTTAAAGAACTGCAAGTGCTCAGCAGACATCAGCCACTAACAGAACTGTGCATCTAAGAGAAGCAGGACTGCAGAAGCCCTCAGGCTCACCTTCTGCTTTGATCTGGGTACCAGGGTACCACTAGAAGCCCATAACGAATGAAGCCAAGTGCTGGCTTACCTAACCAACTGGCACAACTTTTCCTAGTCTTTAAGAGCCAGTACTCGGGAGGCAGAGTCAGGTGGATCTCTGTGAGTTCAAGGCCTGGCTGGACCGATAGCCTCCAAAACAATACAGAGAAACCCTGTCTCGTAAAACCAAAAAAAAAAAAAAAAAAAAAAAAAAAAGCGTTAAAAAAAAAAAAAAAGAGTAACACTTTCACCATCTTCCTGACGACGACCCTAACAGGAAGAGAAAGGCTGCTTGCTTTTCAGTGGCTACAGACATAAAAACCACTTTCAGCTTTCAAAACACTCAGAATGGAGCAAAAATGCAACTGTGAATAAAGCAATAAAAGGAAAACTCCTGTCAAACACAGACTTAACTTAAGAAGGACACAGTCAATGCAGATTCTGCCATCTCCCAGTGTCCCAGTGAGACAAGATAACAACATGCCTGGAAACACAGAAGTCCTTTTCCAAGGAGGCACTAACAAATTCAAATATGCCATGTCAAGCAGCAGTAGGGAGCTTGCAACACCAAAAGCATGGACAAAGGAAAGTTCAGACAAAACACTAATATATGAGGCCTGAGTAAGCAGGTGCCATCATGGTAAACCCCAGCTGACATCATTCCCTCCTGCTAATGCAGTATCCATATGCAGACAAATGTTTGTTCTTTCCTGAGTAAACTGCCAAGGCCTGGAAACAACATTTAAACATTTAACTTCCAATTAGATAATTTCTGAAACAATTTTGCCAGATTCTTGGACCTAATTATAAAAATGGCTTTGACTATCTAAAAACCTGTTAAAGAGAAGGCATCAGTCATTAATGCCACTAGGTTCAAGAGACAGAGAGTGGGTTCCCAAAGAGTGAGCTGAGAGAGACATTTCCTGTCGTGAGCCACCTTAATCTGGGACTGTGAAATGAATGGAAGGAAAGGATAACCTATGATCTGGCTGTAACACAGATGGAGGCAACAGGACTGAGGGTGTCACCAGGCACTAGGGAGAATGTCACTGTAATCTCAGAAGTTTGCTTATTCACTGTAACTGTGTTACATGGTACACACATACCTGCCCATCCACAGACTAGCCTGACATGACATTGCAGAGGACGGGTTCCCATCGGGCTCTTCAGAGATGGAGCTCTGAGCCAACACTCCAGCAGCTTGACTTGTGATGTCTTTATAAAGCTGAATAAACTGGTATAAATTCATGATCCGTGATGCTTCCACAATACCACTGCTTTTGTTAATCTAGAAAGATAATGGGGAAAGGGAACACAGACACACGATTCAGCCAAATATCCTAGGAAACAGATTTATGGCATGGAATGTACCTAGGAAAATAAGAGTCTGATTAAAGAACACTCACATCTCTTCAGTTGTGGAGTTCATTAGAGAATTTACAAAATGTTCCCTTCCGACATTCAAAATAACCTTGCAAAGTTGATCAGGCATCCTGTCTGGAGTTGATAACAACAGGGTAGGACACTGGCTACTTGCTCTGTCAGTTTGAAGTTCTCTCACTTGGCCTGAAACTTTCAACAAACAGACTACCTGTCTCTACCACCTTGCTTCTGAGACTACAAGCATGCTGTAATGCTTGGCTTTTTTTCCCCCAACATGAGTTCTGGAGATCAAACTCAGGCCCTCAGGTTTGCACAGTGCACAGTGCACTCTACCAACTAAGCTATTTCCTCAGCTCCGTTCTTGAACATCTTTATGCTACTTTGTACTTTTAAACTAAAACCTAAATGTTACATTAAACTATAAAAAGTTACTGAATTTTGAGATTTCACAAAATTTCATTTCCTATGAAGTGGAACCAGTAGTCTGGAGACAGTTCCTTTGTAGATTGTTCCTCTACCCCTTCCACTTGACAATTTGATACAAGATTCTTGAGACAAGGATAGAATTCACTTTCATAAGACCTGAGAAAACCAGAGTGGAACATACATTATCTTTTAAAATAACTGAAGTCAGTAGAATGAGTCTATAATGCTTTTGAAGTGCTTGAGATAATCAGAGATTAGTCATAGGCAGGAAGACTTCTTTTCAGCAGATGAGGTGGTAGAGAGGCCTCTATGGTGCTGAGAGTGGTGGTACACCCCTGTAATCCCAGTATATAGGAGGCTGAGTAGCAGGGATGCTTCAAGTTTAAGGCCAGCCTGGGCTACATAAAGAGACCCTTGTCTCAAAAACAAACAAAAAGTACAAACAAATAAATAACAATATCCAAAGACTGTGAGAACAGAATAAGTTGAGAAATCTTATATGTGCATCAAAATAAATGGAACTACAAGGTTAGAAACGATGTAGAGATATGAACTGGCTGGGTGTGGTGGTGTACACTGAATGATCCCAGGACCCAGGAGGCTGGATGTCACAGCAAGACTGTCTCAAAAAGACAGAAAAGGGCAGGGGCAATAACAGTGAGCCTTAGGATTGTTAAATGTGCTCATGGAAATGAAAATATGAGAACACAGACTGTGCATAGATTTAAAATTATTACAGCAGTATCTGAATGAAAATGGCAAGGTATAACTAATCATTTATTAATTGTTTACTATCTGAGAAAGTAGCAAAAAATATTGAGACTCAAGAGAAAGGGTCAGATTCCATACTGTGAAAATGTAGAATCATATCGAATATTCAAAAACCTGATTAAATTTTGGGAAGCTAATATCTATGTGGAGATTCAAACATACAAGATTCTTTGCAATAAAAATATAGAGAGAGAACAAATAAAACATGACAGGGAATTCACAGAAACATTTAGAATAAGCCTTCAGAGCTGAGAAAAGTGGGCCAGTGTTCTTTTGAAACTGTATAACACAGAATACATTATGAGGTGATTCATATAAGGATCTTACTGTATTAGTGAAATGGGACATACAGTAAATATTCTAACCATAGAGTCCTTATATTTATTGAGTGTCCACAATGCAGGTGTTATGGGCATGATGTGCATTGCTTCTAGGGACTAAAGACAAAGTGTGTATAAAACAGAAACCCCTGCACAGACTAGGGGAGATGGAAATCAGTGTGGTGGACAAAAGGTGGGAAGAGAGAATTCTGAGGGGCAAGTAAGGTCCCAAGGTAAAAGAAACATTTAAGAACTAGAAGAGGGCCGGGCGTTGGTGGTGCACACCTTTAATCCCAGCACTCTGGAGGCACAGGCAGGTGGATCTCTGTTGAGTTCAAGGCCACCCTGGTCTACAGAACTGAGCTCCAAGACAGCCTCCAAAACAATACAGAAAAACCTTGTCTTGAAAAACCAAAAAAAAAAAAAAACAACTAGAAGAGGTACTGGAAGGAGTCACATATGGCTACCTGGGATGTTAGATGGAAATCAGTGTGGTGGGGATAAACCAGGGGGAGGGGACGCTGAAGGACAAGGAAGGCTTCAAGACAAAGGGGACATTTAAGACAAGAAGAGGTACTAGAATGACTAGACATTGTTGATATATTTGTTGCTTGCATATATTATATTGTACTTACTGTATAGTTTTTCTTATGTTAATTACCTTTTTATTTTAGACAAAAAAGGGGAAATGTAGTGATATCTTGTTTATATTCTAACAAATAAAGTTTGACTGAAATGACAGGCAAAAAAGCTTGTGAGAAGTGACAGAGCCCTGAGTTTGAGGCTAGCTTGATCTACAGAACTAGTTCCAGAACAGCTAGAGCTGTTACACAGAGAAACCCTGCCCTGAAAAAAAAAAAAACAAATAAACAAAAAACAGAAAAAAAAGGAAAGAAAGAATGTCAATAGAATACACTAATTTAAACTTAACTACACAGTAACATAGTTAAAGTTGCTGGGGCAAAAAAGAATCTGACTAATAATAATATCAAATAATAACTCTGTATCGAAAGGAGCAACAGAAAACCAAGGGATCAGAAGCCAAATACTACATTTATATTCTGATAGTTATAGAGGTCTCTTCCTTGTAAACTAAGTATTTTATGAAATAAAGATGGAGAGTGAGTATAATTTAGATAACATGTATGCCAAACAAAAGGAAAGTCTTAGCCCTGGCCATGCAAAGGAGAGTATTTCTTCAACAGGTTTTTGGTCATGTAGTACAAGCTGGGCCGCCAGATGCAAAGCACATATTTCAGCCATGACACATAGTTGCAAGGAACAGTTCCCGCCCAAGGAGCCTAATGGGGAAGTGAGGGACTAAACAAACTACTCTACTCTTTTTTAATTTATTTTTATTTTATTTGCATTGGTGTCTTTGCCTGCATATATGTCTGTGTGAGGATGTCAGATTCCCTGGAACTGGAGTTACAGACAGCTGTGAGCTACCATGTGGATATTGGGGATTGAACCCAGGTTCTCTGGAAGAGCAGCCAGTGCTCTTAACCTCTGAGCCATCTCCCTAGTCTATTCTTAATACTGAATGTTAGTGGTGAAGTAGAAAACGAGAACCAATGGAATTTAGAAGAGGCTAGAAGATTTCTGTGAAGGGAGACCATGAATGAATAAGATGGCATCTGAGATGGGCCTTTGGAGACATCATGTTTCAACATGCAAGAGTGACGGGAACAGCTGCTGACTGTTCAAACCTTGTTCCCACTTTAGTTGCTGGCACACCTGCTTTTATTTTGGCCTTCTCCGCTCCCTAAAATGTCTTAGGAATCAATACTGGTTAGTCTGATCTAAGCCAATCACCCCTCTCTGCCCCCCCCCCCCCCGCCCCGCCATCCCCTCCTGTGTGTGTGTGTGTGTGTGTGTGTGTGTGTGTGTAGAAGGTATGACTGAATATTGACCAATGGGTTATGGAGATCTGCTGGGCCTGTAACCACCTCTGGAACCGCTATATCAGGATTTGCTGATGCATGAGAAAATAAACGGTTTTTGTTTAAACTAGTTTAAAACAAGTGTTCTCTGACTCATAGCTGATGACCATTAAAGGTGAAGGAACAGGCATTCTAGTTGAGGGAACTCAATAAACAGAGGGTGTGAGTTGTAAAAGTAACACCTTCAATTCATTAACAGTGGCGGACATGCAGAATGCAAGGGGAATAGTGATTAAAGCAGAAAAGAAGCTTGGAGTGGTGGTAGGAGCCATGAACGCCACATACAAGAAAGAGCAGGGAGTTTTGTAGGCAGTGAGGGCTGTAGAGTGGTAAGCAGGCTAGAGAGCTGAGAAGAGCTGTGCATCACAATAGTCGTTTCACAGCAGCATAAACTGGAATCTGGAGGATTCTGGAGGTGTGGAGATTAGCAGAGTCTATGGCATTCTTTCTCAGAAGGGACAAGGGCCTGAACTATAAACAGTTTCCTTAGGACATGGCATTTGCTTGCACTAGTTCTAGTGTATTGCTCACATTTCTGCTTGAGTAAACAGGAAATAAAACACAGTGAGGTAAACCTGACAACTCACTATGGAAATGTGACAGACTACCAACGTAGTCTCTGGGCTCGGTGACTCACCAGCATTTATTTGCAGTATATTATACCATTTATTCTAGTGTATTACATATACTATCAAAAAGGTTGTTTTTCTTTTTTAATGATTGAAATCCAATGTTCTCAAAAGAAATCATCTTCTGAGATAATTCTCTTAAGACTGTCCTTTGTCCTTCAAGATTTGCTTAATAAGATTAGATCCCATCCATGTCCATAAACACAGTATTATCTTTTATATAATGTATTTCAGACTGTCAAGTGACTCACCTGGGTGAGAGTTTGATTGGTCAGGAATGGACATTAGGGCATTCATGACTGTGTAAATTATGGCTTATATGGCTTATTTTAGTTTTTAGAACAGGGATTGAAACTGAAGGAGAGCTAATAAAATTCATTTCCTCTCAAAGGCCTGTGACTAAGAACTGCTATTCTAATTAACTTACTGGGAGCAGGAAGTTTTCTAATACTCTGTAACAGCTGCCAAGATATTTTTAGCAGTTACCTAAAATATTAAAAACTCAACTACAAGATAGTACATTTCTGACAAAAGTTAACTCCATAACTCAAAATCAGCACAGCCTCTCCAGTGGATATGGTTTTTAAATGAATGTAAAACAATGTTCTCAAAAGAAGGAACTTCCTGAAATAAGTAATTTTTAAGGTTAACACCTCAGAGTTAACTATATGGTATCTTCTGAGGGCTCCATAGCTGATGAACCCTCAAAAGACAGATGTTGGGTAAGGATAAATTTACTACCACTTCCTCCCAAGTATAATAATCTCTACGACTTGGCAATTAGACAACAGTGAGATTCAAACAGCTCAAAAGCAACAAAAGTATCAAACAATGCTTTCAGGGCCAAGAAGGCCATTCAGCAAAGTGCCACCCACACAGGCACGAAGACCTAAGCTCAGGACCCACATAAAATCTGGGTACAAAGGTGTGTGTATGTAAGCCAAGCACTAGGGGAGCAAAGAGTAGACGATCCTGAGTATGGGGTGGGTTTCCTGGCCTGTCAGTCTAGCCAAAATGGTGAGCAAGTTTCAGGTTCAGTGAAAGACCCTGTCTCAAAACATAAGGTGAAGTGTGATAGAGAGGCAGGTGCCTGATGTCAATGTCTGGTCTCAACCATGATGTTCACATGCATACACAGACTAACACATTCAGTAGGCAAGTTCACACACACACACACACCCTATGTTCTACAGAATCAATAACATTTATTTATAGTCTATTACATTATTAAATGTGCCTCTAACTACCAAGGCAGTGTCAGCTCTGAAACAGAAGACTACCAATCTTACCTTGGTACAGACCACCCGTACAACCACTTTCCAAAAGGCAGAAGAATCAGACCCAGGTTGTACCTCAAAGAGAAGATGCTTTTCCTGGCCAGCAGCTACCTTAGCAGTTCTGAAAAGAGGCAAGCACATTTTTATTTTATGAAAAGTAAAACCAAATTCAAGAAACACTTTCCAACAGGGAAGGAAAAAAGCAGAAGTGACTGCAAAATGCGGATTCCCACAGCACAGAGACAGAGAATGTTTTCAATGTTTTTACAGTCAAAAGCTGTGTGGAATACTCGTCTCCATATCTGTATTTCAATTGTCTCTGAGTGTCTAAAACTGATTTTTGAAAAACTTCATCCTAAGCTGGGGATGGTGACACTAGCATGTGATCTCAGAGATGGAAAGGAGGAGGATCGGGAGTTCAAGGAGAGCTTGAAGCCAGCCTGGGCTGCATGAGGTCCTGCCGAAAAGAAAACATGCAATAACAATTAACCCTGACAAACACAGCCCAAGAAACCTGGCACTTTAGGTAAAAGTTTGCTGGTTTAATTTACACAAATGCTGACCAAATACACATAATTCTGAGGAATACCTTATTCTTGATTGAATCCTGTTTACATAACCACATTCACATACTTTTTTGAAAGCTTTTAATTTATACTAATTTTGGGTTCAGCCAAGTAAAACAAATAGTTTGTGATATTAAATATAACTCTACTTCCACAAGAAGTAGTTACAAGAACTACACTTTCAGAATCTTACTGTCAACACCAACTAAAATGGAGCTGAAGCCCTAAGACAGTAGCTCCCATTATCACTGCTGGCTTTTCTCTGAGCACCAGCAGCAGGAGAGTTGTATATAATCAAGTGCCTTCCAGCTAAGTAAAGCAACTGGCCTCAACAAGCCAGCCAAAGGGAGTAACTCAGACATGCCAGCTTCCATCTGTTTCCCAGATACCAAGCCACACCTCTGTGCAGGTCTGACTTCATGGTTGGTAGACATCAGGGAGCACTGTACTCATGAAATGCCAACTCTAGCCCATGGAAACAAGTTTCAAATTACACTGTTAGTATTGCTTAGTGCACAGCCAGCAGCAAGAGTTTAATTCTCAAGTTACCCACAATGGTCTGTAACTTCAGTCTTAGTGAATCCAGTGCCCTCTTCAGGCTTCTACAGGCACCAGACACGTGTGTGGTGTACAAACACACATGCAGGCAAAAATCTTATACAGATAAAATAAAATAGAAATATTTTTAAATATATCATTTAAAGTTCTTAGGCAAGTTTTAATTAAATTCCCCAAGAGACAGAAGATTGATACAGAATAAAGAAAAGTAGGAGGTGCTACCAGAGGAAGGTTTAAGAGAAAAAAATGTTACCCATACACCTGTTGCAGGGAATTGGGGGAGGGGGCAAACCAGCAGTACTGAGAAAGTACCAGGGTCTGAGACCATTCAAGGGCAAAGACCCCTTTGTACTTTAAAAAGCTTCTACATAGATCAACACAAAAACTGAGGTGAAATCCATAAAGAAAGACTAAGTTCAAGGTGGAGAAATTTACACTATCTTAGAAACTCACTCAGGATTGTTAAGCAGACTGTACTTCAGTGAAGAAACAGGCGGCCACACTCAACGGGCACACTGTGGTGCTTCTGACTGTCCAACTCTTGCTCTGGTGACCGATGGCAAATTCTCTTTAAGTCAGTTACAGCCTCTCAATACAGCTGCTGAGCTGCAGTTGCCACACCTGCTGCCTGTGTTCTAATTTTCATTTTAAGTTCCTCCCACCCCTCTGTTCCCTTTCCATATTTTAAAAATAGCTACATTAAAGTCTACTTGGAGCAGTCAATGTACTTCCTAAGTTATGCTAAAAAATTTCATTCTCATCATCAGTACATTTGGTTACCTTCTGTACACTCATAACCAATGGGATCACACATGAGGGAAAACAGAACGAAGAGGAACAAGGCTTACACATCATTGAGTTCAGCTACTCTCCCAAGAAATTCTTCATAAGTTAAAGAACTACTTTCTCGAACCAAGGTGACGTGTTTTGCTACTTTTTCTGGTAACTTGTTAATAACCAACTGCGTCTGATCCGAGATTTGCTGTCCCATGGTGAAATGGTGTCTTTCAGAATTCAGAGTTCTGCTTCACATAGTTTCTGTTAAATACAATGCAGAAGTCATTTGTACATAATTATAAAAGATACCAATATATTCATTGTCCTAGTTAGGGTTACTATTGCTGTGATGAAACACCATGACCAAAGAAACTTAGGGAGGAGCGGGTTTATTTGGCTTACACCTCCACATCATTGTTCATTATCAAAGAAAGTCAGGACAGGAACCTAAGGCAGGAACCTGGAGGCAAGAGCTGATGTGGAGGCCACAGAGGAATACTGCTTACTGGCTGACTTGCTCCCTGTGGCTTGCTCAGCAAACTTTCTTATAGAACCTAACACAGCCAGTCCAGGGATAGCACCACCCACAATGGGCTGGGCCCTCCTCCAGTGATCACCAATTAAGGAGATGACCTACAGGCCGGCCTATAGCCTCATCTTATGGAAGTAATTTCTCAATAAAGCTCCCCCTTCTCAGATGACTTTAGCGTGTGTTAAGTTGATGTAAAACTATCTAGCACACTTGTCCTTCAAAAAGCATACAAAAACTACAAGAACCTTAAGGGGGAGTCAGTCAACTCAAATGAATCTGAGATGCAATTTATTTAACCATATTTATGTTAAGTTTTTCAGAATCATACAGCTAAATGGTTCACTTATAATAATGGAAGAGGGATGGGCCTCTTAACTACCAAAAACAAAAGCCATTCACATACATTTTCTCTCTCCTCTCTCTTTCCTCCCCCCTCTCCCTGTCTGTGTCTCTCCTCCCTCCCTCTCTCTGTCTCTGTCCCTCTCTCTCTGACACACACACACACACACACACACACACACACACACACACACACACACACACACACACAGAGGCAGTCCAGTGACTGCATTTTCCTAAAAACATTTCCAGACTGTCTACTATATGTCAGATTCCAAACTAAATGCTTTCCATCTATGACATCATTTATTACCCACAGCATCCTACAGGGTAGATGGATTTTTTTCTCCTCTCTTTTTTTTTAAATTTAAATTAGAAACAATCTTGTTTTACATGTCAATCCCAGTTCCCTCTCCTCCTCCCCTGCCCCCCACTAACCCCCATCCCATCCCTTTTCTGCTCCCCAGGGAGGGTGAGGTCTTCCATGGGGGATCTTCAAAGTCTGCCTAGGCCCTCCCCTGTGTGTCTAAACTGAGAGTATCTCTCTATGTGGAATAGGTTTCCAAAGTTGAATTGTACAGTAGGGATAAATACTAATCCACAGTAGATGGATTTTTTTATATCCTCATTATATGGATAAGGAAATGGTTAAGTCTACGGTATGGGATAGATGTGAACTTTGAACTCCCACCTCAGGAAATTCCATTTTGTTTACCATCTATCTTTTGCTTTTACTCAAATTAACCCCTTTACCATAAAGCAAGTAAAGTAGTAACAATTAAATAGAAAAGAATTTCAGCAGAAAGCTTGCTTTATCATTTAATCAAAAAATGATACTATAGCCTTAAATAGAAAACATGTGACTTTAGGACTAGCAAGGTGGCTTGTAGGCAACTGCACTTTCTGCCAAGCCTGAGTTCTATCCCAGGAGTCACATGATGGAAAAAACAACCCTCAAAAGCTGTCCTGACCTCCATACATAAGGGTGTAGAGTGTGTACCCTTAGACACATATATGTATACACACAAGACAAAAAATGTGACTTCAGCTGGGCAGTGGTAGTGCGCGCATTTTTTTTTTTTTTTTGTGGTTTCTCTGTGTAGCTTTGTAGACCAGGCTGGCCTGGAACTCACAGAGATTCACCTGCCTCTGTTTCCCCCAGTGCTGGGATTAAAGGCCTATGCCACCACCTTTTGGCTTTTTTAAAAAGATTTATTTATTATGTATATAGTGCTCTGCCAGCAAGCCAGAAGACAGCATCAGATTTCATTATAGATGGTTGTGAGCCACCATGTGGTTGCTGGGAATTGAACTAGGGACCTCTAGAAGAGCAGTCAGTGCTGTTAACCTCTGAGCCATCTCTCCAGGCCCTGGTGCATGCCTTTAATCCCAGCACTCAGGAGACAGAGGCAGATATATCTCTGTGGTTTTGAGGCCAGCCTGGTCTACAAAATGAGTTCCAGGACAGTCAGGGCTGTTAACACAGAGAAACCCTGTCTTGAAAAACCAAAAAAAAGAAAAAAAATGACTTCAAACTAAAGTATATAACCACAAATATGTATCACTTTCAGTATTAAATTTAATGTACTATGTGGTTTTTTTAAAGTTACTTTAAATATAATAAAAGCACAATTACACTAAAAAAATAAATTCCCCTATTACTATTTTGGATCTGAACCTATGTGGTAACAATAAGTACCATACTAGAGGAATAATGAAAAAGGAAACCTAGACTACTAAAACATAATCTCTGAAGGCAAAAGATTATATTTTAAATATGTCCAAGTATAACAGACTCATACCAACTATAACCAAAGAGGAACCATTAAAATTGCCAGCTTAGAGAAGGTGTTCAGGGAATTTACATTAGTGGTTTTTGGGCAGCACAGACTAGTGACATGCTAAAACACAATAGTGTTGAACTCCATTTTATCCTAAGCAAACACAGTTTCAAAACAAAAATTCCCAAATGCCAAAAACCTAAGAAAAATGTAAAAAACAATGTCATTAGAGTAAGTCCCTATCAAGAAAAGCAGTAAGGTCACCCTGCCATTGAATATAGATATTTAAACACATGCTATCTTTACTTTTCAGGTAAGGTCACCCTGCCAATGAATATAGATATTTAAACACATGCTATCTTTACTTTTCAGGTTCTGATTCAAATGTGTGGAAACATAAGCAAATGACTACATAACAGTTGGAAACCACTGTCATACATGGTCTTCCTAAAAATTCTGTTTAGCCAGGCTGTAATGGGACATGCCTCTCTGCATTCAAGGCTAGCCTGGTCTATGATATGAATCAAGTTCTAGGACAGCCAGGGCTACATAGTAAAACCCTGTCTTGAAAAACTAAAAAATAAATAAATAAAAATTACATTTAACAAGTACTGTTTGTGGTGTTTATGGCCTGGGGACAGGATGGTAAGCAAACAAAATGAGGTTTCTTGGCACCACAGGGTATCCAATATGGTTAGGGATGGAGCAATAGTCATACAAGTAAGTCTATAATTACAAACCAAGAAACAGGAAACCAAACAAGTACAGAGTGTCTTGAAAGCCTAGAAGGGTGAGAGACACTAGTCTTGAGTTGGAAAAGAAATCCTGGGCAAACACTTGAGTCCAGAAAGTCTGGGTTTGAAAGAGAGTCAGGACATGGTGGGGGGGGGCATTTTTATGCAGAGGTTTCCAAGTCTCTGAGATAGGTGGGCCATGGTGCCTTTGAGGGAGATAAAAACAGAGATTCACCTGCCTCTGTTTCCCCGAGTGCTGGGATTAAAGGCCTGTTCTACTACCTTTCGGCTTTTTTAAAAAGATTTATTTATTATGTATATAGTGTTCTGCCTGCAAGCCAGAAGAGAACATCATATTTCATTTTAGATGGGAGATGTTGACACCAAAACAAAATCAAGATAGGTGTTTAAGATTTTTCTCAGACAACTGGAAGACAATATTAAGTATGCTTGCCAATCCAGCTGACCAGGACTGGAATGAATGAATTGTATCTACTAATAAGTCTCTGGTTTGCTAAGTCTATAAATACAGTAAGAAGTTAATTCTTCAAAGTATGCTGAAAAGCTGACTGCACGAAGGAACCCAGTTAAGATGTGCTTTAGAGCAGCACAAAAATAGGAGTCCTGAGGTTTTAGATTAAAGTAACAGCACAGTAGGTTAATCAGGGATCTCAAAATAACCCTAACTCTTGCTAGAAGCAGATGTCTATAGTATCAGACATTTCACTCAGCTCAAGGCAGCCACACCTTTAAAGGAGTGTCAATACATTAGAACACATTCAAAAGTCATGGGTTTAGAAACAGAAGTGACTGACTGTGGCTGAGTACAGCTATGTAATGACCTGTGCAGCACAACGGCCTGTTCAAATATTTGAGGAACTGTCACAAGGAAGAAGAACTGAGTTTTTTTTTTTTTTACATGTCGATAAAGAGCAGACTGGCCAATAAGTACAAAGGGGAGGGCCAGACTTATGTAAGAATGACCTACCAACACAGCAATGGAAAGTGCTGTTGTAACATATGTGAACTTTTCAATGACATAATATGAACATGTTTAAAGATTGGAAGTTCCTCTAATGAGTGACACAGCAGAGAATTTTCCAGGTGCAAAATGGAGGTGCTAACCTATAATACCCAGTGGTTCTCAATCTGTGGGTAGGGACCCCAAGAACAGCCAGAAAACGCAGATATTTATACTCTGATTCATAAGTCACAAAATTAGTTATGAAGTAGCAATGAAAATAATTTTATGATTGGTGTCACCACAACAAGAGGAACTTTATCACAGGGTCACGGCTTTAGAAAGGCTGAGAACCACTGCTCTAACCTAACATTTTGCTCTCAAAATGAGGCTTAACTTTCCTCAAGTTTTTCTGCATTAATTTAATAAACAGACTAATCAGCTAGCCTGATACTTACAATTCCAACTACATTATCTAGCAGAGAAAAATAAACTTCTGAAATGGCCTCAATCAAGACTTAATGGAATTCATGACAACCAAATCAACATTTGTAGAGGAAGCAATAGTCCCCTCCTCTACCTTCTCAGGGTCCCCAACTCTTCCCAAGATTAACTAAAACTAACAGGAGAAAATTATACACATTTTGGTTTTGTGTTTATATATGAGGAAGTCCTCACAAGAAAAATAAGACCTTAAATAGGACCCAAAGCACAGACACTCACTAGACAGAGCACAGACACTCACTAGACAGAGCACAGACACTCACTAGACAGAGGAGTAAATTGTGAAAAGATGACAAGAGGCTGGGGCTGCAGGAAGTTTCCCAGGTAAAAGGCCAGTGCTTTTACATGACTGCTTCATCCCTTTCTCTAGGAAAGAAAAGTAAGTCCCAGCACACTTCTTTTATCTGCTACTTTAGAAAGTATTTGTACCTTAAAGACTTCTTATGCACTGATTTGGAGGGAGGGTCCTGCATTTAACCAATGTCATCATTGTGTGAAAATATGATGATTATTTATGTGTAATATAGAGGCACTGACAGGAGTATCCACAAGAGCAATCTGCTGAAGTCACACTTCAGTCACCAGCCACAACCGTTTCAGTATCACTCTCTGATGATCTATGTGTTACTACCATAGCATGTAGCACTCACTCAATTAAATCACTTACATTCCTGCCCCATGAGATCTTCAGGATACCTACCTGTGTTCTTGCCTCTGGACAACAGGTAAGTGTATATTTCCCTAGTCAACATACTGAATTTTTTAAATCACTCATCTCGTATTCTTTTATTAGCTCAGTCATGCATCCACACTAACATGGAGTTGAAGTGAAAATATATCTACGGAAAATGTAAAATTGTAACAACTTATCGTGTGTGTGTGTGTGTGTGTGTGTGTGTGTGTGTGTGTGTGTGTGTATACCTGCACAAAAATATCTCCCTTGAAATCCCAGAACAGTAGTGCTGCTTACAGACATAATTTTCAGGCAAACCATTGGCAATAAAATTCAACAAAAGACAAGTCAGTGGTCAAGACTCCTCAAAGAGCTACTGGCTCTCAAACCACGGAGCCACCTCTAGCATGGCCCCTTCTAACAAGAGTTGTGTTTCCTGAAAGCAGCTGGAGGATTTTCTAAATAAGAGCTGTTATTTTGAAACTCACAGGAACATCAAGGATTCCAAAAATGCCACATTCTTCAGTGGGTGGCGCAGACAGTTGATCACTTCTTTTTCTAACAAGTGAGTTGTTGTCACCCAAGTATTCCTCATTAGAATACAACAACTGCATCACTAATAATTCTCACACACGGGAGCTCTAAAAATTAACCATAAGCCATTCATAAATGGATTGGAGGAAAACTGAGACAGTAAAAATGCAAGATGACTAGATAGGGCTAGAGAGCTCAGCTAGGAAGTGCTTACAGGAGGCACCAGAACCCAAGTTCTATCCCTGGGTCAGCATGAAAAGACAGTGTTTGCACACTTGTAATCTCATCCCTGGGAGCTGCTATCCAGCAGGTGTAGTTTGGTACGCATGCACTCACGCACGCACGCACTCACGCACGCACGATGATCAGTTGACATGGGCTGTGGTATTGAAGGCACCTTTGAAGTCTTATATTTTGTAACATCTTCAAGATTAGTAATAAATACTAAATCCTACAACTGGGGAGTCGGTTGGGTATTTATGTACATATACATGTATATATGTATGTACATATATATATCTACACACACACACACACACACACACACACATATATCTACTGCTCCCTTTTGTCAAATGTCAAAAGTATGCTTGAAAACCACAATCAAACTGAGGAAACTGAAACCAGATAGCATGAAGGGGGAGAGGGGAACCCATGCTACTTTTGAGTGTTCTAAATACAGGAGACATGTCTTCTCAAAGACAACTATCAGGACCATGGGTTGTTAGGCAGCTCACTCCCAAGGTAAAATTCTGAAGGATGAACTTCATTGCATAGCAAGAATGACAGGGGGAGTGGAAACTATCAACTTAGTTCAAAACATATGACTTAAAAGCAATTGGGAGTGTTACTGCAGTTACATAGATCCAAAAGAAGGACTTGAGAGTCTGGGCATCATGAAATGGAGCTGGGCCAGAATATGAAGGCACACTGTCATTTATTTAATAGGTAGGCTGGAGAAAGTCCAACAATAGTAAACCCACATTCTGTAATGAAACTGCACACAGAAGGCGACTTACCCTACAATTACGATTAGCAAGGAAACTTTTTAAAATGTTAGTTCTCAAGGTAGCAATTAGTTTGACAAGAAAAGGCCCAGGTAGACATCCAGGGCGCGTTCAGAAGGAGGGTTGGCCAACGCTACAGGCCTAGGCTTCCCCCTCAGGAGCTCTGCCCTGTGCCACCCTCCCGTCTCGGCCCCCGCCCCTCGGCCCCTCCTCGGCGCACCTTCTCTGCTAACCAACAGCTAAACTGCTTATTGCGCCAGCGCCAAGATTCAAAACAGTCAGAGCTGGTCGGAAACCTCTCCTCAGCACCACTGCGAAGGCGGAACCAGCGCATCCACCCTTCCTGGAAGCCGGCGCCCCAAACCCGCAGCCGAGGCCCTAATCAGGGCGGCCTAGCTCCCCCGAAGCCCGGCCCCTCCGCAGCCCGATGCTACCCGGGCCTCCACTCCCTGCTCCAGGACTGTGGAGCGGCTAGGAAAGGACACGGGAGGGGGCGGCGCTGCAAGGCTCACCCCGTTGAAGGCATCGCTCTCCCGGCTGCCTCGGCCGCTGCTTAGCTAAACCCGCTAGGCGGCAGCGGCGCAGCGGCGGTCCCAGTCGCACCTCAGTGACGCAAAGCCACTCCCTCGCGCGTTGCCCGGAGACGGAGCTCCACCCCTCCTACTCCCTTTGGAGGCCTTTGTGGCTCAAGGCTGCTGACACTTGCAGGCAAAATACTCACATATATGAAAATCAATTAAAAAACATATTTTTAAAAGACAAAAAAAGAAGAGGAAAACGCTGGCTTGGAAAGAGCAAAATATTTTTAACAAAGGACTTCTAATTAGAATACACAGACAATTCTTACAACTCAAAAAAGAAACAAGCACTTTTTTCAAATGGCCAAAGACTGGACAAGCTTTCTAGATTATGGGTGGTAAATAAGCACATAAAATGATGCCTGACATTATTATTCATTAAGGAAATGTAAACTAGAAGGAAAACGAAGTGTCAATGCACTACCACAAGAGTGGCTAAAATTGAAAGGACTGTATTAAATGTTGACAAGAATGCTGAACAACTGGAATTATTATTGTAGATTGCCTGTTGCATGTATGTACGTGTGTGTAAGATGACACAGTCATTGTGGAAAGAGATTGTGGCCAACCACATAATCCAGTCATCCTGCTTATAGCACATATCTACACAAAAACTGGTACTCCAAAATTGGAGTTATTTATAATATACCCAAATCAGAAACAACCAAATGCCTGTTGTTGTGGTTTAAATGAAAATGGCCCCCTAGATACACAGGGAGTGGCACTATTAGGCCGCGAGGCCTTGTTGGAGTAGATGTTGCTGGAGGAAGTATGTCACTAGAAGTGGGCTTTGAGGCTTCAGATGCTCAAACCAGACCCAGTGTCTTATTCTCTCTTCTTGCTGCCTGCTGATCTAGATGTAGAACTCTCTGCAGTACCATGTCTGCCTACATGCCATGATGCTTCTTCCTACCATAACAATAATGGAGTAAACCTCTGAACTGTAAGCCAGCCCCAATTAAGTGTTTTCCTTTATAAGAGTTTGTATAGTCATGGCATCTCTTCACAGCAATAGTACACTGACAAAGACACTTGTCAACAAGTGAGTGGGTTCATTTTTCCATACGTTCATAAAGCCACACGATGGAATACTACTTAGCACTAATAATACATGATTAACACACTCAACAATGTGGCTGAAAGAAGATAGGTCTTCCAAAAAAAAATCTAGAAAAGGTTCCTCCTTCCCCAAGGGATCTTTAGTGACAAAAATCAGATCAGTGGTTGCTTAGAGAATGGTGTCAGGTGGGAAACACTGCAGTGACAAAATGGGGACTAGAGGTGGCTAACACAATGGTAGAACACCTGTCTAGTTTCATGAAGCCACGGTTCAGACTTGAGCACCACCCCTCAAAACCTTCAAAAGAGTAGGAAGAAACATCTGAGGGTGCTAGCCATGTTCATTGGCTTAGTTGCTGATTTTACAGACATAAACACAATAGAACATCTCAAATTGTGCACCTTATCCATCTGCAATTTATTGTAGGCCAACTACACTTCAATAAAGTTATGGGAAAAGATGTAGCTAGTTTATTTTAAAAGGCTCATGGTTCTGCCTAATCTGAGTTTAGAAGTCAGAAAAATTACTCTATATATTGTCTACACTTTTATAAGGTGTATTCCTTTTTATAGCGAGTACAATGAACATTGGAATAAAAGAGAGATTTTTAAGACCAAAATAATATAAGGTGATAATCAAATGAATAGCATCAGTGATAAGTCTAGACAGTTGTTGCTTAGCATAAGTTTTCTTTAACTTTTTCATAAGTATGATGAATTAACTAGAACATAAAACAAAATAGGATCACTATCTTATTAATATGTGTTACCCTAAACATATGTTAATCACTGTTCTATTGCTGTGAAGGGACACCATGACCTTGTGCAACTCTTACAAAAGAAAGTATTTAATGGGGGGGGGCTTGCTTACCATTTCGAGGTTTAGTCTATTACCATCATGGCAGGGAACATGGAGGCATGTATAGTTGAGAGCTACATCCTGACCCACAGGTTGATAGAGAAAGAAAGGGGGGGGGGGGGGGACTTTTGAAACCTCAAAGCCCGCCCCCAATGACACACTTCCTCTAACAAAGGCCACTAATCCTTCTACTCCTTTCAAACAGGGCCACTCCCTGCTGACTAAACATTCAAATATGTGAGTCTATGGGGGCCTTTCTTATCCAAATCACCACAAAGTATAAGTGATTAGCCACCATCTGTCATAAAGCTATTCTATAGCAGGGCAAGGAAACCTTTTTCTTACGTATAACAAAGTGTCAAAATGTTTATAGGAAATCATACATATAGATGATAAGTTATATAAGGACCTTTTTAATTTTTTTATAAACACTGTAATTTGTCATGAGTACTCAGAGCTCCACAGTGTAGAGATTTTCCAGTGAGTGATAACCTGAGGATTGAATGCAACGTCAGTGAATACAGACAGTCCTGTAGTGAAGCTCGGAATCTTTGCCTTTTGAAACGTATAATCGTGTTTCTAGGAAGGCGTGCCCTAGGCTTCCTTGTCATCTGTAAGGTCACTAAGCACCTGTGACAGGACTGTGGGGATACTGAAGGAAGACTGTGAGTGCCTGTGGATGGTAAACATTATCGACTTCCTGAATGTAGTTGATGAAACTGCAAGATTGGCAGGGCTGCCAGCATGCTTTATAGAGGAGGAAAACAGAGAGCCAGAGGTAGGAAGTGATTCACCCAAGAACTAGAGAGCAAATAGATGAAAACTGGTTAGACTCCAGATTTCTCTGGCTGCCACTCTAGTGCTTTCCCTCTGAGCACGGTACTGCCTTCAATTCTCGGTGCAAAATAGAGAGGAACTAGTTATCGACAGCTAAGATCAACTCTCTGGCTGGGCAGTGGTAGCACATGACTTTAAGCCCAGCTGACACCATTCTCTTGGGAGGCAGATACAGGTGGGTCTCCAGAAAACAGTCTGATCTACAGAGCAAGTTCCTGGGCCCAGGGCTACACAGAGAAACCATGGTGTCTCAAAAAAAAAAAAATCAAGGCCTCCTTGTGCTTACCATAGGCGGTGTTCTTACACTGACTGTATAGAAAGAGGAGGCAGACAGATGGAATCTGCCTGGGAATTTATCCTTATGGAGAATACAGTCAAAATGTGTGCTTATTCCAGCAAGACTAATGGAGGGACTCATGAAGTTCCACCCCTAGCAAAACTGGAGGTGCGCAAGCAGGCAAAACCTCCAGAACTCAGTGAGTGGGTCATTAAAACATGATGAGATGAAGATGGATAGAGCATGATATGAGCAAGAGACATTGTATTTACTATGCAACTGGTAAAGAATAAAAATAAAAAAATAAAAAAGAAAGAGGAGGCAGAATAAACCTACCCCATGTACACCTCAGACTAGGCCATTGTGCCCGGTCTGTATTGTGAATGGGGAGACATGGATTAAAAAAAAAAATCAAATCCCTGTCATCTTCCAGGATGCTGCACTCTGAGGCATGCTCTGCCCTTAGCCCTCTGATTTTAATTTTAGACAATTTGGGAGCTCATGCCTTCCTAGCACTAATTTTATGTGTTGCTAATTTTTATGTTTCTTTTGCAATCCAATCATGCATTGCCGTATTCATAGAGAAGAGCTTCTATGGGCACGAGCAAACTGTAGCAATGGCACCAAACATCAACAATTTTCACATCAAGGTAGTAGCTTCAGGATCCAAGCATCAGTGCTGAGGTCAGCAATAACAGCCAACGAGATGGCAGTGTCTGTTGTTCTCGGTGGTGGTGGGAGAAAGGTGCCATTGACAGGGAGCACTGTGATACCCAGGAGAGTGCCGGGGAAGCAGCATGGAGGCTGGCAAGCTCAGTGGGTGTGGCAGTGACAGGAAGGTATAGAAACTGTGCTTAGTGGAGACAGTAGACCTGGTAGATGAGGTGACACCTTGAGGAAACGGTCTCAGTGCTTGTTGGGAAGAGGAAAAGCCAGCGACGGTGGTTGGTGTCCTCTACAGAAAGTGCAGTCACTGTGAGCAGAGTAGAATTAGGTCAAGAGCAACGGGGAAAACTCAGTGGTGTGTGGGTGGTAACCACACTGGCTTGTGGACACACTGAGTAATACGCTTGTGGGTAAGCCTGGAGGGTTGTCACATTGATCCAGGAGTTCCCTTCTGATTTTAGGCAAACCAGAAGAGTTGCGTTTCTGCTTTAACAGATCAAGGGGAATGAAGGCTACAGCAGTGCCTCTAAAACCATGGTTTTGGGAGAGGAGAATAAAGGAAGTCTATCCATTACAACAAAAATAATTAACCTCTTTTCCTTGCCATGCTGTGTTAAATCAGCCTGTTGGACCCAGTGCGGAGGTCTCTGTGGAAGCTATTTTGTGCACATAGCTGGAGACTTAAGTAGGATTTATAATGAGAAATATGTAACTGGAGCTGCAGATCCATTTATCAGACCTTGTGGTAGTTTGAATGTAATTGGCCTCCATAAGCTCATAGAGAGTGGCACTATAAGGAGCTGTGGCTTTGTTTGAGTGGGTATAGCCTTGTTGGAGGAACTGTGCTATTGTAGGGGTTGGCTTTGAGGTTTCTTATGCTCAGGACACCACTTAGTGTCTCTGTTGATTTCCTGTTGCCTGCAGGATGCAGGAGTCTCGGCTACTCCTCCAGTACCATGCCTGCCTGCACATGGTTATGCTCCCCACCACGATGATAGTGGACTGAACCTCTGAAACTGTAAGCCACCCCAACTAAATATTTCCTTTATAATGTTGCTGTGGTCACGATGCTTCTTCACAACAACAGAAACTGTAACTAAGACAGATCTCATTTCTCAGTTCTGATTGAGCCCACAAGACTCTTCCTCCATACACACAAGCAAGGCTTAGCTTACTCACTGAATTTTTGTCATGCTGAGCGAGCATCTTTGTGTTTGGGTTTACCTGCACTGGGGTTTCCCATGCAGGGCAAGATTCCTGGCAGACAAAGCCTTGCTTCCTTCCAAGTTATGCTCAGGGTTATCTCTTGTCTCTGACATTGTTTCCAATGCCTACCAGTTCCATACACCTAAATACAAATAGACAACAAAAAAAACCCCAAAAATTTTCACATATTTATTATATTCTTGATTTCAGAGGTGAGTCAATTTCAACTCAGAAAAGTTAATAGTCTTAATTTATCCTTTGGTTAGTTCACAGCTGCATTCTGCACCAAGAGAAAGCCATCAAACAAAACTTAGGTGGGCAGGAACCATTGCCTGTATGGTAAATATTCTTAGCACTTTGCCCGGTAGTGGTGGCACCTGACTTTAATCCCAGCACTTGGAAGGCAGAGGCAGGTGGATCTCTATGAGTTCGAGGTCAGCCTGGTCTACAAAGTGAGTTCCAAGACAGCCAGGGCTGTTACACAGAGAAACCCTGTCTTGAAAAGAAAAGAAAATATTCTTAGCACTTATACAGATAACTGGTCTCAAAGCTTTTATACATTCACTCATTCAGCATGTGCTGACAGCTACTTTGCTTTTTTAAAAGCATTTACTTATTTTTATTAGTGTGTATGAATGTTCTGTCTGTATGTATGTCTGTGCACCACCACATGCATGCCTGGTGCTCACAGATCAAAGGACAGTGTTGGATCCCCAGGAACTGGAATGCCAATAGCTATGAGCTGCCATGTGGGTTCTGGCGTAGGTCTTCTTCAAGAGCAGCCAATACTCTTAACACCCAGCCACCCCTTGCCCTCCGAGAGCCTTTGTTGCTTGTGATACCTCTGTGTATCTGCACTGAAGGCAAGAATGAAAGGAAAGATAATGTGTGTAATTATAATAATGCAAGGCGGCATATGCTAGCATGGCAGCAGGAACAAGCTGCACGGGAACAAGAAGGATTCATTACTGTAGTAGGAGACAATCTTCTAAATTGGCTCCCCAAGTGCCCGCATCCTGGTATTGTATAAGCCTCACCTTCTAAGCATGAGTGGGCATAGAGAGACTTATTTCTGAATAAGGGGTTGCTATTTCCAAGACTAAGTCTAAAAGACTATGATTGCTTTCACTCTGGGTCTTGTTCTCCGGCTCTTCCTTCAATGCCTCTCATGGGAACTCTGAAACAGATTGGGGTGTGGGACCCAAAAAAAGGATTGCTGTGTGTGAACTTGACTACGTAAGTGAGTCTTTTCTCATGGCTGTGACCAAATGCCTGAATAGAGAGGAAGAATTTGTTCTGGTTTCGTTTTGGCATGGTGGTGGGAGCAACTAGAGCCGGTGACAGCAGGAGCATCAGGCCGCTGGTTCATGCCACTGTGATCCAGGAAATGAAGAAAGGGCAGGAAGTAGGGCTGGGCTATAAACCTTAGAGCCCACCCCTAGACCTCTTTCCTCTAGATAACGCCTAGCTCCAAAGCTCCACAATCCCCCAGTAGGGCAAAAACAGGAGCAGTCCAATTGTTCAAACACACAAGCCCATGAGACATATTTCACATTAAAATCATGACACTGACCAACTTAAATGAGACTATTTGAAGGAAAGACAACCCACAGGGTGAAGTATATGCTTCTGTGTCCATTTTAGTTTTGCTAAGTATGGATTATGATGTAGGCCTTGAATTTTGCACAAGTGGTGTTTCTATGGAAATAAAAGAACAGAAGAGTTTTCTAAATGCTTTATTTGTTTGGGCCACAACATTTCTTCACCTCTCAAGTTCTCCTTTCTGGGAAAGCGAGAGCTGGTAATACGTTTGTTAAAGGCACGAAAAGATATGTGTTTGTATGTAGAGGTAAGAATACACTTTCAAATACGTTAATAATAAATTAAGGTTGTAGTAGTTGCTGTATTAGAGAAAACGAATGGATTAGCTTCAGCAACAATTAGTTTGGAAGAAGATAAGCTAGGGATATCAAAACTGGAAAAATATTAGCTTCAGACAACAATCCACTATTCACAACTATTTGAAGAACAATATTCAATTACAGAATGTCATACCTTACCTAGCACCAGACAACTTTGCTCAAAAATCTGAAAATCAGTCTTTTACCAAATCTTGAGAGTCAACATGACACCCCCAGGGGAAAATGCCACACAGTGAAAGTTTATCTCATGGGAAAAGTTATTTTTAAAATATTGTGTCTACAGGTATACATGAAACATAAGTAAATTTCATATTTAGACTGAGTCCCTCTAATATATCATTATGTAGATGCAAGTATTTCAGACTTCAAACATAATCTGAAAATGATTCTTAATGCTGTTGGTCGCAAGCATTTCAGGTAAAGGATTCTCAGTCTGTAGCAGATTATCTGGCATTTTTCTTTTACTTTATTACCTTTACACATATTTGGTTTCTCAGAATGGGTCTGTAACAGGTAAAAATGGAAATGTGTGTTTTTGTTTGTTGTGTTGTGTGTATATGGGGTGGGTAGACTCTGGGGTTTGGACTGGGAGCTTTGTGCATGCCAGGCAAATGTTCTACCACAGAGACACCCCCCAGGCCCCTCTGTTTTTGGTTTCTTACAAAAGTATATCTAACTATAGGGAACACCAGCAGCAGTAGAGAGAAAAGAAAGTGAGAAAGTGTTTCTATGTTCTAAAAAGTAACTCTGGTCTGTTTTTGGAGTAGTTTCCTGGCCCAGCCTGTATTTACAGAGGCGGACAAGGTTGCTATCAGTACCAGCCTCCTCCCTCCCCCCTTTATAGTGCTCTGTTTATTTTGGCTTCCTAGAGATTAATTAGGTCTTAAGTCACCTGGCTCTCCATGACCTCCTGTAGCTTTCCTTTCCTTATTTTACTTGTGCCTGGTTCCAAAGGATCTGGCCAGGTGGCATGTTTCTAAAGAAGACTTTAGACTGTGTGGCTGGCTCTGTCTCAGGACTCTGGCCCTTGGCAGTGTCAGGCAGCCCCGAGGCCTGTTTATGAATGTAAGCTGAGGAACTGTTTAGGTGCTTTGAAAGTTCCCTTCACTCTCTGGCTGGGCTGCTGTAAGACAGACGGTCTAGGGAGGTTGTGGTCAGGTTGGAGGTAGGAGGGTAGAGTCCGGAGAGGATTGCAATACGGAAGACTCTGTAGCCTTCGGCTAATTAGGAACCAACAGTGGTTTGCTTCTTTGGTTGCCTGGCATGAAACTTGCATCAGGTAGAGCCTCTCAGCTCTCTCTCATCTAAACTTCAGCTTCTAAGCATCGCACAGTGGTTTTGGGTGGACTCTTGGGCTCCTCTGGGTTTTTATCAGTTTTCTTTGATTCTTCATTAGAGTTGATGTCATCAGATTTCTCTTCCTTCACTACCTTGGTTTCGATCATTTCCTTTTTTTGATTCTTGCTTGTGAAAGGGAAGGCCTTCACATACCTGTAGGTGTACACATACATCACAATGAGAGACTTCAGGTGACATGTATCACAGCAAATAGCACTTTGTCCACCTCTGGATACGCTGCCATAGTCCCCTGGGCACCTTTATTTTGATGGTAATATAGGTATACTTTAATATATCACCTCCCATTTTAGTGGATTCATTCATATTGGATAGTACCTATAGGGACAACTCTGGATGTCTTCACGATTCCTTCACCCAAAACAAAGACCCCCCAACTCAAATACAGCCTAAGATGTTTCCTAATGTTGATCTCTCCTTTTTTATTTCTTGAGTTTGGTGCCCATTGACCAATATCAACTGTCTATCTAGATAACACACTTATGCTGAGGTTATAGGGTAGGGAGGTCAAGAGGGGTGCCATCTCCATTTTGACCAAATTCCAGTAACAACCATTGAGCACAACAAAAGTGACAAGATCAGAGATGTGTCAACAGCCTCACCTTTTCACATAGCAAACAGCTAGAACAGCGGCGGCTGCAAAGAACAGGAGGGCGAGCACCAGCAGGGTTGTGGGGACACCTGGAGGAAGACAGGTTTGTTGGTCTTTTGCTTGCACATTATGTTGTCTGTGCACACAATGATTTGTTTTTACATGTGATGCGGATGAGAGCTGGCGCAGAAGACCCTTCTCTGTGACTATTTTTAATCATACACATATAATTTTAGTTTTTACATTGTGGTGTGTGTGTGGGGGGGGTGGGTGGGTGGGTGGGTGGGTGGAGGTGGGTGGGTTGGTGAGGTGACTCTAATGTGACACTGTCCACATGCACAGGCCAGAGGACAACTTGTGAGAGTCACTTCTTGCCTTCCATTAGGTGGGCCCCGGGGATTGAACTTATGTCGTCAGGCTTTGGCAGCAGGTGCCTTCACCTACCCAACCATCTCCCCATCCCTCTACTTACAATGTGGGGCGTTCTTTACTTCTCCTTTATCATTGCAATGTGAAAAGTAGACCAGTCTCAAAGGTTCATGTGAGAAACTGGTGTTTGGATTGAAGTGATAGGCCATGCAGATATATATTTTTGTGTCTACAGTAAAGGCTAATAATTTATTTGTGAAAAGCAGTGAAGGTCTTTTATGCTTATGATGTGTGACATGACCCTTGAGGCTCTTTGCAGATCTAGTTCTAGTCAAGCTTGTGCTAAGTTTTTGTTTGTGCCCGGTAAATGCTGAGTGATCAGCCTGGGGATGAGTTGGGTGATGTGAATTTGTCTGCCACACACAGTTGCCCATGCCCAATAGACCCAGAAGACATTCACCTCCAAACCCAGCCGCTTCACTCTTGAATGCTACTCCACTTTCAACAATTGGTTCTGTTTCTGCAGCTACGGTGTTAGGTTCCGTATAAACTTCTGTAAAACAGATCTTTTTTGTCTTCCGTGCCATGGAGGTGGATGGTGGAGCCCGGGTTGTAGCAGGGGCATTAGTTGTAGAGTCTGGGGATGAAGCCGAGTAGGCGCTGTTGGTGACAGAGAACTCCATTTCGGGTGTCTGAGTGTCGACCATGGGGTCGAATGTGGTGATGATTTCTGGTATGCACGAGTTAGCCCAGGTGTCTGTTTGAAGAAGAAAAAGGAGAAGTAGGCATAGCAATAGGACCCCACCAGACCCCTCACTGCAGTCAGAACCTAGGTCTTACCAAGATTCAAATCTAATCTCAATTTCCTTCCATAGCATACTGCAGCTTCACTGTAGAATCAGGACCTCAATGACCAGCAAAGATGATAACATGAGGCTAGGAGACTCAAAGCTCGAGCTCTCTCTCAACAGTGCTGCTATCCTGCTAGCCCTTCAGTTCTTGCTACACTTTCTTAAATCCCTGGATTTCTCAGTGATCCCTTTTCCACCTTTAAAACCTCTGTCTGATCTTTACTTAGTCAATTCCCCCCCCAGGCTTCATACTTCTCTAGGCTAGGTCTCTAGACATATAATCTTGTCCTTGCCTGATCTTAATTGCCATAATTTTGTCTCCCTCCCCACTGACTGTGAGCTGCTGGCAGTAGAGCACTTGTCGGATTGGATTATTGTGCCTGGCATGCAGTATATGCTCAGTGAAATCTGATAAAGAAGAAATAAAGAAAGGAAAAGATGAAAGGGAAGAAGGAGTAACTTGGGGGAGTAGATATTACTCTAGAACAAGATCTAAAATAAAATCTCTCGGTGTTGAAAGAAAGGGGAAGAAGGGGGAGGGAGGAAGAGAGGGAGGAGAGAGAGTAGTGTTTTCCAATCTGTTGGATAGACTTTCAAGGAAACACATCTGTCTGTCTTTTAAGTCTGAGTCAGCCATGTTACCAGATGTATCTCATGAAGCACTTATCAAGCCTTCATTTACACAGAAAGATGCTGAAGTTCATAGATGCTGAAGTTCATAGATATCTAGTTCACTTGCTCAATCATGGTTAGGAAACGGCAGGACTGCACAATGTCTTACAACACAAATTTACATCTATTTTAAACCCCTGATTATAGCACTGGATACCACTGGCCAGAATTTAAGCTATACAAGAAATTGTTTCAATATGTTGAAGGTCAAGAAACTTGGTGATAAAATGTTTGACTACACATGCATCAAGTGAATGTTTTATCCTATTCATGGTACTTTGAAAATAGCCCTGTTCAAATAACCATCATTGTTGACTTTGTGGCTCTTCCTCCAGAAAATGAACATTTTTTTAAAGCAAGGGTAGAAAACACAGAGAACTCAATAGACACTGTTGAGTTCTAAAGCACACAGACACATAAAGGATAGTTCCTGCTTCTGGCCAGAGGAACTTGGGTGAAGTGTGGCAGTCTGATGGTGTACATTCTGCAGATACTTACGGGGTACCATCTCCATGCCAGGCATTGCTCTAGATACCAGAGACAAAGTCCCTGTTCTTAAGAAGCTTCTAATCCATTAGAAGAATAGAGAGAACAAAGGATAAACAAGCCATGAATTTCAGGAGATTTTAAACAGTGAAAAGAAACTTAAGCAAGGTAGGGGTTAAACTGATAAGGGTGGAGATGAAAGATGGATACTTGGCTAGGGTGGCAGCAGGAAGTCTCCTGGGGAGGCAATACTTAACCAGAGCCCCAGTGGTTAAAAGCAGCCAGTCACTGGAGATCTAGGGCAGATGCTGGAAGGAAACAAAATGTACAAGAGCAAGAACGTGACTATGCTGAGCCCATTGCATGAACAAGAAAGCAAGCCAGTGTGGCTGAAACAGAGCAGAGCTCATCTGTAGGGAGAGAACAGGATATCCTGGTCAGCAGGATGTGCATGGTTCAAGAATGGAGAAGTGGGAAGGTATAGTCAGGTCAGGAGAATGACAAGGAGCATAGTGTGGCCTCAGAGAATGGTGTGAGTGTGACCAGTAGGAGAAAGTTTGCAAGCAGGTGCGGCTAAAGAGAAAGATCTGGCCAGGATATCAAGATTGTTAGTTGCCCTGTTAAAGGGCTTGGGGTTTATTCTGCAAGAAAGGGTCTTTTCTATGGAGATGTGCAACCCTTTTAAACCATATCTAGAGTTTTCATATGCATTTACTGTTATATGCAAAAGACATCACATGCTACATACTACATTATATGGGAAGTCACCCAAGGCTGTAGGGCAAACAGAAGAGTAACAGTTACCAAATGGATGAGTGTGTGTGGGGGGATCAGATGTAAAGGGAGAAAGGACATCCAGGAACAGAGAAACAGGGTTCTTGCAAATTGCACAGAAATAGGATCTAGAGATGTCTGGTTCCTAAAACTTAGAAAGATTAGGAACCACACAAAAGTCCACTGATAGAAGATGGACCGAATAAATCACTATATAGAAAATCACTGGAATACATTGAAAACACAGCCATTAAAATGTCTCTATGAGTCAATCTAGACTAATTTCACAGAGCCATGTGTGGTATTACACTTTCTTTTTTGTGAGAAAAGCAAACAGTATCCCACAGATCTTTCTATATGACCAAAACAAAGGCACAGACCAGAAATGAAAAAAACAGAAAGACTAGGAATAAGTCCTCCTTGACTATTTTGGACAATTTCAGCATGTTGATGTTGTATGTATTTGAGAAAACTAAAACAATAAAATCTGTACCCTATAACAGACCACAAACAGAAACAAACGAACCTCTTCTATTTAAAATGAGATTCTAATCCCAACAGGGGTGGGTTGTCTGATCACTTGTCACCTGTCCTGGCAGGAATTTCTTTGGGGGCAGTGAAGAAATCCTCAGTTATACTCAACATATTTGTTTCCTAAAGATACTGACTTTGCTATTTTGAAACTGTTGAAGTACAAGAAAATGTGTTCTTTACTAAGAACTAAGATATTAGGTATAGGAGAAGACAGATAATGTGAAATCAGAAAAGGTAAATTATTAAATCTGAGTTGTAAACATCAATATAAATGCATGGTTTACATTCTCTCTCTCTCTCTCTCTCACTCGCTTATTCGCTCTCTCTCTCTCTCTCTTCTCCACCAGGAGCAGAGAGAACATAAAATAAGCCAGGGCCTGTCCACTGCTAGGAAGCAGTAGTTACCTCTAGGAATCCCCCATGCCAGATTTGGAACATGTACATGACTTAAAAGAATAATGAGTATAAAATTTATTGTCATATGCTTGGCACATTGAATAAATCAAATGTCACATGTCTGCGGTGGTATAAGGTGGAGAAAGTATGTGTATATGTGCATGCATGTGTGTGTTGTGAAGGTGGGGCTAGCTAATAAATGTAGAGAGGAGGGACGATGTAGAAAAACCCCTACTCTGTAGTGCCCTAGGTAAGAACCATTTTCAGCAAGGACCACAGTGGTAGTTTGGAGTGAGGATATTTACATCCTAGATTGCCTACTAACTACAAAGGAGAAAACTTACCTTCTCATTTCATTTTTAGTCTGTTAGTCACTGCCTTAATCAAACACTCAAAGTTAGAGCAATCAGTATTGGGAACTACTGATATTTGACGCCATTTGCAGTGATGAGATTCCCAGCTACACAACACTACCTACACCAGAAAGTGAAGCCTCTTGACCTTTTAGGGTGTAGGAAATAACAGGGACTAAGAGTACAATGTAAAGGAAAGCAAGAGGAAACAGACACGTCTGAGTCCCCTTCCTCTCCTGTTTAGTCCCGGATGGGTACCATAGCACTGTGCTGCCAGCAAGTGGAGAAGCAAGACAGCCAGGAGGCAGGGCCAGCTCCCAGGAATGGTGGCAATGAGATAAGCAGGCACACAAATCACTAAGTTCTCTAGCTAGGACAGGCTGGCTGGAGGGTCAGAGAAGGGTGGAGACAATTCATCATTTTGAAAGGAGAATCAACTAGAAGTCTTGACTCTACCACTAAACTCCCAACCCAACACACACACTGAACTATTGGTGGCGGGAAGTAGGACAGATGTCTCTAAGAATCCTTCCTATGTCAAAGCCCTTTAGTTCAGAGAACTGCTTGGAATTCCTGGACTCAATTTTGCTAAAGTTGATTAATAAGCATTATTTATCTCTCAGATCTTACAAATCAATATTGATGTCTGTCTGTGTACATATGACCACTCACTAGCTGACCTTCAGAAAGTTGTACATATGAGCATATGTGAAAAGAAATGGGTCAAGCAGCCCTCTTATGACACAGAGAACAGCTGGGTATTAGTTGAAAGAAATGTTCTGAGAAATGACTTAGGAAAACCACTAGGTTAGGGCAACCAAGGCCGGTGGACAAGACCATCAAGATGACTACAAACCATGAGCCAATGATTCCTACTCTCTATGTTTCTACTTCTTTCTTCAAAAGGGAGATGGGGCCTTGTTTTCAAGATGTCAGGTGCAGCATGTGAGTTATGTGGGACAGTAGAAAGAATACAATGTCAGAGTTAAACCCAAGTTTGAACCTCTTCATTGAGACTGTACTCTGAATATGGGTCCCAGCACCCCTCAATATTTATGTGTTAGAATCCAATGGTGCAATGCTAAGAGGTGGTGGAACCTTTAAGGGGTGGAGCCTAGCAGGAGATCATAAAGGGTAGGGAAGAGATCAATGAGCTTTCCTGGGACCCTGGCTGGACCTGGGAGAGCATTATATTCCTGAATCCCTCTCTGGCTTTCAATCTCAGCACATGAACACTCACTCTTTTTCCCACACAGTCCTGCCTTTGTGATGACATGAACACCTACATCTCCATTGTCAAGTTGTCGCTGTGCCTAACTGGGAGCTAACCTTCCTTTCTTTATAAATTGCTCAGCTACAGTTATTTTATCACAGAAATGGGGAATGTCCAACACAGAAACATTAGACAAGTGGATCAAAGTCCCCAGAGATACATCTCATTTTATGAAGATGGGAAGAAAAGGCTTCCTCAGAGGAAGTTCAAGGTTCTTTGAGACAGCTAACCTCTCAATTGCTTTATCCAGGGGGGATGCATCATATACATCTATTTCTTTCCCACTTCCTGTTTACCTTTCAGGAAACCCTGAGCCCTGGAAACGCCCTGTCCTTATGCTACCACCCAGTTGTATCATCTCTAATCTTTTCCTCTGAGAGGCACACTGATGTCCCTAGCCTTGTTTCGGGACATTTAGATGACCCATGACTGCTTCTGCTGCTGCTCAGAGTTACTCATCCCAGACAGGTCCCAGGTCATAAGACTCCCAGAGAAGAAGTGGGTCCCGACTTACCAGATGAGTTGTGACAATAGGCTTTGAACTTTAATTTGAGTGAAGCGTTCCAAATCAAGACACCTTTCCCATTCTTCCCGCACTTGGGGTTTGAGAAAATCCGAGGGATGACAGAGATCCGTTCTCCAACCCACCCGTAGCTGTAGAAGAATACACATTGGTTGAATGGACAGAGGGTAGAAGGTAGCAAGTCTACCCCGAGCAGGACACCGGCTTTAATGAAGCTCTTTCTGACCTGCAAGTCTCAAAGCCAGACTTCTGCGCTGCTTCCACCTGGTCCTTGCTGGCCAGAGTCAGCCCCAGCACCTTGCAGGCCTCCTCGGCTTCTGTGAAATTCATCTGTTGGTTTGCCTTCCTGCCCACGAGGGCGACCCCCATGTATCTACATGTGGAGATGGAAAGTTCTGGAAAGAAATCATAAAGTCCTCAGTTTGCTTCTGGTTTGCTCCCAGCTCTCAGGCTTTCCTTCCTCACAGAGAATCATTGTTTTGATCCAGGTCTGTGAGGCTGGTGCTGGACTTAGAAATAACAATGCAGGCCCAGGAATATCCTGCAAGGACTGCCTGCTGGGTTAGATCCTTGTTCTGCCTGGTGGAGGCTGTAAATCTCCAGATCAAGAGCACACAGAGCACTCTGCACCAAGGAACCTGCCAATCACATGAGGGCTTTAGCTATCCATCAGTTCCTGGGGTGGGACCTCGGGGATTTAGATGCCTCCAACATTGTTTTTGAAGTCTATAAAAGGAGGCCTCTGAGACTTCGAGGAAGATAGAAGTCAGACCTTTGGTTAACAGAATAATCATTAGCAATACTCCAAGTAGTGTGGCCAGGGACATTCCTGTTTTGACAGGGGCTGGCCATGTGCTTGCTAGAAGAGAATGTGAGTTCTCCCTTTCAGTCCTTTCTGGCCATTGGAGGACAGGCTTACTCAGAAATTCCTGAAGGAGCAAGCAGGAAATCTTGCAGGGCAGGGGAACTAAGTAAAGGAAGTTGAGTTTGAGTTAGGGCAGGGCTTGGTATCACCTATGCTGTTCTGTAGCTCTAAGACCTTGTGCTTGTTACTCAAAAAGATATTTTTGAGCCCATTTTCTTATTTGGAATATAGAGAGCAACGGTGGGAGCTACATAGGACTCAGCATAGCAGCTGCCATACTAGGTACTAATAGATAACTATAGATAACACTGTCATTTGGTCTTTAAACATTCTGGTGTATCCACCACAGACTGATCCTCCTGGGAAGGCTGAAGCAGCTGGACTTGTCAGAATATTTTTTTTCTCAAAATATAGTGGATTTGGGAGGTCTTTTGACCTACTTTACTGGTATGGACCTATATAAAATTACCATGTTGTATTATATTCTAGTACCTTACTCCCGATGGACTTTATCTATGAAGGTCCATAAAAAAAGACATTTAGCCTTGTAAGTAATGGCTATGCAAGGCCCTGGCAGAGATGTCCAGCTTTCTGCTCAAGGACCTCATGAACCCTAAAATAGCTTAATGGCCCAAAATTGTAAATGTAAATTTACTTAAAGCAACATGAAATTTTCTTGTGAGATACACACACACACACACACACACACACACACACACACACACACACACACACGGCTTTATCTATGAAAACCCATTTCAAATTTCCAAGCCTGTGCTAAGTACTCCTTGCCTCTCCTGTTGGCTTTTGGGATCTTGGGGACAAGTCAAAACTTTCATCTGTGAAATTACACCTTGTCAGGCCTCGTGTTTGGAATTAAACCAGGTAACGTGTACCTAGCAGAGCTTAGATCCATGGGAGGCAATCAAATACAGAAACTTCATGCTTTGCAGTTTCATTTAGAAATTCTGACACCGAGCTGGAATCCAAGGGTGCACTCCTATCACAGTTTCTATAAGAGTTCGTAGAAAACATCACAGATTGCAGGAATAGTGTGTTCTTGGGAATCATATAACGCAGAGTCAATGGCAAGTGCCAGTATTTACTACTTGCATGACATCAGTCAAAGTCCTTGACTGCACTAATGCTTTTTTTTCTATAAACAATGTTTTATTGAGCGAGGAATCAAAGAAACTCTACCTATGCTCAGTTCTGAATCTCTCTGTAACAAGCCCTTTAAGAAGTTCCTGTCTGTGCCCACTCACCACATCACCAGAGTCCAGTAAGACTTTCTGCTGGTAAGCAGCTAACTTTCAGCTCTTTCCAAGAGTTTAATCTCCTTGGGAAAAAGTTGCCATTATTGAGGATGAAGCAAATAGGTAGAGTCATTGTGAAAGAATGGTTTCTAAGGGCTAGGGATATGGCTTAGTTGGGAGAGCTTGACTAGCATGACATAATGCCTTCAGTTCACTCTTCTTCATAGTTAAGACTGGACATGGTGGTACACATCTATAATCCCAACAGCCACAAGGTGAATGCAAAACGGATCTGGAGTTCAAGGTCATTCTTAGATATGTAGTGAATTTGGGGTTAGCCTGGGCTATAAGAGACCCTGTCTTAAAAAAAAAAAGACTCCAAAATAACGTGTGTAATGGTAGCATTGTGTAATGGTAACGGGAAAGTGTGAATGATCTCCTGATGGGATTTCTAAGAGGAATAAGTTTATTTAAAAGTTACATTTCTGGTATTTGGGGGTGGAGAACTAATCATCTAACTCTAACCTCTCATAAAAGCCAAGTCCAGCAATATATCAATCAACACTGAATGTCTATTCCTGATACAACTCCTGTCTCAGGGCATCTTCAGCAGAAGAATAGATTTTCCTTAATAACCCCGTTACATCACTTGCCCAAGAGTGTAACCAGTGATTTGTGGTTCCAGTGTTTTTCCTACTATACAGAAAGAAGTTTCCATGCATGCATCCCGCAAACAGAATCCACAGAGTCTCTCCCGTCATAGCTGCTAATGGTAACAATTTAAACCTGTATTTTTTTCAGTTAATTTCCTGCATATTAAATTTACTGCAAATTAAAACATTGCATTTCACTAGTGGCAGAATAACTTTGTTATTAAAACAATTTCACAAACAGTAGTATAAAGTGGGTGATATTTAATAAGTTACCCATTCCTCTTCAAGCTTAGAGATTGCTTTAAATATCCACAACCTTGACTTGCTTCTTAAATGAAACCCTTTGAAAACAAATGACTTGTCATGTTTTTATTTCACACTATTATTATTATTAAAAGTATTCAGTGAATGTAAGTCATTTTGGTAAAGCTGTCAACATAGTGAAGGCATCGTTGGCTGAGCAATAAGACCCATTCAATCTTCTGTTGACCCCAAGACTCTCCCGCATTCCCAATAGTTCATAGTCAAGAGCAGAGTGGGCTTAGGACAGTTCCCAAGACCCTGTCTATCCTCAATTTAGAAACCAGGTAAGACACCTACCTTGCACTCTGATGGCACCTTGGACTGGGAGCCTAGTTGTCCAAGTAGAGGTGAGAAGCAACACCAGGCTAAAGTGCTTGATCATTGTGCAGACCCCCTCAGAAGCCCTGTAGCTGGCCACCAGCAGTAAGGGAGACAGAGGCTCAAGCACCAGGCTGGATGGAGAGTTCTGGAAATATGTTGAGGATTTCCCTGCTTTCAAGCTTCTTATTTGTCAAAATCACTAGAGGAAATGAGTGACATCCCTTGAACGCCCAGGCTGTACTTTGTGGATGGCTTTCTGGAACATTTAGCTAATGCTGACTCAGAAAGCACACAAATGAGGAAGGCAGATAGCACAGTGTCAGCTGCCGAAGATTTCCCCAGTTCCCATATTCCCCTGTGGGCCCAGTTCCCACATTCTTCATTGTGCTGGTTTGCAGAGCCCATTCATTCATATACTCCTGTGACTGTCTTTGCCTCCAAGAGAGACTGAAGATGAATTGTGTTTCTTTCCTTTCTACAATCAGTTGCCCCCCCCCACTTTCTCAGCCGCATTGCTTTGTGGTGTGTAGAGAAATAGTAGTGAGGCTTATTATGATAGCAAATGCTCATTTAAAAAACATTCATTCCTTTGGCATTTCTTATATATATTGGACATATCAACATTGCTAGGAGATTCATTTGTTTTCAAAAAGACCAGACTAACAACGTCTCATGCAGAGTGGCTCAACAGTCAAGAGTACTTGCTGCTCTTCCAGAGAATCTGAGTTTGGATCCCAGAACCAACACTGGGCAGTTCATAACCACGTGCAATTCCAGCTCCAGGGCATTTGATGCCGTCTTCTGACTCACTCATACTCATTGCACATACCCACTCATAAGTTTGCATGTATACATGCAAATCATCTTTTAAGATTCATACTTATAAAAACAGAAATAGGAAACGATTCAGTTTTTAAATTAGACATTTTGCACCCTATAAAAAGAGTTTTGATTTGTGTGACAGTTATCACCATAGAGATTATTTATTTATTTTGGCTTTTCAAGATAGGGTTTCTCTGTGCAGCCTTAGCTGTCCTGGAACTCGCTCTGTAGACCAAGCTGGCCTGAGACTTGAAGATCCACCCACTTCTGCCTCCTGAGTGCTAGGAGTAAAGGCGTGCACCTTCACTGCCATGATTATTGTGTCACAATTTCCTTAGTAACTTCTGCTGTATTCTTGTGGAATTCAACTTAGACTCCATCTTCTTCATCTGAAGCAGATAAGAGATACCCACACTGTGTTAAGTCAGAATGCACTGGGTATTTCCAAACTGAATTTTCAATGGCTCATCTTCTTCAATCATTATAGTTAGAGCTCTCGAGTAATACATTGAGCAAAGGTTTGTGAGTTTTCTACAAAACAAGTATCCATTATGGGCTTGGCATTGCCTTTCAAAGATTTATTTTGATTATTTTTAAATTAATGCATATGTGTGTGTCCATATGTGGGTATGTGCACATGAGTGCAGGGATCCAGGGAGGTCAAAAGAGGGTGTCAGATTCCAAGGAGTTGGAGTCACAAGCAGTATGAACCATCCAACAAGGTGCTGGAAACTGAACTCTGCAAGAACATAACTTATTTTTAAATGCTTAGTCATTTCTCCAGACTGAATGCTGCCTGTTTATTTCAACACATGCAATCACAGGGGTAACTAGTTCTACATAATTGGAACTGGTAACAAATTTAGACATATGTGCAGAAAATACCAGCAATGAAAATCTTTTCTTCACAAACACTGAGAGCTTCTAAGAGACCAGGAAATAGCCCCCTGAATATCTCCAATGTAAATGAGTTACTTATTTGTGCGCAAGCCCTGGGTACTTCATAAAAAAGTGTGACGCTAGCCCTGAATTTCCAGAAAGAGAGGTAGGAATCGTGTCCTTTTGTGTTATCTTAATGCTTAGCATCATGAAGGGAAGAATAAACTATCACAAGAAGGGAGAGGGGATGGCAGGAAGGGAAAAGTTAACTGCAGATGGCAAAGCATGTGAGAAATAACTTAGGAGAAGCCAGAAGACACTGACTTTTGTAAACAAATGGACAGCTGGGGAATTCTCGGATAAAGAGGGTCTGAATGACTGTACTGAGGCTGAGCAGTGAGTTTCCAAAATAAGGAAACAATTTGTTAATGACCTGCGTGAGAGAAGAATTTAGCCACTGTTAGAATATGACTGGAAATAAATATTTTCAAGACAGGTTCTTATTGTGTAGCCAAAGCTGGCCTGGGCCTTTTTTTTTAAAAACAATTTTACACATATATATAATGCATTTTGGTCATATTCACCATTGCCCTCTCTTTTTGTCTCCTCCCACTCTTTCCCAGCTCCCTCTTCTCAGCAACTCCCCCCTCCTGTGCTGCCTTTCCCCATAACCCCTGATTTTAAATAGATTGTTTACATGTGCATGGATGTAGGGTTGTTTCCTGAAGAAAATGGATGATTTCTTCTCTGGCAGCCAGTAACTGCCAATAGCTGCTCATGAGCACAATCCCTCCCTGGCTGTGATGGAAGGTGCATGGTCTCAATCTTGTCCAAGTGACCATAGCTGCTGTGCTTCTGACTGCAATGGCGCAGTGTTTCACAGCTCTTTTTCCTACCACAGCTCTTACAGTCCTTCTCACCCTCTTCTACCTGTATTCCCCCAGTCGGTCTTGGATGGGGTGGGGGTGGGGTGGGGAATGGCATAATATTCCATTCAGGTCGGAGCACTCAGCTGTCACCTAACCTCAGAATTCTGAGCTGCTATGAGCCTTCTGTACTCACCATCTCCTCCTGAAGAAGGAGATTCTCTCCCTGAGATGGGTGATTGGAAACTTGATTGGAATTCACCGCCTCCCAGAGTTAGAATATGCTCAGTATCAGCCTCTAAGCTTCTGTATGCAATAAGCCTATTCTAGTTTCCTCTTCTGTGGCTAACATAAACCAGAAAAGGCAGCATGGTGAGGAAAGCATTTATTTCATCTTACATTTCCAGGTCCCAGTCCATCACTGGGGGAAGTCATGGCAGAACTCTCGTCAAGAACCTGGAGCAGCTGAAGCACAGATGATAGACGCACACGGCTTTACAATTTCTGAGGATGTGCAGGACGAGGAAGGGTAGCCCTCCATGCTGTCCACTTCTAAATAACAGCTCATGCTATCACCAAAGAGAACCAAAAATGAGAGGAGAAGTTTGTACAATTAGGAATTTGTAAAATAAAATGAAGGGATTATCCATTAATTTCCAAAGGACAGCAACAAATATGGACTATGCAGGCCAATTTTACTTCAGGGTTATTAAAACCAGGATCAAAAGTTCATAGGTCACCAGACCAGACCACAAAGTACCATAGCTGGACCTGATGCCAAAGACTGAGCTTAACTCAGAGATCATGGGCTTTGATATGAAGAAGATTTTTAGTTGTCTTTTAAATTCAACACATGCAATTACAATTTAAATAGAGTGGAGGCTTTGCAAAGTGGCAGCATAAAAGTACAGTACAATCCAGAATGCTGGGCTGAGGACGGTGTCCGCATTTGAGTTTAAATCTTACTAACACTAACAATCCATGTGTCCTTGAGCAATATTTTAAGGAGCCCTGAAATTCCCTGGGCCTTGGTTTCATTGCCTATCAAAGGACAGAGTCACATGAACTTGAAAATGGCAGTAGTTCTATGGTGGCAAATATTATAAAGATTATTTTTAAGAAATGTACAGGTGCGTCAGGCAGTGGTGGCACACACATTTAATCCCAGCATTCAGGAGGCAGAGGCAGGAAGATCTCTGAATTCATGATCATCCTGGTAACAGAGTGAATTCCAGGATAAACAGGGCTACACAAAGAAAACCTGTCTCAAAAAAAGAAAGGAAAAAAGGAAGGAAGGAAGAAAGGAAGGAAGGAAGGAAGAAAGAAGGAAAGAAAGAAAGGAGAAAGAAATACACAGGTGAGCAAATGTATTAGTCATTGCATTCTAACTACTGCAACCAACACCTGCATGCCTCAGTGGCTTACTTGAAAGGTCTGTGTGGCATTCCAACGGCTGACAGGTGGTGATGGTAGTAATGGTGTGTGTGTATAGTGAGGATTCCACAGCACAGTTTATTCAAAGATAGAGGCTGTTTCTACCTGATTCCCATGGCACTCCTGTCTTCTAATATCTCTGAGTTCTCTTTCTGGATCTTCACAGTGAACCAGCAAATGTAGATAATGGTGTTGAAGATTGCCTTTGAGGCCAACCCTGGAATATATCACTCCTGTTTATAGTGGGGTAATCAGTACTTAGTCACATGTTCCCATCTAACCTGATTAAGAAGTTTTAATTCAGCTATGTACCCAAGAGTAAAAAGTGCTTGAGTGGCTGGAGAGATGGTTCAGCAGTTAAGAGCACTTGACTGCTCTTCCAGGGTCTTGAGTTCAATTCCCAGCAACTATTAGGTGGCTCACAGCCATCCATAATGATATCCTCTGATACTCTTCTGGCATAAAAATAGAGCACTCATATAAAAAAAAGTGCTTGAGTGTCCCTGCCTAGTCACCCAATATTGGGCTCACTATTTCTCCCTTTTGCAGACCACTATACTCTTCTCAAGGAAGGCCACCCAAGGTCCTACCCTGCACAGAGTCCTTGATCTCAGAGTTATTCCCTGCCTTAGTTAATTTTCAGTTTCTATGATAAGTCACAACCAAGGTAACTTATAAAAGTAAACATTTAGTGAACAGTTATAGTTTCAGATGGTGAGTCCATGACCATCATGGTGGGAGCATGGTGTTGGAGCAGTAGCTGAGAGCTTACATCCTGATCCACAGGCACGAGGCAGGGGAAGCTAACGGGAAAGACTTGGGACTTTTGAAACCTCAAAGCTTGCCCTCATTGACACACCTCCTACAACGAGGCCACACCTCCTAGTCCTTCCCAAACAGTTCCACCAAGCTGGGGACCAAGTATTCAAATAGATGAACTTGTGGAGGCCATTCTCATTCAAACCACTACATGCCCAGTACTCCAATCTGTGGCAATCTGTAGTCTTGCACCTATGAGTATAAAGGGGTGTATACCACTCCCCGATGTACTAGTGAGGCAGGGTCTGGATGATCTCAATGAAAGCTCCCACTTGTCAAGGGGAAAGATGGCAGTCACAGCAATTACCAGACTAACATGGTTCAGGAATGCCAGAGAAGTGGCATGATGAAGATCATTGCTGTGGACAGATGCAGTTTGAATGTCACTCAAGGGTCTATTGTAGGTAAATGGTTGATCTCCAGGGTGGAACCATATTAGGAAGAGGGGTTAGTGGGAAGTTTTCCTTGTGCATTTCCTTTGGGAGCTCTTGGGATAGGGTTGTTATATAAGGAACAAGGCCACCCCTTTTCTCTCTGCTTTTTTGACACTTGACTGCTTGCTCTAATATCCACTCCTGTCACTATCATTTGCCCTTCACTAGAAATGAACTGGCGAAGGCATCATGACCTTGAATCTCCAGCACTGTGAACCAAATGAACCTTTTTTAAAGCTGAATGTGGTGGTGCATGCCTGTAATCCAACCACTCATAAGATGGAGGCAGTAGGATCACGAGTTCAAGGCCAGCCTAGGCTACAAAGTAAGAATTGGTTTCAAAACAAACCATTAAAAACAACCAAGGCTCAGGGGACTGTTGAAGTGATTCTGTGGGTAAAGGTGTGCCTCACTGAGACTAATGACCTCGTTAGATCCCCAAAACCTATATGGTGGAAGGAGAGAACTGACTCCCACAAGAAAATAACTGGATACTCTGTCTTAAGGCTAACAGTCCCATAAAACCTAACATATGAACAAAAGTTGTATCTCATATTCAAAAGATGGAGGATGGCCATTGTCAATTTTACCAAATTTAGAGTCATCTAGGTCCTAGGAAATGAACCTATGGACATGCCTATTAGTGGATGGTCTAGATTAGGCCAATTGTGGTGGGAAGACCTGCCCACTGTGGGGGGTACTATTCCCTAGGATGGGATCCTGGACTGTATGAAAAGGAGAAAGTGAGCTAGTTACTGACTGCAGCTGCAGTGTGACCAGCTGCCTCTAGTTCCCGCTGCCAAGAATTCCCCACCATAACAAGCTGTACCCTTGTGAGCAAGATAAACACTTTTCCCATCAGGTTGTTTTTTCCAGGGTATTTTAGCCCCAGGAAAAGTCACAGACATTTTTGGAGAAAGATCTAATCATTCCAAATTAGATCCTGACTGTGTTCCCCGAGAGAAGTTCAGATCTACAGTTCTCAATGGATCTAATTCAGCATTGGAGAAAGATTAGGGTTCAGCTTCACATAACAAAGAGGCATTTGACTTCTGCCAAAGGTTTGGAAATGTGCGTTTATTTTCAAACTCATCTATGTGACATTCTACAGTTCAACACTAGCACACCTACCTGTGTGAGCCTTAACATTAGGGTCTGACAGCCGGTGATATGCAAGTCCAGTGTCTCCCTTGCCATTCCCTCTTCCAGGCTGCACAAAGGAAACAGACTGCATGGTGGCTAGAGAGTGAAGTTCCTTTTAGAAAGTGAATCAGTGGTGATGCAAGCACATTGCTCTGAAATAGAAAGCTGCAACCAGACTCGCAAGGCTAAGCAGAAATGCCAGGTTTCGGAGGCATCTTGAACGGGAACCTTTAATTTTACTGTTATGTCTGGAAACACAAGGTTGGCTTCCATGTCACTGACTATGTGAGGCAGCATCTGTAACTGCTTCAAGTTATCCCTTCTTTTCTTGAAAAGGTGGGCCAACACCTGTGTTTTCAGTCATGCTGTCCTAAATATGGCTATGCTCTTTGGAGATGTCCTTTTCCTCAACTGCCCTTACAGATGGAGTAGTGTGGTTGCTGATCTAGGCCCAAGGACTCCTGCAGGCTTCAGAAGCCTGTGACAATGCTGAAGCAGTTTATACATGCTCTTCTTGACTTTGTCTCACCTAGAACAGGGGTGACAATCTGTGACCAAATGGACGATAAGCTCACTCAAGTTGTACCTTCTTTTGGTGTGGAGATTAGACATTGACTTCCTAGAATCCTAATGGCTGTTCTCTCTGCAATCCATCTACAGCTTGTCTTTGGCTATATGATGCTACTAGTTAAATCTCCTTTGACTGGATCTAGTCCCATGGAAGACACCAGGAAAGCCATCTACCTATGCCTGCAAAATCCCACTGCCTCACTCTGAACCTCATTACCTTTAATGGTACATCCTGGGGCTCCTCACTCAGCCATGTTCCAGCCACTGTAAAGGGTGCCCCTTCAAAACCAGTGTTTTAAAGTGAGGCCTAGTTGGGGTGAGTTGTGGGGGCATGTCTCTCTAAAAGTAGTGATTGCATGGAAGCTTGAACTTGGGAATGGGATTTCTGTAGTCTCGTTTCATTCTTGTTCTCTCAGAGTAAATAAAGATAAAAGTAAGCTAAGGTCAGGAATTAGTCATGACAAGTTTCTCATGGAGATAAGAATGGTCCTGAGGGAGATGGTATTGGGAAGCCTCAAAATTTCATGTTCTAGGCTACTCTCCACCTTGAATGGTCACTTTCTCTTTTATCCAACATTAAATGACCCTCTCCAAAGTGTTTGCCATATTAAGTACCTATCCAAGAGATGGTGAGACATAGTATTTGAGGAAAATGTCCAGGGAGACAGATGTATAAATGGGTTAGATAGTAGGTGCAGGTCAATGATTGAAATTTAACAAGTGCCAGACGCACTAAGTGGGGTGCCACCATGATGTTGGGTATGGTAAGAATGTGGGAGGAGGTCTCTGAGGGGTAGAGAGGGATGGTATTTGTGCTTGAGGGGTGGTCCTCAAGAGTGGTGAGAAGAGGACAATGGCAGGAGAGATGCTTATGGGTTAAAGTGCAGTGGGAAGAGTAATTTCATTTGAGAATCGTGGCTGGTTTGGAACAACTGAAAAGCCAGTTGAGAGAGTGGGATCAGACTGGAAGGCACCTAGGAGACCAGAGAAGAGTCAGGAATACAGTCCCTGGGGCCAGACCACTCTAGTTTGAATGATTTAATTACTAGCTATATGTGCTTGACAAGTTGTTTCTCTCTCTCTCTCTCTCTCTCTCTCTCTCTCTCTCTCTCTCTCTCTCTCTCTCTCTCTGTGTGTGTGTGTGTGTGTGTGTGTGTGGTCTTTCTGTGTGTGCATACTCTTTTATCATTTATGCTTCTGTTTCCTTATTTGTCATGGAGAGAGAAATATCCATTTCAGATTTTGTTTTTCTTGAGGACTAAATGAATTACTACCTATATAACACTGAAACACTTTGGGCTCACAATAAGTTCTACATGAGTATTAGCAACAAAAACAATGAAACCACAATAGAAGCTCCATCTCCAACTGATGAGAGCTGAATGAGGTTGACAGCTGAGCAGGGTGAGAGAAACCATGCTGGAAGCGGGATGCGCTCCTTCTGTTTGGCGCTGAACAGGTCTTCGGTAGGACACATTTGGGCCGGAATTACATGAGAACAGCAGCCCTGAGGTGCAAGGCAGAGTGAGAGTCTGGAGTGGAAGGCACACCTTTTCTTACCCAAGGGGTGGGTTAACTGTATAAGATCACTTTCAAATGCAGCACACAAGCAGGGAACAAACTGTGCAGCTCCAAACTGGCATCAGAAGTGCAATGAAGAAGACACGATTTCTTGGGTTCTCAAACATCTTCAGAGGTGTGGAGGGCTCCCTGTACGGATGCCTACCGACTACTGTTCCATACCTAGTGAAAACCAATTGGTTGTCACAACATGGATACCACTGAGCAGAGCATGCTTCCAGAGAGTGGGTGTCTGTGCACAAACACGTTGTGTGTACTGTCCATATGTATAAAGATAAGTTATATATTAACTCACATCTTCCTGTTTCCTTTCGAGCATGGGGCTACTTTTAACCTGTGTACTTTTGTGAGTAAGCTTTCCCACTCCAACAAGAAATGGTGATTCTGAAGGGGAGAGAGAAGGCTAAAGATTGTTCATAGGAAGTGGGAAGACATCCACACTGTGACTCCAAGTACCAGGTCTGATCCTTATGGTCTGTACTGGCCATTAAGTACCATTCTTCCTGATTATGAAACACAGGGAGGATAAGGAGGAGAGCAGGCTTCTCACTGTCCCCTGAATGAAGGGGTTTCAGTTCTCCCAATCCATCTGAGCCAGGGGCAGGACTCTTCCCTGGGGCCAGAGTCCTTTGCAAAGGTCTCCATCAGACACTTTCCTGCAGTTTTGCCGATCTCTTCAAAGTATCAGGTTACTGAGTGAGAGTAGCTTCCATGGAGGCGATGAGGGTGAAGAGAAAGCCTCTTGGTTCCCCGATGGGATGGGTGACCACATGTGCACATGTGGGCCTGACACACTGAACTTGGGGGCAGAGTGTTGGGTGAATACACTAGAGCAGGGCATGGCTGAGGGGTCCAATGTCCTACTGCTCTGCTGGCTGCTCTTGCTGGAGTCCTGAGCTCCACCAGGAGTCCCGCTGGGCTGCGGAACAGGTGGACCTCCCAGGGGGCCCATCAACCTGCTCTGTACAGGAGTTATAGGAGCTGTAGAGGCCAAGCACAACACTCAAGACAAGCATTACTGAGGCCATCATCCAGATCACTTGCCAGTGTTGACACAATTTGGGATACAGGACTTGTAGGAAGCGGACCAGTTCTTCAAGTTTGCTGTCAATGAAATACAGATAGATTAGTATATCGAGCACGTATCTGATGCCCAGACCAATACTTCCCTGTCTGGGGATACCCTCTATGCTGTCTAAGGCAGAGGTTCTTAAGCTCAACGATACAGAGAATCACCTGGCAGATCATATTCAAAATTTCCCAGGCCTTCTAATGAGGATCCCAGTTAGATCTAAGAATCCCTGGGTGACTCTGGTGCCACTGGTCCACACTGTGGGAGACTCGTGCAGATGTTTGTCACCTTTATTGTACCCATCTTCCACTTTGTTCCTCCTTTTCTCTCCACTCTCTCTAAAGTGTTCTCTCCATCCCTCTTTGTCTCTCTCCTCTGCATCTGTCTCCTCTACTTTGACCACATTCACCCTTGCTTACTTCCCAGCTTCCTCTCAGCCCACCCTCTTTCTCTTCAGTTTAGTAAAAAAGACATTTGATCAGAGTCCCATCCTAGAGGCTTCTGGAGATGTCCTGTGCATTTTAAGCAAACTATACTTTTTCTCCTGTGTCTATTCCAACTCTGTGATTTGCAAAGCAACATTACTGAGGGTTACCAGATGGAAAAGGTGGGGAGAGGGACTGAGGGCTGCCTGTAGACCACATGTCTCACAAAGACACTGTAGTTAGTGCTCGGGTCAGCTGCTCAGGAGGATGGCAGCTTGAACAGAGAGCGGGTGGGAAGTAGATGGGTTGCCGTAGAATGAAATACTCGGCAAGTGCCCTCCAAAGCCAGCTTCTTGAAATGCTTGTCTTGGATGCCATGGCCACAGGGGACAGCAGTTGGTCCCGTGTCTGTATGAGAACCCAACAAGCAATTTCAGCTGTACAAGTCATTACATGACTTGGAAGTGGACCAATTTCAGCTGTGCAAGCCATTTCATGACAGTTTAGTACATTTGCTTCTAAGGAAAGTCACTAGCTATTTATGCAATTATTAGGAAGGGAGAGATTGGAAGTGCAAGCTTCCTTCCTTCTAACCCCATTTATCTTTAGATTCCAGTGGGACATAGTTGGAGTCCAAAATGGAGTCATTTTTGAACTGTATTTTTGTGCTCCCAAACAGGCTGTTGGTGTGGGCTGAAGCCCACTCTAAATCTGCATTTATAGATTTCCTTTTTAATTATATGTTGGGAGTAGGGAGTATGCCCACTAGTGCCCATGTGTCTGTGGAGGCCAGAGGCATCAGATCCCTGGAAGTGGATTTACAGGAGGTTGTGAATTCAGGTCCTCTACAAGAGCATAACGTTCTCTTCATTGCCAAACCATCTTTCCAGCCCCTTAATCCATTCTCAGGCTACAAAAGAGGCAATCAAGATCTGGGTAAATGATCCTTAAGAGAAACTGGAAACAAAATTAAGCTAGAAATAGAAAATTCCTTTGGGTCAATTTTTGATACAAAAGCTTCTGCTTTCAGAGGATTATTGGAAAAGTAAAGGCACCACTTAACGGTCACTCAGGCCCATAGAGCACATTTGAACCAGTGGTGAGAAGAAAGAGCCGTTTTTCTGTCACGTATTGTGAATCTCAGCTGTGTTACAAAACAATCTACAGACCACGTTAAGAAGGTGTTGGTTGCTCCACACAAAGTTCTTCTAGAGATCAATATTTATAATAAACTAGTTCATTATGTGGAAGATGAAACTTACAAGACTTAGAGTTTGATGTTGAAATCAAATAAGGAGCTAGTTACTGGGCTTACTTCGTTCAATGTTTCTTTATTTATTTAATGTGTGTGTATGAGTGTTTTGCCTGCATGTATGTGTGTGCACCATGTACATGCCTGGTTCTCATAAAGGTCAGAAAAAGGCATCAGATCCCCTGGAAATGGAGTTAGGATAATTGTGAACCATGATGTGTATGCTGGGAGCTAAATTCAGGGACTCTGCAAGAGCAACAAGTGCTCTAAACCACTGGGCCATCTCTCCAGACCCAGCGTTTTGTAAAATGTACAAAACAGGCATAAAAGTCTCTGTGTGTGCCGGGCGTTGGTGGTGCACGCCTTTAATCCCAGCACTCAGGAGGCAGAGGCAGGCGGATCTCTGTGAGTTCAAGGCCAGGCTGGACCAACAGCCTCCAAAACAGAGAAACCCTGTCTCGTAAAACCAAAAAAAAAAAAAGTCTCTCTGTGTGTGTGCATACGCATGTACATGCATGCATGGGTATGCGAGTGCATATATCTAAGGATGCACATGGAGGCAGGAAGAGGGCATCGGATGATCTTCTGTATCCCCTTCTCCTATTCCTTTGAGGAAGGGTCTCTCTTTCACCCTGAGCTCATGTTTGCTCAGGTAGTTAGCTGGAAGTCAGCCAGCTGCAGCGAGCCTTTCCTCTCTGCCACTCTTGGAGCTGGGGTTACAAAGTGTTCATGGGATGACTGGCTTGTTCTGTGAGTTCTGGAATCCAAACTCCAGAATTCGACTGAGTAGCAAATATTCTTAATAACTGAGCCATTTTTCTAACCCATGGAATTTTTGATAGCTTCGGACTTTGCTTGCTAGTGAGGTGCCAACATGTCACAGGGGACTCATATTCAAGTGAAGGTTTCTACAAGCAACTCCACTTCTAAGGGACTCTACAGTGGGCTGAGCATCTTCTGGCATTAAGCACGACAGCTCTTGCAACCAGTCTGGCTTGGGTTATGGGTGAGAGAGGGACTTTTCTGCAGTGGGTGCACAGTTTATATGATAAATTTCCTGAGAAGATGGGCTGAGCCTGAAAAAGTGAAGCTGTACCCCTTGCTGAAGGCTGAGGACCCTGCTCAGGTCTGGGATCAGCCATCCAAGTAAGTCATCTATTCAGAACCTAAAACAACGCCAATCAGGCATGAAGGATGGGAGTCTGAATGAGGCCTCTAAAGATTCAGGTGCAGCAGACGGCCATTGCCAGAACGGCTCACAAGGTGAGCAGAAAAGGACCCAGGCAAAACATTGCTTCCCCGAGCTTTGATGAGACAGGAAGGAGCTGCCAACTGCCAGAGATGGAGTTAGGTCTGCCTTTTGTAAGCCAGACTGTTTACAGCCACATGCTTGCTGTTTATTTCTCTTTTGTTATTTTGCTGTGTGTGAAAGTGTTGGAAATTCTAGCCTGTCTTAGATGAGTTCAAGGTGCCAAAGGAAGAGCTTGGGCTTAACAAAGGCAGCCTGGTGGTCTGCAAAATAAATGCAGATGACCCGCAAGAGGAAGGTGAGACGGTAGGAGGACCGGATGCCGTTGCTTGGAGTCAGGGTTGTGTTTCCATGGTTAAACTTGAGGCTCTTTCAGCAGAGGGGGTGGTGTAACTGGCACAGGCATGCTCACCCCGAGGAAGCATTTGCCCTGGCACTCTGAGAAAGCTCTTTCATTGACAGTGGGGTTGACCCAGGCAGGCTGAGTCCCCTCCTGCTGGTTGCATCTTCCACTACTGGGCTCTGTCAATGGCATCTACAGGCTTGGAAACCCAGTTATCCTCTTTCTAATCTTCACTTACTACTTTATTCATTGCATGTGAGTGGGTTCTGGAGCTTGCCAGCGGGAGGCTCAGATTACAGACACTGTGTCTGGGATCAGGGGCAGGTGATCATACAGCTAATGGTTTTGTCTGGAGAAGTTCTGGACTCCAAGATAGTCGAGAGTATCTAAAAGAAGATTTCAGTGAAGTGTTCCAAGGTTGCTACAACTATATTTAAGGAAAACAAAACAAAACAAAAACAAGACTTATGGCTTTGATGTACTGATGGAGATAGTTGGGCAGAATATATGACATTGGGGCTTTTTTTTTTTTTGGAAAATCTAGAGTGTTGGTCTGGTCCTTATACTAATAAAACAGTGCATGCCTCCTCCTATGGATAGTTTATTCTGTCCTTAAACATACTCCTATGTGGGATAGTCCTGGCCTATAGCATCGTGACCTTATTATATAGAATACCCTGCAACTAGACAAGGTTATTTCCATTGTTCTTGGTGTGGGGATGTATATCAGCAGAAGAGTGCTTGCCTACCATTTGCAAGGTCCTGGGTTCAAACCCTGGTACCAGTTTTGTTTTGTTTTTAATTTATTGTTCTGTACGGTAAAGTGAGACCTACAGCTGTAGTGGAGCAAGTCGTAGGATACAGACTTTCTTTCTGTGTCCCATCTCCTCTTCCACTCCATAGAAGCAGATATCTTGAAACAAAAGAGACGTTATTTCCAGCCTAAAGTGAAGAGACTGCAAATGAAAGTGTTTGGTCAACATAGCAGGGACCTGTTAGAGACTGAACTTTGACCTGAGCAAACTTCCCTGCCTGACACTGTTCCCTCTGTTTCTCTCTACTGTTCTTGTTTTTGTCCAAACCCTCTCAGGAATTCAGGCCAGCTCCTTTGATCTGAACTCATCTGTGGTTGTGGCTGTGGAATGGCCTGACCATAGTGTGGCTAGGTGTCCACTAAAAGCACCTCTCCCTTTCTCAGCTCCTAAGAGCTAGTAATGGCTTTCTGCCCTGCCCATGACCTCTGACCCATCAGCATTCGCAAATGTGCCATTCCTAGCTTAATTTTCTCCAGTTAGTGCCTTCTTGAGTTCTGTTGTCCGATAAATGTAGGCCCCAGACCTACTGCTGTCTGGGAAAGGCATTTCCATCCCTTTTGTGCAATTCAACAGTTAAATGACTTGAGATCCCTTTGGGCTCCAAGTGTAGGCTTCCAACCTGCTTCTCTGATCTGTCTCTTCCTCCTCAGGTTCTTCTACCTCCACTGGTTCCTCGGGACTCTCCGTCTTCTGTTCTTCCTCCTCCTCCTTTAGGTCTTGAAGTTGTTCGGCCTTCTTTACCCCTTCCTGGCATCTGGAGAGCAAAAAGGAAGAACTGTATCTGGGAGGGTTGGACACGGGACATTCTTGCCTGAGACCCTGGGGGAGGGGACTGAAGAACCTCCACTTCCTGTGGCTCCATACGACAGGAAAAAGCTGGGAAGCTCTGTTGAACCCCAATACGACTCATGTCAGTACCATTTCCCCTCACTCCTCAGCCATCCTTCCTGTTTATGTGACAGTGTGACAAATTGATTGGGGAAAGAATGTGGGACAAGGTCTACTGCTGGTTGTTATCCTACAAAACATTCCCCAGAGATAAGATTGCATTTTCCCTATGGAACCCAGGGGCTTTAACTTTGGGGGACCTTCATCTCAGGGTACTGGGGCGTGTTTCAGAAATGCCAGGCTTGACATTGGAGGAACCCAGACAATGTTCATAAAACCAATAGAGGGACTTTGCTCTTAAGTCTTCTGAGAAGAAGCCCACCCCCCCACTCTCCACCCCCCCCCCAACCATGAAGCCCAGAAGTGGTGGCGCACACCTTTAATCCCAGCACTAAAGAGGCAGAGGCAGGTGGATCTCTGTGAGTTCGAGGCCAGAACTCACAAGGCTAGTTTCAGGTCTACAGCACTACTTCCAGGACAGGCTACACAGAGAAACCTCTCTTGAAAAACAAAACAAGAAAAAAGAAAGAAAGCCTCCCCACCCCCGATTCCTCTTGGAATCAGTATTTCCCTGAACAGATCTGCTCACTTGTCTTACATACAGTCAGGTGTCTAACTTTACTAGCTTGACTGGGATGGCCCCACCCACCACTGAGTGACTGTCATACAAATACCATAGGATTCTGTGCCCATGGTAAGCTGAACCTCCCTCAGGAGCCATGGAACACTATGCTTAGTTAAAGGTGAGTTTCTATCTTGAGTCCTGGGCCTTGGGCCCTGCCCAGTGCTCTCTCCGAGTGGCTGAGCTGGCTCTGGTTGTTAAAGTGGCTCCTTTAGAGATAGGCAAGGGTGGAAATGGGGGGCAAGGGCAGGAGAGAGGAGCTCTGACTTATAGGGGACACCAGGGCTATTCCAGGAAGCACAGTTGAAGGTGCCCCTGGGCACTGTTGGCAGCAACATGACAACACTACACATGTGTCAGGAAGCCTCGGGCAGTACCAAGAGGAACCTATGCCAGGCTTCTGATGTTTAGTTCTAGGCAGTGGTATCATGCCTGAAAAAGAGAGGGGTCCAGTTGAAGCTAGCTGTTGTCTAAGCACATCCCGTGTCCTGCTTCCCTATGTAGGGCTTTCTTGACTAAAGAGGTTTTGGGTAGCTGGGTGGTGTTGGCACACGCTTTTAGTCCCAGAACTCATAGGCAGGCAGATCTCTGTAAGTTAGAGGCCAGCCGGGTCTACAGAGTGAGTTTTAGGTCAGGCTCCAAAAGCTACAGAGAAACCATGCCTTGGAAAACAAAAACCAAAACAAAAAACAACAAAAAAAGAGGCTCTGGGCCCATTGATTGCTTGCCCTAAACTCCCCAGAAGCCAGGGTGTGGGAAGCTCCCTTCTGAGACCTGCCAGTTGCCCTTGGGGTGGCCAGGTCTGACTCACCCTTTGTTGTAGGCGTCTTCCTCTGCCCTGGCCTTGGTCTCCTGGCTCATGTCCTCCTGGCAGCTGGGGAGCGGCACAGGGGCACAAACTTCACAGTCAGCCTCTGCATTTGTCTTTCCACTAGTGAGAGGAGGGAAGCACAGGGTGTCATTGCAGCGACAGATGGAACAGCTAAGGACAAAACCGTGTCTTTGACCTGGTTCCTGATTCAAAGAGGAAACTTGGACTCTTTCACTGACTTTTGAGTTTTTAAACATCTACCTTGAGACAAGGTTTTATAAAGAACTGCTCTACGAATCTTCACCAGCCCATGGAGGAGGCAAACACTACAACAGTTCTCTTAGCCTGATGTCCCCAAATCCAACTTTATTCTTATTTCAGGAGGTGCTGTGAGTGGACAGGCAAGTGTCACAGTGTCACAGACAGCAGAGTCCTCCACGAGGAGGCAGACTGAAGCATCCTAGTTCCTTCTTTTCTCATAGACTGTGTCTATGACTTTCACTTAGTCTTTCAACTGTGCATTGAGTGTGATAATGTGACACATACAAGGTAATGTGGAATTATAAAGAGGAAAAGATAAATCTCTTTTTTGCCAATGTAGAGTTTTATAGAAGGAAAAAGTAATCATATTAATTATGAATTATAATATTTATGAAAGAAATTATTCAGTTACAGAAAATGAAAAAGAGAGGGTGTGTTTAGAGTGGATGGTCAAAAACGGCCTCGATGAGGTACTGAAACAAAAACCCTAGCCTCAAAAATGAGATATGCATACAATGGCCATCTGAGGTAGAGGATGGAGGATATATAGACTTGGAGATGCAATGGGTGCCGGGAGACCTGAGCTGATGAGAACAATCAATGTAGCAGGAGCTAAGTTTGGAGCGAAATAAATTGTCATGCACATGAAGTGTCCAAGAAGAAATGTTGGGTAGACACTTGGAGATGCCAAGCGAGGCAGAGACACTCACTTTATGTTGTAAGAATATAAAGGATGGATGATGGCCTAAGGAGAGATCACAAGGAAAGAAAAGCAGAGATCTCAGAACCAATTCCCAGTTATCTTTAAGAGCCAACTCCCAGTTATCTCCAAGCTCATCTGATGAAGATGAGGACAAAGACAAAAAGACAGAGAAATAGAGAGGGAGGTGCAAGCCAGAAGGGGGTGGAGGCTTGGGAGTCAGGGAGAGAAGGCTCACTGTGTTTCACTGTGTCTTCTGAAAGTTTGTGTCCCTGGTGGGGTTTGATAATGCAGGGGTCACATTGGGCCTTGAGGTAACGATGAATGCGCGATAAGGAAAGGGAAACGAGAAAGGTACAGCCATGATTGGGAGTGCATTGACAGGGATGCTCAGCTGAATGCTTGGGTCAAGGGCTGCAGGACTGTTCAAACACAGGTAGAAAGGGCCCAGAGGAGGCAACGAAAGAAGATGGCCAAAGGGAAAGTGCCTTTGACTAAAGGAACCACGCCTTTTGAAAAGTAAGAGAAACCTCTCCTTGATTGGACAAAGAGTAGAAGAGAAGGACAATGAGGTGGGGTCCTGACGAACAAAGATGAGCTGACTCCTATCCAAATGGGAAAGCTCTTTGTAAGAACAAGGCCAGGCCTTTTGCAGAGAGCAGGAGTAGAGGGTCTGAGAAACAGCAGGAAGTGCAGGCATCATGTGGAAAGGTAGGGAAATCACCTCAGGATAGCTGGGCATGCTTGGAGTCCATCTAATGTATGAGTGCACCATAAGTTCAAAGGAAGCAACCTAACAACCTAATAAGATGGATTCTGCAGCCATCTTGGTGCCCTTAATCTGACTGAGAGTGGTGGCATCATGGAGGAGCCCAGAAACAGCACCACATTGTAAGATGAACCTTCTAGAAGGAAGCTCAGGGTCACTGCTACTTTTCCTTAGGCAGAGTCCAAAGTGAAGCCTGCTCTCTGCTCTTAGCATCAATTTCCTGTCTTGTAGCTTTCCCTCAGACCTTGAAAAATATGTTTCATCAGGCTAGAAACCAAACCCCATCATGAACAAGAAAGATAACGCTCTAAAAATACCAGCTATTCATAATGTTTCTCCTCCTGCAAATTATACTCTCCACTCCCTTCCCCGTGACCTTAGCCTAATGTGCAGTTTCCTATTTGTCCAATGACTGGAGCAAGCTAAGAAAAACACAACTAGAGTCAAGGGTGGGGACAGACATTATCTCGTGAAGTGTATTTATATATTAGAAGTGAAATATGGTCACCCCACTTTTTCTTTTCTCCACAGCTGCCCACATTAGAGAGTCCTTAAAGCTAAACGAATATGAAGAGACTATGCCTGAGACAGACCTGGTTCAAACCCCAGCACTGCAGGCTCAGAGACCTTAAATACCAGCCTAAGGCTTTGCAATCTTGTAACCCCTTGCCTTGCAGGAATGAGGATATTCCAATGGAAAAGACACCTGTGGCCTCCCCTTGGCTGACAGACTACCTGAACAATGTACCCCGAGAAATTGAAATCTCCTCAGGAATCTCATGCTGGTAGAAGCCTAGGGCAACCAGAGGGGAAAATTGTCTCCCAAAAAGAACCTTGTAACTTGCCAGATCACCTTTCAGGACAAACCAGAGCTGATACTGTAGGGGGTCAATGATGGGAGGGACCACACCTTGACCAGAACTTTCTACTTACCCTTATCTCTGGCTCTCTACTTAAACTCAACCCTCCCTCCTGTTGGGACTGAAGATGTATTGGGTAGAGGGTCACTGGATCTCTTTCTTTTTCTTCCCAATATAGCCATATTGAATAAATCCTTTTCTGCTTTCTACTATTAATTTGGCCCTTTTAATTGGCTGATTGGGCTATGACATTAACTCCAGTAACAATCAGTGTGTGGGAGAGCTCAAATTTGGCCCTGTTGCAGGTTGGTTCTGACCCATGCTTTAACTGTACTACTATCTACCGTCCTTGTGAAGCATTCCTTTCTGGCAGCTAAGAAACACAAGCTCACTACTTGCCTACATTCACATTACTGATGTTGGCTGCGCTGTTCACTTTGGCCCACTAGCTTCATGTCAAGATGAGCTATCTTCCTTGGTCCCTCCTTCACTTCTCTCCTGAGGCTCTAAGTGGTGTAGAAGGCCCAAGGAATTGACTGAATGAAGCTATCCCCATCACATTCCCATAGCCAGCAATGCTCCTTTCTCCACAGACTGCTACAAATATGAGAGATTTTGAGGGCCTTGGTTTACCACCAAGCAGGATGCTGGAATTGGAGGTGGGACAAATATAGTAATATATAAATTTTGTTGTTATTTTCTGGCTTCTAGCCCAAGCTTGGAGTTCCCTAAATACCTTCTCCAACTACCTGGAGTTTCTCTTCATGTACTTTTAAGACTCATATCAAATCCTTCTCCTCTGTGAGACCTTTGCTGATTTGCTACTGTCTCCCAGGCCAACTGGCTAAATAAAGTGGATCTGTCACCTCACCTCCGTAACAAAGGGAGAATGTTTTCCCACCTGCCCATCTCTCCCTCTGATCATGAGCACATGGCAAGGGCTGTGTTTGCAAGGTGCCTGGTGCAGACCGGAGTGCTTTTATTACTCCAACGTCACAGTGGCCTGTCTAATCCCTGTTAGTGAAATGAACAGATCCTATCCGTAAATGAGGATTTCCTGAGAACCTAGAATTCAGCTTGGGCTAAGAGAATCTGTATTCATCTCTGTAAGTGAGAGCTGGGCACAATCTGTGCCCATTCCAGGGATAACTGGGTGGATTGTGTTTTCCATTCTTAGCCTGGAATGCCGTGCCTTCTTTCTGGAATGATTCATTAAACTGTGGCTGTGTTATCACTGTGCTTGGCTCTCAGTCACTTGAGTTCTTTTTGTTCAAAGTAAACTGTTGGCCAAACTGGTTATCAGTACATTGGTGAGCAGTATTTGAAAGTGACTTCAAGCCTTTCCAAGGGGCAGATATTGCCTCTTGGATTCATTGATGTTACTAAATCATCCCAATTCAGTGGCTTCTTTTGATAATCCCACCCTAGAGGACCTTAGCTCTGGGGCCTTCCTTACCCCCTTACATCCAGTCTCAGATTCTTGGGTGATAATTTTCCTGGGATATAATTTTCTCCATAATACAATCAATAAGGGGATAGATTGCTTGCTGTGCAAATTTAATGACCCTGGCTGCTTTAAAAACATAGAAAACAGTGATTTTAAAGACAATATCTAACACTGCACTGTGACACCAGCGTCATGGCCTATCCATAAAAATAATCTACTAACACCCCCACACCATGGCTTTGCTGATGCTTTGGTGAGTGGCTCTGCACACACCGTCTCATATCCCACTCTGTCCCACTCTCCATGCCCATATGACCACCGGGTTCTCCCTCAAAGAGGTCTCCTTCCCACCCTTTCCTCTATAGTACCTCTGAATGTCCTCTGTTCTGTTAGGAGGTTAAGGGCATGAGCCAGGCAATCTAGCTGTGTAAACTCAGGGAGCATATCTCTGGGCATCATCTTCCTCATCAATAAGACAGAGATATTAATAATGTATCCACCTCATGAAGTCCTTGGCAGAGTTAACAAGGAATGGACAGCAATTAGGGGGAAAGGTACCTGGCACACAAGGAATGAGTTTTAACTAAGAACAAGAATTGTTATCACCACCACTGTAGCCATCATCATTCTTTGAATTCACCACTACCTTGGAATGCTGTCAATCTCTTATTCACCTAGCTGATGGTAAAAACCTTTAGGCTTAACTTTTAAAGCAGATTCCTAGGGGGAAACATTTTCTGAGCCCCACCCCATCTTACACCCACACAGGGTTAGGGGCACATTTTCTCATGTGTTGGTCTCTTAGCAACAAGTACTTCCTTATGACAACATTCATCGCACCATGGAAAAATAGGCTGCTTCCTGTCTGGCTTTCCCACTAGACTAGCTCTCCTTGAGAGCATACCACGGGACTGACCCTGAGAGCACTTGTCAAAAGAACAAAAGAATAAAAGACCACGGACATATAGCTCTCCCTATACATATCTTTAAGGATAACTAAAAACCATTCTCTGGCCATATGTTTAAATCTATGCATTTCTAGACCTTTGTTGAGTTGAATATTGTTTTTCTATGAAATAGCCTACAAGAACAAGACTGGGAAAGCTCTAAGCTCACATTGGATAGACAGTGTAGTCAGCTGCTCTGTACTATGGACTGGCCATGGGCTACTTGATCATCCTCTCACATGCCTAGCCAGTTCCCTTCCTTATATGGAACACTTAAGAAATGGGGTATCATTTAACAAGAAGCTCACTACAACTACAAATATCTGATAAATTATAACACATTATTTCTCTTCAACAATGTGACTAGGCTAATAGGAATTGGTGCATCTATATATAACTAGAGAGGACATGAATTCATTTTCACTTGAAAATTGTTTCATTATTGACCACTTGGGGTCTATGATGCTTCCAGGTCTGTGCATTTGGAGGAAAAATCAGTTTATATCTTTTATAAGTCCACGGGGAGGAGCTGCTATTGTTTGGAGTCTCTGGGGTCCCTCCTTCCTTTAGAACCCCCCCTCTTTGCAACCATCTTTTTGGGTTTTTTTGTTTTGTTTTGGTTTGGTTTTGGTTTTTCGAGGCAGGGTTTCTCTGTATTGTTTTGGAGGCTTTCCTGGAACTTGCTTTGTAGACCAGGCTGGCCTCGAACTCACAGAGAGCCGCCTGCCTCTGCCTCCCGAGTGCTGGGATTAAAGGCGTGTGCCACCAACACCTGGCCCTGCAACCATCTTTATTTGGAAATGTTTCTAGTAGGTGAGTCAACCACAGTGTACACATGGCCAATGACAGTTTCTAACTAACCTAGGAAGGAGCTACAAACCCATCCTGGGAACCTCTGGCTTGAATCTGAGTCTCACTTTGGCCTTTTAGCTCCTGATGCTAAACCTATGAAAGGTGCCACCATGCCTGATCCTCACTCAATGATACTGAAGATTTGGGGCTGTCCCTCAGATTCTCTTACAGAGGTCATCTTGAGTTCTTTATAGTCCCCATTGCCTTGGACATGAGCTCTCAGTTGTCCTGAACATTAGTTATGAATGACAGTCTATCACGAAGAGCTGAGACCTAGATCTTCCGCCTTGACTGTGTCTGTAGGCCTACAGCTGGGGAGAGGACTTTGTTTTAAATGCTCTGAAATGTATTGATGAGCCCAAAGTGAAGGAAGACAGAACTTCAGAGAGTATAGGTGATCATTTCTCGGTAGATTCAGAGGCCAGGAATTAGGCATTGTGGTTCTATGTAATGAGATTTTGTAGCCTTAGGTACTTGTGTTTGATGACTAATTCATCATCTCTTGAGTTTCCTTGGAATAATCAAGAAATGGGAAGCGGATACACTCCATGATGAAAAGGAAGAATATGCTGGTAGGTGACAAAGGGGTCAAATACTGGGCAAATATTGACAGTTGCCAGAGGGGTCTTGAGTGGGAACTTGGCAATCACACACCGAGAATGAGGAACACAGTCTGGAGATAGGGAGGTTGGGAGTGTCTCTGAAGAGACAGAGGGCCCAGCAGTCACACTCCCTGCCAGACGACACACAAGGCCTACTAACAGCAACAGAAAATGAAGGACTAAAGCTGCTTCAAGGCAAAGAAAGAGAAATGAGGTCTGCACTCCACCAGCTGAGGGAAGAAGTGGCAGCTGTGATCCAGATGTTTTCCAACAAGCAAATGAAAACAGTTCAAAAAGTAAGCCGTAAACCCTCCCATCTCCTAACTCCCCACCCCCCACCCGGGGTGCAGAAGAATGCCGTAGAGCTCTGGCTTAGCATGAGAAGGCTTATAAACTGCATGGCTGCCTAGGAAAGCCAGACCCAGGAGGCCCTCTCGGCTCTTGAGCAAGTATGTACCTTCCTTCCCATTTCTTGACAGAAAGACTGCTTTCTGTTGTTTTTAAAGCAATTTACCCTTTCCAAAGTCACCATGTTTTGAGGAACCTCTCCCCATCTCTAGGATAGTTTTAAACCCATATAATGATTCTATTCCTAAGTGGAAGAATTGTATTCGTCTTCCTCTAGATATAGTCTTGTTCAAAGGGAGCCACGGGGAGCTAGCATCCCACCACGCTGGAGCAGCCTACCCTGGACTTGTATCTAAGCCCTGTTGAATTAGAGCTTTTTTGTCTCCATAGCCCCAAAGAATGCCAACTAATGAGGAGGCTTTTTCCCCCTCAGAGGGTCTTAGGCAGGGGGTACTTGACCTCAGCCATAGCATCTCATGGTTCAAGAATTGTATAAAGTAAGACCTGAAATCTTTGCGGGTCTCAGAGTCCTATTCAATTCTCCTAGAACTTGATTTTCTTTCTATTTCGGTTTTGGGTTGAGGATGAGAATAAAGAAAGGGTTTTTCTTTGCCTAAGGATCCCCAATATTAAGTGGAAAATAGAGAAACTTACTTTTCCAAAAGTGCAGGCAGCACCGGGGGGACAGATGTGTTGCCTTTTCCGTTGGGCGATTCAGACTGGATGGAAACAGGAGCCAGAACTGAGGATGAGTGATGAAGGAAGCAGCCAGGCTTGCTGGCCTCGGGCGATGCTGGGGAGGGCTGCTGCTGCTGCTGTCCCTTCTGTCTCCATCCTTCTCCCCCCACCACTTTGCAGTCTGCATTCTGAGGCTCCATCCTAGCAGGGAGCCATAGGTCTTCCTGTCCACGTTCCTGAGTACGGACCGGTAGGCCTCCTGCCAAATGTGGGTCTAGAATTCCTTGGGATGGACTCACATAAGCATCACTGTTCCCACAGGGACTGTTCCAAGTACAGAGTCAGGAGATGCCTGATATCACAGACATTTCTGTGCAGTTTACCTGGGCCCCTGTGCTGCTCTGCTTCAGTAGTCCTTGCTAAAGCATACACTTTCAGCTCTGCGCCTATGCTAGAATCACCTGAGTTTGGGTAAATAGTATGGAAGCATTCCAGAGTTTGGGGGTGCCACCCACAACTAGGATGTTTTCAATGTAGCCTTTTCGATAAAAAAAAATAGTTCTCATTGTCAACTACTTGTCTAAATTTATACATTCTGAAACCATAGTTCTGTTTAAGAAGGCCTATTGCTAACTACTCTTTCTGGTCTCTTAAAAAATTTCAGTTTAAAAAATTTTATTTTATGTGCCTGAATGTATGTCTGTGCACTGTAAACCTGCATTGCATGTGAAGGCCATAACAGGGTGCTAGATATCCTGGGCCTGGAGTTGCAGATGGTTGTGAGCTACCACGTGCATGCTGGGAATTAAACTTGGGTCCTTTGGAAGAATACCCAGTGCTCTAAACTGCTGAACTATCTCTCCAGATCCTCAGGTTTCTTTGTTTCAGTGATTTTGGAGTTTAATCCAAAGACAAAATAGCTATCAGTATGGTGGAGCTTGAAGCAACGTGGTCGGTTTCTTGAACACTTAACCTGTGCTAGTGTGCACATGATTAGAGAAACCACTGCAGAAGGGTGTTTAAAAGTTTAGAGAGAAGCCACTAGATCCATAAAGGCCCTAGGTATAGATTTTCTTGGCTGGGCATTGGTGGCGCATGCCTTTAATCCTAGCATTCGGGAGGCAGAGACAGGCGGATCTCGGTGAGTTCTTTGCCAGTCTGGTCTACAGAGCGAGTTCCAGGACAGTCTCCAAAACAATACAGAGAAACCTTGTCTAGAAAAATCAAAAAAAAAAAAAGAGAAAAGATTTTCTTATATATAGAAATTGCCTTCATCTGGAATGAAACAGACTTTTTTCTCTGCCTTTCTTTTTATACCCTATAGAAATATAAAAAATGAAGAAGAAAATTAAAGTGATCTGTTTTGTTTTATCATTGTCCAGAAATAACCAATATTGTGATGGTTAATTTTTAATTATCAACTTGCCACAGCCTAGAGTCACCTGGGAAGACGGCCTCAATTAAAGGATTGTCTAGATGAGCTTGGCCTGGGGCCATGCCTGTAGGTGCTTGCCAGCGAACACAGGAAGAACCAGTCCATCGTGGGTATAGGAAGACCCAGCTATGGTCTGTGGATGTAACAGCTGAGTTTCTGCCTTGATATACCCTTAATGGTGAACTATAACTTGGGATTGTAAGCCAGATAAACCCTTTCTTCCCTAACTTCTTTTGGTCAGGATATTTTATCACAATAGAAATGAACCTAGAACAATTATTAAATTTCAAATGATTTCTTCCATAATTTTCTGTGTTCTACGCAGAGACACCATTTTTAAAAATACAAAACAGGATGCTGGAGAGACAGATCAGTAGTTAAGGGGACTTTCCCTTCCAGTGGCCCTGGGTTCAATTCCCAGCACCCACATGGCAGCTCACAAACATCTGTAACTCCAGTTCCAAGGCTTCTGACACCTTCACACAGACACACACACAGGCAAAACACTAATTAACATCAAATCCAAATAAATTGTATTTTTTAAATAAAAAACAGAATTATATTACATATACTCCAATGTATGTGTTTATTATATATAGAAATTGCTATTTCTTCATAATAAATCATGGGTAATATTCTACAGAAATGCTTTATGATGCTATTCACAATTTGCTTGCCTATCTCCTGTTGATAAGCATTGGGTTACCCTCAGGGTTTCATCCCTGAAAACAAGGATGAATGAGTTAAAACAGCATGAGATCAAGTTCACGAACTCAGACTCTGCGATCAGAGCCTTGCTTCAGATCTACCTGACACAACCCACTGTAAAGTTTGCTTGTTTTTTGTTGTTATTTTTTAAATCATCCCCTCCTTAAAGGTTTATAGTTCCTATTGAAAGGGGTGGCTTATTTTGAGGTACACCTCCTGAACCATCTGGGATTTGCTTGGGAGCCCAGAGACCAAGTCTCAGAACAGTGGCATGGTTTACACTGGGTTACTTTCTGTACCTCCATCCATATTCTCTGCTGGAAATTTCCTACCCCTGCTGACCCTGAACCCAACTGCATCCTCTCCATAGCACTGGTGCGAGGGAAATGTAGAAAAGGACAGGAGGCAGGCGACATCGTACTCACCAGAGCAGGTAGGGAGGGGATGGGTGATGAGCCGGGGCCTTGGCCAGGAAGGTTCAGGGCATTAAACTTGGGAACCACAGCAACACTGACCCTCCGGCGGGGCATGTTCTATGGGAAGAGAAGCGATTCAGGCCTCCTGTCTTGGGAATAACAACAGTCATAGCTCTGAGGGTATTGGAAAAGCTTGCTAGTTTCTAACATTCAGTAGATTATTTGGTTTGGGGGTGGTGACTGTGTTAGGAATCAGCGTGGAAAGAGTGAACCAAAGTTGACTCAAATTTTCTGTTGGTCACAAGTGATCTCTCAACACATCACCACTTTACATTTTGAGACCCCATTCTCTGAGTAGCATGCTAGATAGTGTGCAAAAACTGCCCGTGGCAAAGCCAAGGTGTATGCATCAAATGCAGTGTCGGGAAGACTACAACTTAGCAAGAAAGTTGGGGCATCAGAGGCCGTGTGAACAAGTGTGAAGGCTGAGCACCCTGCTGGAACCCATAGGCCCAAGAGTGAATGAGCTCTTGAGTGACCATGAAAACTGTCATGCTTCTTCTGGGAGCCCTGGGCTTCCTTGACCATGCATACCTTGCCCATCGTGAGGGACATAGATCGCGCCGTGCGGGGGACCCCATCCTCTATAGTAGGAAAGAACAGAAGAAAATGGGTGTGAGTTTCAGGTTGGGGTCCAACAGGACACAGAAAGGCAGAAATTAAGCCAAGCTACCTGTGGGTCATAGCTGGCTTTGCAGGGATGGCTCAGAATTCTGGGTATTAGGGATCTTTCATTCTTCAATGTTTCACCCTCTAAGAAGACCATCTGCAGCAAAGGGACCCACTTGACAAAATGTTTATTCTATCTCTACTAGACACTATGAGGAGCCCCAGTCTTGGGCTTCTGGGCTTTATTTGACATAGCCTCTGGGGTCACCCAAGGAGGTGTGTATGAACAGACCTCAGCAAGCTTGAAGCATATGGATTCATTCCATGTTCACTCAAAGGATGGCAGTTGGAAACACTATATCCAAGAAAGATTTGATGCTCAGAATGAAAATTTGCTAACTGAAGTAGTTTTAATGTGCTACCTACACTATGACTCAGCACAAGGGAGCTACCACTTAAGACCTTTTTCTCCTTAGAAATGCATATTAAAAGACACGATTTATATTCAGTGTTCAACACCATATCTGCATAAGAGTGTTGCCAGGAAACAGCTGGGTACATGAAAAATATTTTTATTTTTCAAAAGTGTAAATCTTGTTCTTTTGAACTTATTTCCAAATATGATTTGTCCAAAAATTATCAGAAAATATCTTCAAGATCAGTTGAATTTGATTCAGTCTTACCAATATCCTGGAGTCTGTATGTCTGTCTGTCCTCAATAGTCCTATATTTTATGTATGGTCCTTGAAAACCATATAGCTGCGTGCTTTATTTTGTTTTTTTTTCTTAATCTGAGGATCTTTGTCAACCAACAGCATTACACTGTCTATAATTCTTGTGATTATTAACACATTTATGCTTATTTCTATCATCTCATTATCTATATTTTATTTACCTTGATTTATTTTTTGTTTTTTTTCTAATTTTTCCCATTCTAAACATCAGTTGAGAAATTATCCTTTCTAGTTTTAATCTTTGAGACGTGGCTTTAACTTCTGATATTATTTAGCTTTAATTTTAAAATTAATCAAGATCTCTAGTTTTCCTAAATAGAGCTCAAAGCAATAACTCTCTCCAACCTTAATCATTTTTTATATCACCTTGTGTATCCCCAAGTTATGCATTATTCATCCAAATAGCTATTACCAGATGCTTCTTGGCTCTGCTTATGATCACATGCTTATGATCATCCTTGATCACCATCCTTTCTTGCATCCTACTGATTTGTGCTTCATTCCACCCCCACCCCAGTACATTATTTAATTGTCCTTTCAGCAAGGACATATGAGGGGAGCAGTCTCTTACTATAGCCTTCCCTAGCCCTCAGCCTTGTATGACCACCCATTTATTTCCCCTTAGTTCTTTGAGAGGAAAAGCAATTGTCTTCTAGTGCTATTGTTGCTCTTGAGAATTGTTGTCTACTTGCAAATTTTCTTTTCATTATTTTAAAGATCTTTACCTATCTTTTCCTTTTCTATTTGTATGTGAGAGAGAGAGAGAGAGAGAGAGAGAGAGAGATGCACACACGTGCACCACAAGTGTGTGGGCATGCTCATACATGACTGGGGTCAACATTGGACATTTCTTTCTATCTCTGTTGACCTTTTAAGATAAGATTTCTCACTGAAGCTGGATCTTGATGTTTCAGCTAGACTGCCTCTCTCCAATTCCCCAGCACTGGAGTTACAGGTGTGCCACCGTACTTGAGTTTTGTGTGGGTGCTAGGAATCCAAACTCAGGTCCTCATGCTTGCAAGGGCTTTACTCACTAAGCCATCTCCCCACTCCTTATTTTATCTTTTTTTGCATTTCCATTTCATGCGCATTAATTTTTTTCATAAACTTTCCTATACTACTGAGCCCAGTGATTTGTGTCTTTCTTTAGCTATGGAAAATGCTAGGTTTTTTCTCTGAAGATTTTCTGTGCTTCCCTGTAGGGACCTCCTGGCTAGTGGACTGTAGGCTCTTCTCCACATCCTGTGTCCTAAAACCTTCTTTCATATTTTAATCACTGTATCCATTTAACTGTATTTTGGATAACTATCTCAAATCTCCCAGTCAAGATGAACAGGTTGATATTCTGGGAGGCTGGCATTCATCAGATTAGGAGGAAGAAAACCAGAGCCATTTGCAGGCTAGTTCTTATGGGCTTCAGGCCAGATGCGACTTGGCTCACCCACGAAGCCCTCCACAGTGCCTGGTCTATCTTCTAAGGGATAGAAAATAAGACAGGGGAGGAGCTCAGCACTGAGAAACCCCCTCTACCATGGCTACCACACCCTCCACACCTTCCAAGTCTCCCTTATCCCTGACTTCTCATTTTGAGTTCTAATTTTTTTATAACTGTTATTTAGTTGTGTGGGCTTTTTGTTGTTGTTGTTTGTTTTAACACAGGGCTTCTCTGTAGCTTTGGAAACTTGCTCTGTAGACCAGGCTGGCCTCAAACTCACAGAGGGCTGTCTGTCTCTGCCTCCTGAGTGCTAGGATTAAAGGTGTGTGCCACCAATGCCCAGCTTGATCCTGCGTTTTCAGTCTGCCTTTTCAGATCTCGGCCGATTTCAACATTCTAATTACTATTTGATGTTCTTAGGGTGTAATCTTATATTTGGTGGATCTAATGATTTGTTTTCCCAGTGGGCTGTTTCACTGTATATTTTCCCCCCGTGAACTTGTCTCCATCCAGGCCCTGTGGAGGCTTCTGTGTGTCCTGGTGCAGGGTGTGCCTCTCTGCAAGGACTGACAGTATTCCTGGAGACACCATCCTGCTGTTCTTTCAGATTCTCCACAGATTGCATCACTGCGGCTGTTACTCGTGTACTTTTCCTATGAGGAAGGAGAGAATATTTTGTTTCCACCAGGGTACAGGGTGAAACAGGCAAGCTTCCGTATTTGCTTCTCTGCTGGCTGGTGGGGGAGAGTTCTTATTCCTTGTGTAGATTCTACCTCAAGGCAGTCCCTAGAAGGCCTTCGCTCCCCACACAGCGCAGTGTCCACTCTGCGCTCTGCCTCCGGAGCTCAAAGGCTGCTCTCAAGAGAGTACTGAAAGCGAACACTTAGTTCCAGATAAGCAGGGTGGCTCTGTCCCCAGCAAGCCGCAGGGTCAGTGTGGTTTCAGTTCTCTTCTTGTTTCTGGCTATTTCCATTTCCTTTCTTGCGGGCTCAGCTGTTCTTTTAGACGACCTGTTTTATTTTGTCCAGCAGGAAGTTGTAAGCACTTCAGTTAAAAGATTTTGAAGTTTTCTGGTTACCCCAAAGAGCAGAACCAGAAAATATCCAATAAGTGAGAGTTCAAATACATTCACAAATTTCAGTCTTGCAGGTGGAATAATCAGAGAATTCACAAAATAGACATGTAAGTGCCTAACAATGAATCAAAACTATGAGACAAAGCAATTTATGTCTGTAAAACCATAAATATGTTTCAGAGGAAAGAACAAGTTTGCTGACCAATGTACAATGTACAATCAAGCATTTTTGTAACCCACTAAATGACTATGCCAATGGATTACTTGAAAATAAGTAATTTTTAAATATTTCTTTTCCCTAATATAACAGTGTTTTGTTTTCATTGTATTTTTAGTTAGGAAGCAAAAGAACATGTTTTATTATGGCATTTCATATGTGCATGTCATTGTAGGTAGGTTTATTACATATGTGCATGTCATTGTACTAGGCTTATATCTGCCTACCTCACTGCCTTCCCTGTCCCTTGCCCACTGGTCTCCTTCCTCTCTACAAATACACTCCTCTTTCAGCTAGTATTTATATTTCTAGAAGTTTGTCCAAAGAAAATAATCCAAAATATTGATAGTCATGCTGCATGTTCAAAAAAAATTTTTGAGACAGGATTTCTTTGGTAGCCTTGGCTGTCCTAGAACTGGCTCTGTAGACCAGGCTGGCCTCAGACTCACAGAGATCCACCTGCCTCTGTTTCCCAAGTGCTGGGATTAAAGAATGCCCCATCAACACCTGGCTCCAATTTTTTAAATAAGCAACTTACTTTTTAATCAGGGGATATTTTATTCCATTATAGTCTTCAAAGTCTCAGCGAAGGCAGAAGTCATGTAGAGGCTTTTTAGAAGCATGCAGTTAGAGAATGGCCATGACACATCGTCCAGACATACCCGTGGACACACAGATGTACTGGTGCTGGACTCTCCACAGCAGCTACAGTGGAGGCAGAGCTTGGAAAAACAACCCAAGTGGTACCGAATATCTCCAACCATTATTCTTTGGTTAGGACTTGCTCTTGAGTTTCTTTTGCTATCATTTTCTCAGCTCCCAGACTGGATTGTGGGACTCTGGAGTCTACCTCACTCCAGAATTCTATATTTCTCCGTGGGTAGATGCACCTGTTCAGGTGGCTATGTGCAGTGTGTGTTAAGGAGTGTGTGCATACAGAGTGCCTTCCTTTATTTCTCTCCACTTTATTTTTTAGATGGAGCCTCTGAGCCAGGAGCTCACCAATTTGCTAGACTATCTAGTCAGCAAGCTTCGGGGGCCCACTTGTCTCTTCCTCCCCAGCACTGGGGTTACAGATCAGTGTGGCTGCATCCAGCCTTTTCACATAAGCCAGGGATTTGAACTCAGGTCTTCATGCCTTCATGACAAGCACTTTATTCACTGAGCTATCTCCCCAGCCCAAGAAACCAGCTTACTTTTGTTGCAGCACTAGGACTGGAGTTATGTCATGTGGGCATACCAAAAGTGCTCAAAAGCATCCTAGAATGAATAAATGAGACCCCTGGGTAACAGGTCACTCCATAGAGCATTTTGATTTTTGTTTTAGACATGTTCTTGTTCTATTGCCCAGGCTGGCCTCAAACTGAGAGTAATCCTTCCTTTGCCTCCCAGGTGCTGACGTTGTAAGCATCCACTGTGAAGACACTAATTTTATCCCATTAAGTGTAGACACACTGGTTTGCAGGAGACCCTGAACCTTGTGAAGAAATAATTACTGAACCAACATACTAGGATTTTCTTGGAATCACCTCCTATTTGTATCCAAGAGCAGTTTGTTAGGGGCCCAGATGCCTGTGGGTCAGGAACCTGGCTGCTAAAATGCCAAGCAGACAGCCCTGAGCATGTGTACATGGCCTTTGGACTCTGGGAAGTGTCGCCGGTACTCCAGGAAGCTCGAGAAACAACCTGTTTATAAAGGCTTCTCTGTCTGTTATACTTTCCCTCCTCCTGCTCTTGGTAACACGGATGTTTGCATTCCAAGGGGATTCCTGATGTGACAAGCTGCTTTCTCCAGCTACTCACCCTCCTAGACCAAACTCTGACTCCTGCAGCACCCAGGGAGAGATTCTGCTCCAATGCACTGAAATTTCCCTGCTGGACTGAGCAAGAGCCTCTGAGCTCATCTTTCCCCGCTTCAGCTTTGACACTACTAATGCATGGTGCTTGCTGAAGTCAGAGTAGCACAAAAATAAAATATGGACGTGTCATGTGACATGCTCGCCATCGACTCTCTGCTCCTACAAAACAAAGGCCTAGTAGCTAGTGTGTTCTGGAAGATGGCCTTGGTCTGCCAAGTCTTATGTTCAGCCTCTCAACATGGTCCCAGCACTGCAACTATGTCACATGGGTTGTGCCATCCTGTCCCCACTCACACCTCCACCCCTACACACACTGCTTCCTCAGCCTGTTTGCTGACTTCCTCCTCTGATTTTTACTTTCAAACCCTGCAGGGGTGACCTCCCTGAATGCATCTCCATCCTTGACAACCTTGAGCAGAATCAGATGGGCCTTTCTCTGTCTTCTTGCACCAATTTGCGTAGAGCTTTTAAAACATTAAGAAAAGAATCACTGAAGCAGGAGTCTTAGCCATAAACCTGCTGTTTGTCCACAATAGCTCACTTAGCTAGGCTCTCATTGTGCCCCACTGACTGGACCCCATCCCTCCCCTGGACTGTTGCAATATCCTCACAAATACAGAGTGTTTTCTGGCTCTGCTCTTTTGGGGCTGGAAAGCTTAAATATCCTTTGGCTGAAATGCTTAAACATTTCTGCTGGACACAATGAAATGAGCTGTACCGTGAGTTTGAGGCCAGCCTGGACTAGGAATGTGATTTGCTCCAGATACATGACTGATGTACTACACTTAGAGGGTGAGCTCCAGCCAGGAATATGGTCATCCATTTCCCTGATGGAAATCCTTGGATCCCTGATGCTTTCCAGAATAAAGTCCAAATTTCTTAGCATGTGATGCCCAAAGGGTGATCCCAGAACACAAAGACTCATGGAGTCCGGACACTCATAAAGTGGGTGTGGCATCTGTCATCAGCCTTGATTAACTCTCAGGAGTTGGGGGGCCCTTGCTTCCTTTCATGTTTTCTGATGCTAGGACCCCAACCTCACTGAGCAGCTGCTATAAAAGCCTCATAAGTAGCTCTGAACAGAAGTGTGGAAGGTTCTCAAGGCAGAAACAGCCCTGAAGCAGTCCTGATCCCTGTGGCCCAAGCTGAAAGCCATTGGGAACTTGACCTCACAACAAGGACAGAAACCCAGTTCCTTACCAGAGGGACCACAGCTGCGACTTGAATTCTGATTTGCGAGTTTTTTAAATTCCATGAGCTCGGCATGGTCCTTCTCGTATGTTCTCTTCAGATTCTCCACATACTGCATCATCACTTCCGTTGCCTTTGACATACGCTTTTCCTGAAGGGAAGGAGGACACAGTTGCATGGAGGAGGACAGTGGAAGAGAGGGCACCATCCACACTTGACCGCTCTGAGCTTAGCCCTTGACTGCCAGAATAAGAAGGCTATGGGGATCGTCAGATGGGAATCTGTCCTGGGAGTTTGTTGCCTGTGGCACTGGACTGAGAGGTGCACTCTGGTACCCATGTCCAGGGAACAGAAGGGCAGTCACACACCGTAAAAGTGAGAGGAAGAAGGGATTGCTTTACTCTGGGAGAGAATAGGTGGGGATGGCTTTGTGGTGATGGCCTGGAGTCACAGATGTGGGGTGTGGGGACATGGACATGGGCAGAACAGACAAAGGCCTGAGGCCAGGGAACTTCAAGGCATCCGGAGGCAGAGGCAGTTCCTCATAGGACTTGTACGTAGAAGATTTATCCTCCAGACAGGAATCCTTTAGAATGAAAGTGGGCACCATTCCATATTATGCTAGGACACAGCCATTTCAAGGACTTCTGCAAGTCAGCTTAGCACAGACATCCCGCTTCATATCAAAAGTCAACAAGCTCTTGGGTTTTCGGGGAGGAAGTGCTCTAGGGCTGGGTTGCGAAAGACTTTATATGCTAGATGAAGGAATCTTGGCTTACTCTGCAAGAAAAGAGGAATTTCTGAACGTGTTAAAGTGAGGGGTGACTGAGTATGAATGGAGACAGGGCAAGAGTAAATGAGACTAGAAGCAGTGACAGCAACAGGGAACAAGTGTCTGAGCTGGTCCTAAGGAACCAGTGAGGAACCCCAGCACTGAGACAAGGAAAACAGGATGGGGCACCGCAAGGCAGGGTGGGGGACCACTTTAAGAAGGCTACAGATGGGGTGGTGGTGGGACATGCCTTTAATCGCAGCACCTAGGAGGCAGAGACAGGCGGATATACATGTGTTTGAGGCTAGCCTGGTCCACAGAGTGAGTGCCAGGACAGGCTCTAAGGCTATACAGAAAAACCCTGTTTTGAAAAAAGAAGACGAAGAAGGACAAAGAAGGAGGAAGAGGAAGGAAGAAGATGAAGAAGGAGGAGGAGGAGGAGGAGAAGGATTTAGGTCAGGCATGATGGTTCATGTCTGTTCCTTAGCACTCAGGTAGTTGAGACAGAAGGGTCATGAATTGGAGGCCAGCCCAGACTGTATATTGAAATCCTGTCTCAAAAAGTAGGGGCTAGAGAGATGATCTGTTCAGTGATGAAGAGCACTGACTGCTCTTCCAGAGGACTCAGGTTCAATTCCCAACACCCACATGGTAGTTCATAACTATCGGTAACTCCAGTTAGAGACAGGGATACCCAGGGGATCCAATGCCCTCTTCCGGCTTTTGCTGGCACCAGACAGACATGTGGTGTGCAGATATACATGCAGGCAAAATACCCATGCACATGTAAAAACAAAAATTTAAAAATAAATAAGTAACCATAAAGAAAAGAATGGTAAAATAGAATCAATAATATGTTAGGATAAAGTTTGAGGGAGACCTTGGTGGATTCCATGGCAAAGGTGAAGGAGGCTGGGGACAAACATGCCAGGCAGACCGAGCTTAAGTGAGAAGTTTTATTAGAAAAGGGAGGGAGGGGGAAGGAAAGAGAAAAGAGGTAAAGACACACAGAGACACGGACAGAAGAGAAGAGGGAGACAGGAAAAGTCCTGTCTGCCCCAGAGGAACAGCTGGAAAGAGAAAGAGAGGAGCAGGAAAGAGAGCATAAGTAGGTGGGGTCTTTCTTTTAAAGGGGTCCTTTGTACCTGCAAGCTGACCAGGGTACTGCCTGACTGCATTCTTCCAGGTGACAGGGGTAGACCAGCACAATGCCTGAATCCTTACAACATGGGGAACCAGAAACATAGTTGGAACTGTCCCCCCTCCATACTTCCTAGAGTTCCCAAGAGGACCTAGCTTAGGCACGGTCTGTACTACAGGGATTTCCCTATGAAGGTCCCACAGCCATGTGGGACTGAGACCCAACACTTCCCTAGCATCCTTCTGGTGTTGTTCCCATCTGGGCTACTTGCTAAGTCACTCTGCTGAGTCAGGCGCTCTTTCTCCAGAAGGACGCAAGGGTGGGTCAGCCCGGTGGCTTGGCTGCCGTTCATTTCACAGACAGTGCTTGGGGATGCACCCTCGGAACCACGCACACAAGCAGTGTGCCAGGACATGGTTGCAGCAGTGGTCAGAGGATCTGCGTGCTTTAAGTGCATCAGTCCTATATGGCAGGCATCGTAAGCACCCCTGCTTTACAGCCCAGTGACTCTCGAGTGTGGAGAGCTCTGTGAAGTCCAAGGCCACAGTGCGCATGAGGAATAGAGCCTGGAGGGGAACTGAGGCAGTGGTCACTGCAACATTTTGTGAAGGCTCCACGTCCTTCAAGACTTCAGAGTGGCCAAGGTGCGGAGTCTAACCTGAGCCTGCACCCAGCTTTGCCACTCACTAATGCTAGAACAACTTCAGTATCCCCGACTTGAGACACTTACTCTAATGTTTGGGGTTTTGTCAGGTTTGGGAATATTGCATATACACAACGAAGTATCTTAGGAATAGGACCCATATCTAAATACATTACTCATCGTATTATACATGTTGCCAAGAGATAATTTTGTACATTTTTCGTGCATCTTGGCTGTTTCTTGTCACAGAAAATTAGCTATTTTCTGATGGGAAATGTCCTTCTGTATGCTTTGAATATATGTTTCTCTTATTGGTTGATGATTAAAGCTGTTTTGGCCAATGGACAGGCAGGAAGTATAGGCGGGGCTACCAGACTAAGGGAATTCTGGGAAGAGGAATGGAGAAAAGGAGTCAAGGGAGAGATACCATGTAGCCATCAAAGGAGAAACATTCCAGATTACTATGGGTAAGTCACAGCCTCGTGGTGATACATAGTTTAATAGAAATGGGTTAATAATTAAGAGAGAGCTAGCCAATAAGAAGCCTGAGCTACCGGCCAAATAGTTTATAATTAATATAAACCACCAGAAACTTCTGTCAATAATTTTCTACTTGGGACATGATGAAGGCACTCAAAACATTTGGAATATTTGAGAATTTCTACTATCTGGAAGCTATCTTTCTGAGAACATGCAACTTCACTGGAGACAGAGATGAGGGATAGAAGCCACTTTATGAGGTTACTGGGTGAATTAGATGAAACAGCACATTTCCCTAGAACATGCTCTGCCCAACACTGGTTCTGTAGGTGCTGAGTATGTATTTTGTGAAAACAATAAAGAGGGAGGGGTTCCCCAGTCACATATATTTACAAAACACACAGGAAAAGCTAAATAGAGTTCTTTCATAGAGAATTCTCTAACTCAACTATAGTGGGCCAGCTCTAAAGGAGGAAGGCAGTACATAGTCTACCTCAAATTTCAAAGTCTACAGAAAACAATTCCCAAAGGAATACCTTAAAGTCTCAATAGGCTCCAACTATGTTGAATATCTCAACAACCTACATAGAATGCCTGGGGTAAGCCAGTCATCAAGGGAGGTACCTCTTCCTGTCCCTATTTGTGTCACGGTGCTAATTACTCTGTAGGAACAGTGCCAGCCAGCAAGGACCAGTGCTGCGGGGCTCACCTGGCGCACAGCCCCCACCACTTCAGCCCGGCTGGAGAGGCGGGCAGCCAGACGATGCAAGACCGCGATGTCTTCCAGAAGCTTCTGATAGGTCTCTCGGTGCTCACAGTTGTACCAGATGGATGCTGAGGACTGAGGGATGACAAGGGGTATCACCCAGGGTCTTAAAACTGCTTTTCCACATAGGCATGCTGAGAACCTAACCCCAATGTGCAGATGAGAGAATAGGCCTTTGGGTGGAGCCCTTGAGAATAGGAGTGGTGCTCATACATCAGGGGCCCAGAAATTTCTCTTACTCTCTTTCTACCATGTCAGGCTATAATGAGAGGTAGGCAGTCCGCAGGTCTGAAGATGTCCTCAGTAAGGACCTAACTATGCTGGAACCCTGAGCTTGAACTTCGAGCCCATGCACTAAGAGAAATAACATGTTTGCTGTTTAAACCACCCAGCCAATGGTAATTTCTTTAGCAGCTTGATCTGACTAAGATGGTGCACACCAAACCTGGATTCATTTTCATGAGACAAGCTCTGGATCTCATGTGGGCTAGGAGAAGAAATTCCTACAGAGCTCAGGCTGCAGTGTCTTCTAGATATTGGAGAAGCCCAGTGGAGATGCGCTATACATCTGACTGGCCTGAAAGGAGTCCTATCCAAGCTAACCAGCCTCCTCTTAAGGAGCTGCCAGGGGGTCTGAAGCCAAACCTTCAGGACCTCTGCCTCAGCTCCTCCCTGCCCTCTGAGGAAATCTTGTCAGGACCTTGACTCCCGTCTCACTTCCAGATACTATTTTGTTAGTGAAAGAAGTGTGATATTGGGCATCACCCTTAGAGACAGTGAGTAGCTCTGCAAGGACTGCTTAAACGGGACCCCTCAGTTACCGTTATGGAAGCTTTGAAGTTTTCCAGTTCCTTCTCAGTGTTCTCTTCGGTTAGGTTGCGTTCCCTTTCAGCCTGGCTAATTCTAGATTCCAAGGTGTAGCTGTCATTTCTGAAGGCCAATGACAGTTGTATAAACACGTTCTGTTGGGAACAAGGGTGTAGTTGAGATGCTAGAGGAGTCACTGCCACCAGCAAGGTCACGGGTGGGATTCTTGCTCAAGCCTTTCACCAGAGTCCTTGGAACTAGTCACCAAGGCCTCCATGTGCAGATGAACTCCCTTCACAGTGAAGTACACAAACGTGGGCAAATGGCAACCCTTGAGATCCAGAGGACAACTGTAACCACCAGACAGTGGCATTGTGTCTTTCCCCAATCAAGAGTGTGAGTGTTTGGGTTGAGATAGATTTAGACCAGTGCAGCTGGCTGTGTAAGCAGTCTGGACTCATACTGGGATGTAGTGTGTGTGTGTGTGTGTGTGTGTGTGTGTGTCTGGAGGATTGGGGGTTTGCATAAAACTCTGTATCTAAAGAAGTGCCAGGTGAGTTTCAGGCTTGTGAATTTAAAGCAAACTTCAGTCTGTAGCCTTTTTATTTATAATTCCTATGCCAGCTTTAAGTAACTTCCAGATTAGACAAGTTCGGGCCTGGATCTGTTAAGATAAACTTCCAGAAATAAATATTCCAGCCCAAGATGAAATATGCCATATGGAAAGATTTTTTTTATTTTTAAAACAGTTTGTGTGCATGGGTATTTTGCCTGCTTGTATGTCTGCACACAGTGTTCTCGGAGGCCAGAAGAGGGAGTTGGATCTCCTGTAATGGGAGTTACAGATGTTTGTAGGCCCCCTTATGGGTGCTGGGAATCAAGTCCAGGTCCTCTGGAGCCAGTATTCTTAACCACTGAGCCATCTCCAGCACCTAAGAATGAGTTTTTAAAGGTGGCATTGATCAGATGTGGAATTCCTAGGGTAACAGGAAGCTACCAAGAATTAGGTTCATTCTATTAATACCACTCACCATAACATATCACTATTGGGGAAGAAAAACAGACAAATAGACTCCACACAAGAAATAAGAATGGAGGGAGGGAGAGAGGGAGGGAGGGAGAGAAGGAGGGAGGGAGGGGTCTTCGATTCCAATTGCTTCATCTGCCCTGCCTGAAGCAAGTGGGAGCAGCTTGCTTTCTTTCTCTTTCTTCTTTTATGGTATGTGTTGCAACAGCATACATGTAGAGGTCAGGGAGTCAGTTCTTTCTGTGTACTGTGGATCATGAGGTTGGCAGACTTACTCACTAAGTCATCTCACCTGCTCATACTCTGTGGTCACTGACTCTGCCTGGCTTCTGAAGTTCATATAACATGGCCAATGGCAGTTATCTCCAGAAAAGAGCCAATTCCTACATGATGATGGTGGTTCTACTCAAAATGACTCTTTATTGATCATTACATTATTGTGAATTTTGTGAACCTTGCTACATTTGACCCTACAACATCTCTCTGGAGTGAAGACTCTTACACCCATTTTATAGGCAAAGAGACCAAGACTAGAGACATCATTAACTTGTTCAAGATGACAGAAGAGGTAGAAGAGCAAGGACTTGACCTTAAATGATCTAATTCCTGAGTCTGTTTTACTTCCACTGTGCTGATGTCCATGCTAGCACACATCGAATTGGGCAATAAATGAGCTGCTGTGGTCAGTCTCCATAGATGCTAGAGTGGGCTTTGACTCACAGACCAGTGATGGAGGTTCTTTCTTACCCAGCCTCAGTCTGAGAACAATTCTCAATGCTTAGCTCTCTAAGCTTAACTCAAAGGGTCCTGAAGTCAGCTGGAATATTTTTGCAACTATTGACCTGAGTCTGGGACCTTGAGTGAGCTGTTTTATTGCCCAGCTTCTCTTCTGCTTTAAGTCCTGCTCTATCCATTTTGCAGAGCTACTAGATCAGTTGCATGGACGGTTATGAGCATGCTACAGTAACAATGTCTGGTTCACGGTCACTGTGCTTCCTGGCGGTAGACATTTTGGGTTATCTATCTTCCTTTGTTTGCTTATCTGGTTCACTGCACCAATCTTGCCTGTCTCACCTCTGCTATGTTTCTTGTCCATCTGTCCCTTCACCAGAATGAAAGTTCTTCTCAACTCATGCATCTCCCAGCATTGGGATTAGAAGGCCCACAGGATCGTCATGGTCAGATCAGAGAAGGCAGTGCCAACAGCTTTCACACCATCACCTGAGCTGGCCTTCTTGCTGCCCAAACTCTCAGAGGCAAGCAACTTTGTCCTCCAGACCAACGTTTGAAGCTTGAAATCTGGCCACATTTTTAAAAATTGAAATAAATTTGATGTAATTGTAAAGTCTCCGGGCTGACTTTGTATGTCCCATCCATCAAGGGACATTGACAGTCTTTGAAGGTGGAGGCATCAGCAACCTTCTCACTGACAAGACTTGTCAAAACCTCTCATGGATGGAGGCAGGCAAGGGAAACTCAGTAGTGGGCTGGGAACAAATATCCAGACTGTTCTGCAGTCACTTATTCTCACTCTTGTGTAAAATGGTTAGGGCCATGGGCTAGAGGAAGTAATGTTTGGATAGACCTCATCAGAGAGGATCACTGAATTCCACAAAACCCTTGAGTCACTTACCTCAACTTCCTTTTCAGTGAGTGGAGGGGCGCTGTGAAGAAGAAAATTGAACAAGTGAACTTTATCCAGCCTAGTAAATAAAGCAGAAGGTGACTTTGAATGACCAGCCTGCCATGCACTGCCAGAAAGGAAGAGGACGCAGAATCTTCTTTGTCCCCCCTTTCATCTGTGAGACCCTGAGCTTTACAGAGGTGGTGGGGAAAACATTAGATGTTGGGCCCAGCCCTCTGGGACAACCACTATGAACACTCTAAATTTCAGCTTGCTCATATGTAAAATTAGAGTAACAACATCTATCTTACATAAGCCTTATAAGGAATATACATACATGCATACAAACACACATACACACACACATATATATATGTTTGCACATACACACGTATATGCATGAATGTATATGTAGCATTGTGTAAATACAATGCAGTCTTTTACACACGCAAGTTCCATATTCCTGGAACCAACCAACTATATATTGAAAACAATTGTGTCTATACAGAATCTATTCAGACTTCTTTTGGTCATATTCTCTAAGCAACACAGAATAGGAGCTATTTACATAGAACTTCTACAATATTGGATATTCTAAATCATGTAGAGACTATTTAAAGTATGGGAGGGGTCTATAGACTATATGTGAGTGCTGTACCATTTTATACAAGGTCTTGAGCGTTTGGATTTTGGTATCTGTGCTGTGTGTATGTGTGTGTGCTGGAACCAATGCTCACTTTGAGTGTTGGCATCTTGGTTATTATCATTATTCACCCATAGGCTGTGAGGAATCAGAAAACACACGTGCATTTGTCACTTACTAACTACGCATTTGAGCTGAACTGTAGCTTTTAGGGGCTTCTAGCTCTGCAAAGACTGGTCCTTCCTTCCTAGACTCTGAGGGCTGTGGCAAACATCTATTAGGTCCACAAATTACAAGATAAGGTAGAGATCCTTGCAGCAATGAACCTCTGAAGTCAGGGTGACGGGTGAGTACCAGCTGAAATAGAGGTTCCTATGCAGTTTCTACAGCCTGGCCCAGTCAGCAGACTCCTTGTCTGCACGCCCACTCCATGTGGCTGCCAGTGCAGTGCTTAGTAACTAAAAGCTGGCCCCACTGGAAGCCCAAATAACGTAAATACCACACAGGCGCTTTCCTGTGCTGGGTGGGGAGGCCAGGAGGGGTCCAACTCGCGTCAGAGGACTTGGCGAGCAAGCAAGCCATCAATAAACTTCTCAGGAAACACAGTTTTCCTCCCTTGGATGGGTATGGAGGGACCCCGAGAGCAAAGGTAGGGGTCAGCCATCTCTGCAAAGGGCTGGTTCTCACCCTTGACAAGGGACATCGAGAGCCTTCCTGTCAGGATGACACAGCAAGGCCCTGTGACCATCAAGCTGTCAGAAAACAGAGCACGGGGACAAACAATGGCAAAGATGTTCGATGCTTTCAATGCTTGTCACAGCCACACCCCACAGGCTCTGTCCTCTGAGGGTCAACACACTCACTCCACTGTTGTGTAGACCAGTCATATACTGTCTGGGGGTTTATCAAAGTGCTCAGAGTGTGCTTCTGACAGCTGGGTTCATTTGGGTATTACATGAAATTTACATCTTCCCATAATTAATTCAGTGAGCTTTGTTCTTACTTTGGTGACATTCTGCCTTGGGCTACAGAACACATCAATATATATGGTAAGGAACAGGATGGAGTGATGCAGGCCAAGTAGTCACATGGCACAGCTGGTTCTTAAAGCAGAGCTCAAGACTTGCATAGGCAGCAAGGAGGTGAAATATGGGTCTCCAAGACAATGGAATAACGGAGTGTCTTCCCACGTAATCCTTGTGCTCTCTTTGATGAGTCTGTTTAAATCCTTTGCCAATTTTGAGAAACTCTTCATCTAAATATAATTGAATTACAGGAATTCTTTATAGACTGTAGAAATGTGTACCTTACCAAAGTGAATATTTTTTCCCATTCTCTGTGTTGCTCTTCACTTTCTAGACAGCATCGACAGCACAGGCTTTTTATTGGTATTATTAAGATGATGGCATACTTTTCACCTGCTCTCTTTAAATCTGCTTGTGATTTTCCTGTCCTAGCTAAAGCCACGAACTAGCCCAAGCTCATAGCTCATAGGATTGCCTCTTGTAGTTTTTTTCTATGCATTCTACAGTATTATCCCTTGCATTTAGGTTTGTGGTCCATTTTGAGCCGGGCATTTGAGTCTTATGGTAGCTTTACTCTTTCTGCCTGCGATCTGCCAGTTGTCTCACTGCCATTTCTTAGCCCATTCCTTTGTGTTGGGAAAGCTGCTCACCAATTCTTTGCAAGTGTGGCTTCTTCTTGTGTCCTGGACCTCACTAGCCTGTCATAAAGGTCTTTTTGGCTCTCCCAGTGCCTCACTCTTTCACCATTCTCTTACTGCCCTGTCTCATGGTCCTCCTAGCAACGTCATTATCTCAAATCCCTATGCATTATGCTCCAGTCCAGTTGTCAAGGATGTGTCCTGTGCTGATACCGTCCCAAGTCCCACCCCACAGATGGTCGCATTTAGTGTACCCTGCCAGTGGAAGAACACCTACTACTCTTGTAAGGGCAATGAAGCCAAGATTCAGAAAGTAGACGTCTGGGAGCCTTTCTGCCCAGTTCTTCACGTGATTTTGGATGTCCCACAGATAAATGGTTTATCTGGATTGAACCATGTGTCCTCTGGTCCAAAGCCCACCACTCTCACAGCTCTGGTGACCCTTATGTCCTCAAAGGTTCTTGCCTGTGAATCCTGTATACTCCAGAAGTTGGAAATGCCAACATGGCCATGCTTGCACTCTGTGTTTGGAGGCATCAGCTCTTCCTGGACCACTGGACTGGGATAAGAACCAAGACTGATACTCCTTTGTGTTCCACCCAGGCTCTAACATTGGTGGCCCCTGAAAGATTTTCAAAAGCTGATGTTCTGATTTTACCTTCCGGTGAGTGACTTGTGAACCCTCAGTTTGCGCAGCAGTAGGTCAGAAATGTTGGGCATCACATCCAGACCGCTCTTTGACTCTTCCTCCTCAGTTGCTGGGGCGAGTTCAGAAGAGACCCCTGGAAAATAGAAGTGCTTCCCTATAGGCATTGGCTTCAGGTCCCAGGAACCTTGTAAACATTTTGTTATATGCCAGAGTGCCAGAGACCTTATAATTGTCATCGATCTTACTTTATCCTCACAGTGACTAAAGAGCTGCTTCTCTGCCATGCCTTTTTACAGGTGGATAATATAAGGCTCGATACAGTTGGTAACTTGCTGGAGATTACAGGTATAATGAATGGCACAGTCTGACTGCAAACCAACATCTATCTTTCCCAGTTGTTTCTTCCCATAACTCTCCACTGTATCAAGTAGGATCGCATGTCAGTGTCTAGTTGTGTTGGTTTCTGGCAACTGGAAGCTGGTTGGTTCTTTGGTTATGGTGTTTGGGGAAAACCTGTCTATTTGGCAGACTCTTCAAGGGACCTCTTGACTGATAATTCTTCCACAAATAAATTCAAAAGCGTTATCTTCTAGCTCCTACCTAGAAATCAACATCTGGTTTGCCACTAGATAGTAACAGAAGTGGGTATTTTCCAGGATAAAACTAAGGTCATCAGCCCTGTCACAGATCTCAGAAATACGGATGCCTGCTAGTCAACAGAGCCAACAAACAGCCTTTACTGCCTCCTGAAATGATTCAGGATTGTATCCGGGAAGCAGAGAGAGCAAACCATAAATCTCTCTTCTGCTTGAACAGCTCTTGTACCTATGCAAACCAGACGTTTCCTGGATCTGTCCTTCATTTCCCAGTTGCCCTTTAGGGAATCCTATGGTTCATGGTCTCTAGACACCAACCCTTGTCTATATATAAGCTGATTTGTTGCTGTCTGAGAGACCCAGATGTACCCTAGCAACTTTAACAGGGGATATTGGCCAACCCTTGGCATTGACCTTCGAGTACATGCGGGATAGACTTGCTTTGACTTACTGTGTATTCACAGCACATTTAAAGCAAAGTAAAAGCCTCGGACTTCTTTCATTTGAGCCAGTTCAGGATCCATACTATAGAGCGAGTGTTCTGTATTTACATGTATTTTCTACTGACTCCTGGGGCCTTTGACCTAGCAGTGTTTCAAACTTGCTTGTCCATTTACCAGAATTGCAGGCCACGCTAGAGATCAGTACTGAAGGCAGAGTTGTAGTAATTATCTGAATGGAGTTAAGGCTGGGACTCCTATAACCAAGGGAGACAAAGCAGGGAGAGGAAGAGGAATACTTGGGTTCACAGTAAATAAATTTTAAACAGTTCAATCCTTTCCAATACCAGAATGGTATTATAGGTTCCCTGGTATTTCAGTTACTCAAATGAAGGCTAAAGGACCATCTGTCAGGGACAGAACAGTTAGAACTGCATTTTTGGGTATAACATTAGACTAGATGTTCCTGTAGCTACTTATCAACTCGTGCGTTTTCCACTGGCATTTATTGCTCCTGGACAGTTTCACGTGTCAAGTGGCAAAGCAGTGTCACAAGTGGTCTCATCCTATATTTATGCACCACACTTGGCAGAGGACAGGCACCCCCACCACACTTAGTTGAGAGCTAATAAGGCAGGGAGCTCCTGAAACTGGGTCTGTGTGACTGAAACATATCAAATCTAATGTCAAGTAAAGGACATCCCAGAGGCTTCCGTATAAAAAATTCCTCTAAGTTGAGAAAAATGAGGAGAAGGAAGAGGAATGAAGATAGCAAGGAGAAAAGGAACTAATCAGTGTTTCCAGCTCTTGTAAAATAGCAATCCCATAACTGGATATCAGAACCAAACACCATCTTCCTGGATGCAACCAAATTAACAACCAAAAAGAAAAAAATCTCTACATGCAACAACATTCAATATTGGAAAAGGCAATATTTTAAAAATGGCTAAAGACAGGATTTCCTAGAAATAAATGTGGTACCCCCCACCTTTGATGTCCATTCTTCACCCCTTAAAAAAGCGGGGATTTTGTTGAGTTTGTTTGTTTTGAGATAAGAGTGTCACTGTATAGTCCCAGCTAGCCTTGAACTTACAGTGATCCTCTTACTTCCTGTTCCTGATTGCTGGTATTACAAGCATGCATCTCAACAGCTGACTCAAGAGTAAGTTCTGGATAAGAGGAAAATGTCCAAGAGTGCAAGAGCATAGAACAAGAAAGGAAGTGGACAGAGTGAGTAGGCAGCCTGTGGAGGGGAGTCAGAAACAAAGTTTCTCTAGAAGGTTCTACACTCTACCATACCATCACTGTGCCTGTCTTGGCATGTAGCTTTTCTTGCCAAGAAGGAGGGGAGAGGAAAGGAGGAATGGGTGTCTGATATTGTATTAGAATTTTTTATCTTGAATAATATGTTGGGGATTACTAGAAGGGAAGATTAAAAATAAACAAATAAAACAAGCCCTTCCAATGGAGTGAGTGGCAGGAGACATATGGAAATCTCCAACTGACGCTACCTCATGCCTACATGCCTTCTGAAAAACAGCACAGTGACCAAAGTCCTGGAATTTTGTCTATCTTTTCCTCCCTTTGCCTGGCAGAAGAGTGAATGGTTCTTGGGAAGGGTTGGGTCAAGTCTGAGCAATAAACATCTGTGCAGACTCTTGCTATAAGTCTACCCTAAACTGTGTTCCAAACCCCACTAATCCCCAGCTGCAGGAACAGAAATATCCCAATTTGGCACAATTCACTCAAGTTTTAGACTCTGAACAAAGTTATAGAAAAGAAGCAGAAAGCTGATTCTACAAAAGCTGCTGCTCGCAGCTTTGTCTGAACTTCCTCTTTCTTCCCACCCAGGCAGCAAAGAAGCTCACATGAGCACCCAGTCTGCAACTAAACTACCAAGGAGGAGGACAGAGAGAGCTCAGTGGAGGCAGGAGGGAGTGAACGAAAATTAACCTTCCCCACATATAAAGAGAAGAGGGGAAACCCAGGTAGCAATGGCCAGATCAGAAAGAATTGAAATGAAAATGAATGACATGGCAAATAGACAAAAATACTGGAGTTAAAAGAGGAAGGAAAGACAGAAGGTAGAAGGGAAGGAAGAATGGAAACACACAGGAGGCAGATGTCAGCATGGCCATAGAGATGCAAGGAACACAGAAAAAAGCAAAACTGCATTTCTGTGCAAAATATATACTGTAAATGCTTAACTCTAGGGGACATTAGAATCTGAAAAACTCCAAAATGCGAAACCAGAACAAGATAAGAAGATCAAACATAGATGGACAGGGATTTCTATTTAAGGAAACAAATTAAAGAACAAGAGAAAAATGAATAAGGAATTGAAAACAGAACTAGTCGGTATATTGGAAAATGAGGATATATATATATATATATATATAGTTTTACTTGAATTAGTAAGGTGGTTAGGACAGGTTATGATCATAATGAATGTAAAGAGAAAAAGAAGGATGGAAGAAGGTGAGTCCTAAGTTGAGCCCTATTGACCATTTCGTCATGTAAATAAGATATTAAAAAACAAAATAGGAAAAAATTGTCCTCAGTGGAGGGGAGAGATGAACTTGGAGGTTGACTGTACATAGGATGTTCTTGTCTTTAAGGCATGTCTGCAAAGAAATGCAACTGCTGTTGTTTGTAACAGAAAAATATAGAGACACATCACTGTGAATGTCACTGGACACTGGAAATCAGCTGGCCTTGGGCTCTTATACCACACTGAACACAGTGGGATGACAGCATTGCATACGAAGGAGTTAGCCAAGAATTTTATAACTATGCAGGCTATTTCTAAATAAGACAACGTTGTCAAATATGCTACAACTCGGGACACAGAATACCTCTGGTACTTCTCAGGGAAACCACTAAATAATGAAGGACAGCTAAACAAGACATAAATCAAAATAAAATGCTTAGGAATGGTCAGCCACAGGAAGGAACTAGTGGTAAATGTGAAACCTCCTATTCCAGTCCAGCTAGACAACTGTAAAAACTGGTTGCAGAGTGGAATACAAATGTTATAACCTGGACAACATTGGAAGAAGAATTCAGCATTTAGACAGGCAGAGACAAGAAAGCAGGAAGACATCGCAGGCGAAGAAAATGCTTAAGGAGATGTTCTGCTCTTTTTGTTTTCTCAGTGCTCCAGCTTTAGAGCCTTTTTAATCTGGGCAAGACTGCCTCTCCTAGACTGGTTAATTACAGAAGGGGGGGAGAGCTCTCCTTTGAGTGTAATTTTGACATCTAAACCAGCCCAACCAATCTAGAACCTATATAGCCAACCACCTTCTTTATCCTCCATCTCTCATACACCAAGTCAATATTCATCCTTGCCCTACCTCATCAGGTAGCCAACACTCAGACACCTCTCTCCCTTCCAGAGCCTGCTAAAATTACTCAGACCATCTCATCCTAAGCTTACTCGGGGTACCATGAAAACCCCAGGAAAGGGACTGAGACCACCTCCCATCCACCTTCTACCTCCTGCCTGACCCTGGTCTTTTCCCAGTTGGCTCAGGTGGTACTGTGTCTCTTATGTTAGGGAATCTATGAGTATAAACTTCTCTCATGAAAATTATTCCTGGATCTTCGTGTCTTGCCATACATGACCCAAACTTTGCTCGTTAAAGAATTTACAACAATTACCTGAAACCAAAGCATTAATGCCAGAAAAATCTACCACAACTCTAAACCCTTAATGTATTTCCTAAAACATTGTCAGAACTAATTTCTCCTCTTTGAAGGAAGTAATTACAGAGATTCAGCAAGTTGTACAGTTTCACTTCACTTCAACACAAACTCAATTGAATTGTAATCTTTTTTATCTTGAAAGGTACATCTAGTATACTCCCCTTCCTGCCTCTCCTCTTCTGTATTTGCGGGAAAGGGACATTCTGATGCAAGAAGGTAGTTTTTCCTCTCTTCTATCTTCCAAGGTTAAAGCCACAGGTTAAAATAAATTTCTTTGCATCTGTTTTCTCAGAAAGGCATCTTTCCTGAGTGAAACTTGTGATTGTGGCCCAGCCTTAAGGTAGGTAGAAGAGCCATCTACCTACATTAGGATCCTGCTCCAGATATCCAAC